AGATGTTTGCGTCCAATCCCAGATCCGAACTTTGCAGCAGGCTTGTACCCTGGAAGCCCAAAACGCTATCCATAAACCCTATAACCCCTACTTTTAAACCCTATAAAGCCTATCGAAAAAAACAAATAAGCCCTAAAACAACCCTATCAAAACCCTATACAAACCCTATCAAAACCCTAGAAGCACCCTATAACACCGACTAAACACCCTACAAACGCTAAGCCCGGAAAGCTCCCAACATCCCCCTGAAAGCACTGCGTGTAGTGTTGGGATCGCATTAAAGATTTACATGTACATCTTCCTTATTGGGTTTTAAGTACCCTTTTTTCATTGTAACATGATACCCAACTCTGACCAAGACCTGGCTTCCCCACCCTGGCCTCGGTTCAGACGATGGCGATGCCGGGGCAGGGGGCTGGGGCGGCACCTTGTCTTGGTTTCGGGCTTAGGGTTTAGGATTTAGGGTTTAGGGAGACCCCCCCCATTGGTAGGCCAGTAACCATATTTTTTGCAGGGTACTCTTTTTTGGGGGTTGGTTACGTTAGAAAGGGAACCTAAAACCAACAAAACCGGTACAAGGGCACCACTGTGCTACCAAGTTGTAGCGGAAGCAGGACCTCACTTGAAGGCTGAAGGGTGATGCAGATGGCGTTGGCGTTTATAAGGCTTAGCGTCCTCATGGCCCTCTTTTTGTTGCATCTAAGTTGGCGGTTCAAGCCCCTCACAGCAAACGCAGGAGCCTCTGGGGGATTCCAAAAAACCTAGTTTAGGGTTCAGGGTTTAGGGTTTAGGGTTCAGGGTTTAGGCCGGGGGCACTTGCAAAAACCCTTGTATATAAGCGCTAAACCGTACCAAGCCCCTGCAAATTCCAGGGGCTCCCTGAGGCAACCCTAAACCCTAAACCCTAAACCCTAAACTCTAAACCCTAAACCCTACACAAGAGCTGCCTTAGACCCAAAAACCCTTGCAACCGCTCCGCCTCCTCGGGCGGGAGCGGCTTCTGTAGGCGCTTATGCGCCCAGTAGTCCAAGAACCGGAACTCCTCTCTCGGGCGCTTTTGGGGTTTAGGGTTTAGGGTTTAGGGTTTCAGGCCTAGGGTTAGGCTTTTGGGTTTGGGAATAGCTGCGAATAATTGAGGTCTGACGTGCAAGGCAGCTACATTTGGGGAGCCTTCAAACTGCTCTCATGCATGATGGTCTGTGAAGCCTAAACCCTGAACCCTAAACCCTTTTGGCCCGAAACCCTGAAGGGCACTAGAGCTTGCACAGATCGTTCCTTCGAGTCCCGACTTCGTTTGAGCCTGCATGGTGTGTGGCCCCCACCTTCAGGTCTTCTGATGACAGTGCAGGGTTTACGAAACGACCAAGAGCATGACAAAGGAGTGGAAGGAAGATCCATACTGCTTCCTCCGACAGAGCCGGCCGCCTGAGCCCGAACTCTTGGCCAAATCTATGGCCCTGCGACACAGCAGACATGAAGTCAGCACGAACCAACTTTCACCAGCATTGTTTTTTTTGCAGTGCCCTGCAGTTGGCACCAATTTGTCTGTTCTGCAATTGCCCTAAACCCTAAACCCTAAACCCGAAACCCTAAACCCTAAACCCTAAACCCAAGGGAGTTGCCCAGCCCCCTGAAACCCTCGGTCGTATCCTTGAGTGTGACGGTGCCAAGGCCTTTGATGTCGAGGACCTCATGCTCTCCCGAGGATTTCTGGTTTAGGGTTCTTAGAGCGTTTTTAGGGTTTAGGGTTTAGGGTTTAGGGTTTAGGGTCTAGGGTTTAGGGGGCGTCACGAAACCCGAATCATGGACCTCGTGTTGGCAAGGGCGCGTCTAGTTACGGGGGCAGCTCGAGGCTCAGGAAACCACTTGGAAGTTTCATGGCACTTATTCACCTCTTATAGCTGTGTACTTATAACCATAGTACTTAGGGCACTTAAGGAGCTGTGTACTTATAACCATAGCACTTAGGGCACTTAAGGGGCTTTTAAGTGGGATATCAGTACAGTTAGAATGGGTGAAACAAGAAGACAAGCAAGCCGAGGAGCGTCAAAGAGATGCCGGGTGGAGACTGCGTAGCCGCGCGAGCGGGTGATGCCCTTTCGGGACACTGAGGCTGGGGGTTTAGGGTTTAGGGTTTAGGGGACCCTTTGCGGGCCTCAGGCCTCAAGTATCAAGACTTTTTCATAGGAAGGATGGTGGGGTTTAGGGCACAACATGGCCGGGGAGACCCCTAAGGCTCCACATCAGATACTTAGGCCTTAAGGTACCCTTGCAGGAACCCCTGTAAGGCCTAAGTATCTACTATATGGGTACAGGGGGGGGGGGGGGGGGAGGTTCGTGCTCTGAGACATGGCCTACTCTGGCAAGCCAAGGCAAATTCTTGCCAATGTGCCATGTCCAGCCGAAGCAAACCAGTCCGGTAAGTACACAATACGCACCTGGAAATGCCAAGATCTTTATTTTAGGAACCCCTATGTCAGAGACCCCCACCTGCCCCCCCGAAGTACCCCCCCCCCCCCCAAAAAAAAAAAAAGAGGCCTGCTCATTCATCCATGCGAGGAACCTGGCTGCTGCAAGCCCTCAACAAAATCTGGGAGGGATCCTGAGAATTCAGCACCTGTTTCAAGACTTCAATCTTAGTAACTAATGGTGACGTGAAAGTGACCTACTCACAAAGAACAGACATGGCTTTGGCCTGGCTTTTGCGCTCTGGCTCGGCTTTCGTGAGGCGAGAAGGATCTTTTGATAAACGTCATGGCTTGGTCTGGTTGTGGCTGGGTGAGAAACACATGCCCGGCCTTGAACATGTGGCTGGGCATCGATTTGGCTTTGGAATGGCTTTGCTATGGCCTTTATCTTGTGTATGGTGGCTTTCGGATTCCACGGTCTTCCTTGCTTGTGAAGCTATGACATGAAAGGGATCTCTTCATAAAAGAAAGCGGTTAGTTCGGTTGGCTGCGGCTGGGCTGACGTAGACGCACACAGCTTGTCATAGATCAGCTTGATACATCTTGGCTTTGGTTTGGCTTTGCTACGGCGGAGGGATTGGGGGGGGGGGGGGGAGGGGGCGCAGCTGTCTTTTGCCGTAGGTTCTTTCTCTCGCTTGCTCCACTCTCTTCCTCTTCTTCCTTTGCTTATTTTTCTCCTTCGCGCCTTTCCTTCCCGCATTTCTGTGCCGTTTCTGTAGAAGAGGAACTCCTCTTGCATGTGCTGTTGACGGTAAGTTGTGCTTGGCTCTCCCACCTGTGCCCTCAGAGTGCACTTTGCCCCGTCGACCTGCATAAGACCGCATCGTGTTGCATGTCTGATATCAGATGGTTTGTCCATTCTGCCCTGTAACCCCAAACCCTTGTTGGGCTCAAACCCTAAACCCTAAACCCTAAACCCTAAACCCTAAACCCTAAACCCTGAACCCTAAACCCTAAACCCTAAACCCTAAACTCCATTCTCGGGCCCCGGCTCGTCGTAATTCATTCGCGTGAGCCACGCCTTGGGTACATCCTGGCAAACTCAACGTCTATAAAAGTTTTGATGCAGTCCATAAAACCCAAGAGCACTGCCAAAGTGAGCAAGGAAGCCAACCCCAAACACCAAGTCCCAAACCCCAATTCCAAAAACCCCAAAACCCAAAACCCAAAACCCCAAACCCTAAACCCTAAACCCTAAGCCCTAAACCATAAACCCTTCTGCCAGCTCTCTTCACTCAACTCCTCGGCTTCTGCCTGGCACTTCAACCCTAAACCCTCAACCCTCAACCCTAAACCCTAAACCCTAATTCACAGCGGGCCTCCCAGGCCTGTTGTGTGCCACCTTTATACACCTTGAAGAGACCTGGCTTTGCAGGGGGGTTTAGGGTTTAGGGTTTAGGGTTTAGGGTTTAGGGTTTAGGGTTTAGGGTTTAGGGTTTAGGCCTTGAAGAGACCTGGCTTTGCCACGTGTTCAAGGCTCGGTTGGACAGGGGGGTTTAGGTGTTAGGGTTTAGGGTTTAAGCTACCAAAATCTCCGTGGTGCGGCAGACTACGGACTGCTAGGCTAGCAGCATGCATGACAGGTTGCAGGACTGTGAAGCTGGAGGTCCCCCGAAGACTTTGAAAGTCGGGCCCCTAGCGTAGTCGGCTTTCCAGGGCTTACGGTAACCAGCACACAACTTGAGGGTAACTATTTCAGCAACAAGCAGAAACATTCATTAAACTCTAACGACTTGAGGCACAGTACTTGTGTAGCACTCCCTGGCGTGCCCCTGTCTTTATCCGGCGGTTGGCGCGTGTTTGCCTCCGCCGCAGCCCTTGAGACAAGAGATCTGCTCCACCAACAGACGCTAAACTCCCTAAAGCCTTAACCCTAAACCCTAAACCCCTTTCTTGCTGAGCCCTAAAAAGCTAACTCTACCCTAAACCCTAAATCCTAAACCCTAAACCCTGAACCCTAAACCCTAAACCCCAACTTCTAAGGAAAAAACGCAGGAGCCGATCCATCCGTCTGTCTCTGAATTCCAGGACTGGCGGGTGTTCAAGGGGGCAACTTGTGTGACACACCGTCATGAGGCAGCAGGCAGAGAAGGAAGCTGGGATCGCGTGGTGGGTTAGGGTTTGGGGTTTAGGGTTTAGGGTTTAGGGTTTAGGGCTTAGGGCTTAGGGTTTAGGGCTGAGGGTTGAGAAGTACACCTCATCTGCGATGCTGCTGACGTCTGGGTGAAACATGGGCCGAGCAACTCGGTAGTGAGACCTGTCAAGCGCCCGGCGGCTCTGTCTGCGCATTCTTGTATCCTTGAGCGCACATGCACATACAACTACAGACATGTATATGTATGCATAGTCTACGTGCGTACATGCGCATGTGTGTGTGTACAATCTGAACTGCCCCTCGGGCAGACTTGCAGTCTTTCCGATTCAGCTCCAAACCAATCGGCGGTCATCAGGTAGTGCAAGCTCAAAGATGGAGTAGAAGAAGTGCTAGAGTGTGCATTCTGTGTCAGGCTATGTCTGATTGAACTTGCCCGCTCAGCCCTCGAAGTCTTTGAGCTGCTTTGTCAGCGACTTGGCCAGGCTGCTGCAAAGAGACTCAGCCCCAAAACCCCAAAACCCTGAAGCCCTAATCCCTACACCCTACCTGTAGCATGATGAGCCCTAATGTTTATTGGGGCTTCGAACGCTGAGAGCTTGGTGGGATTGAGTTTCGTGCAAACCCGCAAAAGCCTGCTCCATTCACTATAGGGTACTTAAGGGAGGGGGGTTCATGGGGGTAGGCGCCTAGAGAACCGAACTCCCCATCTGCAAAACCCAGCATCACGAACACTCTCCACACCCTTTTACCATCCGGAGGAAAGCCACCTGAAATGTCCTGGTCACACCAAAGGATACCCAAACCTCCAGCCGCGAGCTCACGTCATGAATCATCTAAGTTTAGAAGTATGGACCATCTTTTCTGGCCCTCGTCTTCTATTTGGGGAAAACCACAGGAACCTAGAAGGTGTACATTACGTGTACGGGCCCAAATCAAGGGCCCATACTGTAAACCGCAGAAATCGAGGACTGCCCTACCCAGTCCCCCAACACCTAAGTACCCCAACCCCTTGCCACCAGACTCACTCAGCAGGTGCACCCTAAACCCTAGTATCCCTGTGACTAATTCTGGGCCCTATAAACCCTAAACCTGAAAACCCCTAAAACCCTAAACCTCAAGTCCTAAAACCCTGAACCCTAAACCTTAAAACCCTAAACCTTAAAACCCCTAAAACCCTAAACCCCAAGTCCTAAAACCCTGAACCCTGAACCCTAAACCCTAAACCCTAAAGCCCCAAGCAGCGCGGCTTATCCTTGGCCCCAGACGGCTATCTCCTCTCGCTGCATGTCGAGCTCACCTGGGTTTTCCAAGCTCGCCCCTGACTTTAAGCCACTTTGGGGCTGGGTTTTAGGGTTTAGGGTTTGGGGTTTGGGGTTTAGGGTGTGGGGTTTAGGGTTTCGGGCTTAAAGTTTAGGGTTTAGGGTTATGGTGCCGCCTAGCAGCCTCGCAAACACACTGCAGGGATGCAATGCGTCCACGCTGTCCATTGAACTAGAGAAAGGGAAAACTTCACCATGCATGACGATGACTTTCAACGAACCTCTTACAGACCCAGTAGGTTAAAACCATGCCTCCAGAGGGCTTAGGGTGTGGGGTTTCGGGTAATGAGGATAGGGTTTAGGAATTAGGATTTAGGGTTTAGGGTCTAGGGCCATAGATCGCAGGGTTCTGTTCAGGCACGCGTTGGTAAACTGGGCCTACGTAGCCCCAGTCAAGGCGTGGCTTTCCGTGCAGAGGCGCCCACAAGACAGCCCAAGACATTCCCACTCTCCGCACTTTGTATGGCCTTAAAAACCCTAAACCCTAAACCCCAAACCCTAAACCCTAAACTCTACACCCTGCACAGCCTGCCTGGACCTGATGAAGGGAGAATGAATACATCAGCACACAACCCTAAACCCTAAACCCTAAACCCTACACCCTGCACAGCCTGCCTGGACCTGATGAAGGGAGCATGAACATATCAGCACACAACCCTAAACCCTAAACCCTAAGCCCTAAACCCTGCAGGCAAGCGGCGTTCGAGGTCGGCTGCCTTGGAGGTCTGGATGCTCTGGCCCATGTTGGCAAGCTCCTGTTTTCTATACTGAACTTGGAACCCCAGCAGCAAAAATCACAAAGTTTTTGGCTGCTTCTTAGGAGTTTCAGTACCCCAAGTTACTAGAATTCTTCCCAAGTTAGGAGTTTCAGTACCCCAAGTTACTCGAATTCTTCCCAAGAATCCCTCAGTTTTTGGAGTTTTGGGACTGAGAGACTTAGGGGGCCACCTGGGCTTCGGAGTTGCCGGGTGTGCTCGGACTTGTTTGGCCTATGTGGTGCCTTGGTTTCGGGGAACGAAAAGAGTATATATATATATATATCTACACATATTCTCTCTCTCTATATATATATATATGTATTGATATATATATATATACACACTATATTCACCTACGCAGAAACAAGAGAAGTCCGCTAAACCTTTTGAAGCTGGTACTTGCTGAATGCCGAACCCGATAGCTCCTGCGCTTGCCGCTCATGCTTGAGGTTGTTGATCTCTCTCCGGAGGTCATTGATCTCCCGGATAAGTGAGACGTTTTCCTGCACCAAGTTTGAAAGCATGCCTGCATGCGCACGTAAACACATGGGATGTAACAGCCTCACCCCCCTCCCCCCAAACAAGGCTGGAACAGCGGGGTAGGGTTTAGAGCTCCGACTTTTTTCAAACTGTAGCATTCGTTCGGATGTGCTCTGGCCAGAACTGTTCAAGTAGGCGACTTGAGGCCGCGCGGAACTGAAGAAAACGAATCTAAGTCTCTGGACTTCCGACAGTTGCAGAAACATGCTCGGCAAGCTCATCGTGAGCACAGATTTAGTAGCCCAGAAGCCAGATCACAAAAAGGTGCCCTTTTTTTGGGGTTGGTTACTTTGCAAGGGAACCTTGAACCTAAAAAAGGGGAAAAGGGTACCACTCGGCGACGCATCATTAATCTTCTCCCAGTCCTCAACCCTAAACCCTAAACCCTGAACCCTAATCCCTAAACCCTTACTATACCCTAAAGCCTAAACCCCAAACCCGGGCACGCGCCTGCATGATCCTCATGTTGTCGATGCGATGGGCCTCGAAAGAACATCCGCTTGTGTACTGCGGTTTAGGGTTTAGGGTTTAGGGCTTAGGGTTTAGGGTTTAGGGTTTAGGGTTTAGGGTTGAGCTTGGGATGTTCCCCCTTATACTAACAGTCCTTAACGGGGATTCTAATCGGGGGCACTGCAATCCTCGTGCGGACTGCTAGTATAAGGGGGAACATCCCAAGGTCGAGCGTTTGTCCATTGTAGGGCCTGTGTAAATAGAATGAGTGTGATTAGGGTTTAGGGTTTAGGGTTTAGGGTTATGTAGGGAAACTGCCGCTGTCTGAGTGCTAGGGCCGGAGACGGAAGAATCCTTTTACTTACTAGGGTTGCAAGGGGATGGTGTTGGAAAATCTGTAGGCTCCCGAAAAGGTCAGGGTCGGACAAGGCTTACTTGAAAACAGAACTTCGCGAAGAGCCGGGTCATGAGCTTGGGAAGAGCACCACGCCAGCAGCTTACTTACCGTCAGCTTATACTCTTGGCTTTGATATACTGATACGAAGTAGGGTATATATTTCTTGTACCCCCCCCAAAAGGACACCCGGTATATGCACTCACCAAAATTATATACACTCACCAAAAACAGAAATGTAAACCCTGCTTTCATATACGCGAAGGAATCGGAGGAAGTGAGGTGAAGGAATCAGCTCCCAAGACCCAGAGCCCCCTGGGCTGTGGCGGATGTTTTCAAGGCTCAAGCCCAGTCTAATACCCAAAACCTTCGCATCGTGAGACCCGAAATCCGGTGCCTGAGCCTAAGCCCTAAACCCTAAACCCTGAACCCTAAACCCTAAACCCTAAACCCTAAACCCCGAAAAAAACTTGGGCCAGAAGCCGATGTTGTAAAGGCAACACCTGCACCCATGGCAGCCTGGCTGTCTTTCTCCAGCTTTCGCTTCAACGAGTCCACGGACTTCTCCAGGTAGTCTCGCTGCCTCTCTCTCTCTGTCTCTCTCTCTGCCCAGGTTTAGGGTTCAGGGTTTGGGGTTTAGGGTTGAGGGTTTCTGGTCTTCGAGGAATCTTGGGGGCGGCTCCAACGAAGGAAAACCGCCTTTCCGCTTCAGCTTTGGGGATTTCCAGGGGTTCAGGGAGAGGCCTGATGCTTCGAGGCTTTTATGCGGACAAAACTGAGGGATCTCCCAGCACACCACATGCTCGGCCCGAACCGAAGACTGGCTAGCCGAACCACCATCGAAGAATCCTATCCCACCAAACCTGCCAAGAATGAACATCCCACAGATCATCATGTGCAACAAAACGAGATATGTGGGTAGTTCTCTACATTGGGGCCCCTTTTTGGGGTCCCCCTTTTTTAGGGTGCCGCCTCAGTATGGGTACCCAAAAAGGGACCCTCAGTTAGGAAGCTGCCGCACTGCCCATATACTACCTTCAGGGCCCATGGCTAGGCTATCGGAGGTCAGGACGTACTACATTCTGAGATGGTGGCTTCTTTTTCATGTTGGGTCACTACGACAAACGGCCTGTTGTACTCCTTCTGCATGTCCGTGTCCAGATCTTGTCGCTTCGCGCCACCCTGGACATACTTCCTGCGCGGAGACGGCGCATGCGGCTTGGAGGCTTCGAGGCCCAACATTGTCTGAACTACGTAGGGTTTAGGGTTTAGGGTTTAGGGTTTAGGGTTTAGGGTTTAGGGTTTAGGGTTTAGGGTTTAGGGTTTAGGGAGATTGCCGGCAAAAAAGGGAGCGGTCGTGCTAGGTGTGCTTAGCATGGACTCAGAAAGCATTGAGAGCAGAACCAAACATCTCGCGATGGGACCCTAAAACCTTAAGGCCTAGCCCTCCCCCAAGCCTGCTCAAAGAAGCCAAGTTAGCCAGCTTTCTTGTAGGTCATGCTGACAACCGTTCTGCTAGAATTCTTTGGTAGAATGGAGAAGCACATGGTTCTTAGGTAGAACCTGCAAACAGCAAGTGGGTTTTGGGTTGCTTGGCAAAAGAGGGGATCCGAAGACCCGTAGACGTACACCATACATAGGCCCCTACTGCGGATCCCTTTAAATCCCCTTGAAAGAAGGATAAGGGACCATTACTAAGGGCCCATGGTAACCTTAGACGGAACCCGGCCGCGCCTGTAAAGAGCCGTGACACTCTCTTTCAGGGCCTTCGGTTCCGAAATGGTCTCCAGGCCTGGGATCTGTTTCTGTGTTGGGGCTTAGGGCTTTAGGGGTTCAGGGTTCCATGTTTTTAAAGGCTTGGGGATTTGGAGCTTAGGGCTTGGGATCTGTTTCTTTCTGTTAGGGTTTAGGGTTTTAGGGCTTGGGGTTTAGGGTGTAGGGCATGGGGTTTAGGGTTTTATATAGGGCGTGCGGTTTAGGGTTTTAGGGTTTAGGGCCTGGGACCTGTTTCTTGGTGGGATTTAGAGGTTCAGGGTTTAGGGTTTAGGGTTTAGGGTTTAGGGTTTAGGGTTTAGGGTGTGTGGGCTTTGTTGGAGGTGGATGGGTTGGTTCATGGCAACTGGTGTTTGGGCATCCTTCCTCCTACGGCATGGTGAGTCCAACTGGCTGTTGCGAATTTGGTGGTCCAAGCCATGGAAAATCCTAAACCCTAAACCCTAAACCCTAAATCCTAAACCCTAAACCCTAAACCCCAAATCCTAAACCCAAAACCCTAAACCGTCGTCTGAACCCTGAGCCCTTTTGGTCCCAGGTCATGCCGTGCATCCCCAAACCCTCAACCGTTTTGAGGTACCCAAGAAGCCCTGGAAGCCCCTGCAAAAGAAGCCACCATTTCAACCTAAGTTGTCCCCCCCCCCCCCACCCCCCCACCCCCTGTAATCCCTAAACCCTTAACGCCCTTACGCACACACACACACACACATTCAAAAAGCCCTCCTTTAAAGCCGTTCGTGCCTCTAAACCCTTTAAACCCTTACCCCACTTAAGGCCTTGAACCCTTCAAACCCTGTAAAATCCCTAATTACACCCCTAAAACCCATTAAAGCCGGAAACCCCTAACAGCCTAAATCCCGAAAACCCTAAAGGCCCTAAAACCCTGAAGCCCGAAAACCCCAAACCTTGAACCCGAAGCCCTAAACTCTAAAAACCCCAAACCCCAAACCCTAAAGCCCCCAAACCCTAAACCCCAAAAACCCCAAAAACCCCAAAAACCCCAAAAACCCCAAAAACCCCAAAAACCCCAAAAACCCTAAACCCCAAAAACCCCAAACCCTCAACCTTAAAGCCATTCAAAGCCCAGGTGGCAGTCGCTGAGGTCCAGCTTGAAGCGCTTGATGAGCGACAAGTCGTCCCGGAGCTTCCTGCAGCGGTTAGCACCGGTTTGGGGTTTAGGGTTTAGGGCTTCTGGGGGTCTAGGATTTTTAGGGTGTAGGGGGGTTAGGGTTTAGGATTTGAAGGATTTCTTGGGGTTTAGGGTTTAGGGGCTTAGGGCTTAGGGTTTAGGGCTTTAGGGGTGTAGGGTCAAATGCCTCGAGCCCTTCATCCCGCGAACACCTTCCCGTCTGAGAGGGCTTAGGGTTTCTAGGGTTTTTTTGAGTTTCTTTGGCATCTGTAGGGTTTGTATGTGGTTTACATCGGGTTTAACCGTCGGGTGTAGGGCTTCTTGCCATCCCATGCGCTTGGCGGGTTTAGGGATTGGGTAGGTAGGAATTCGTAGTGCAGCCTTTTGTTTGCGCTGTAGTTAAAGGGGATCACCCTAAAGAAGTACTTCTCGCCAGCCTATAGGTGAGCCTGCCTTACAACTAACAGCCGGTCTACAAGCCAGAACCGCAAAGGTTTAGGGTTTAGGTTTTCGAGCTGGGAGAGACTTGATGGGTGGAACCCAGTGGAGCAAGCTGGTCCTCTTTTGCGCTTTGATCTCCTGTCAGCAAAGGGCCGCAGTCTGTGATGGGTTTAGAAGTTTAGGGTTCAGGTGGCTTGGTGGCATTCCACAGAAACCGAAACTTTTCGGAGCTTCACACAAAGGCCCCAGCCATCACAGCCCTGACCGCAACCGTCTCAGCACGCAAAGCGCTCCTCCTGCAGGGCACGCTGCTTCATCTGCAACTGCGAAATCTGAAGCGCCTTGTGTGAGTTGTCGGGCGGCAAATCGCTGCAGGCTGCAAAACGGAAAGCTGCCATCGTCTCCACTTTTTGAGGGGAGGAGAGGTCCTTTCTGGGCGGCCACCATATACCCTTGCAACATGTAAAGGCTCCTCTCGGCGTACATACAATGCTAGAGCGAACCATGGTCAACAACCTCCGGGTGGCGTGATGAAGGGCATTAATACTGTCCAAGCACGCATGCAGGTTGATTTCGCAAACTTTGCTTGGGGGGACCAGACTTTACTTGGGCATTGCAGGACAAGATTCAGAGTTACCTCTGTCCAGCAAAATGTTCCGAAACCCTTCAAACCTTACATATGATTCAATGAAGTATATGTATACACGTATGTATTCTTCTGGTATTGTAGTAGTACTCTTCAGAGTTTATTGTAGTAGTACTCTTTAGAGCTTTAAACAATTATCTACCCCTTATCCCGAAGCATGCTCAGTACTGCGGACTGCAATGCTGAGACCGGAGCAAGCTGCTTGTTCTTGCCTCAGCACTCTCGCCCGTCAACTACGTACCCTATTCCCTAAACCCTAAACCCTAAACCCTAAAACCTGAACCCTAAACCCTAAACCCTAAACCCTATACCCTATTCAGTCACAGCGGTCGTAGACACCAAAGTCAGCTGCAACCGAGCGAGGCCGAGATGCGCTTGTAGTCATTCAGCTCATCTTCCATGGCCTGACGCCAGGGTTTGTTTTAGGGTTTAGGGTTTAGGGTTTAGGGTTTAGGGTTTAGGGTTTAGGGTTTAGGGTTTAGGGTTTAGGGTTTAGGGTTTAGGGTTTAGGGTTTAGGGTTTAGGGTTTAGGGTTTAGGGTTTAGGGTTTAGGGTTTAGGGTTAGGGTGTACATGGTGCCTGTCCCTGTGCTGCCCTGGTGACGTAGGTTCAGATCCACTGGTCGAGATTGTCGACATCCGGTGCGCATGGCACACACACTGAAGAGCTTTGCCCCCTCAATGTTTATGCACTCTTGACCCTCCGATGTCTCGAAGTCTACACTCCGGACCACCCACCCAACCCTCCAAATCACTCCCCGCCTCGGCTCCCCCAAAGCCATCGCACCCTCTCTAAAGAGCTGGCGTCCTTACACGGCCCCAAAACCTCAAACCCTAAAATCTAAACCCTCAACCTTCAACCCCTAAAAAATCCTCAACCCTCAGCCCTGAACCCTAAACCCCTATAAACCCTCAACCCTCAACCCTGAACCCTAAACCCCTATAAACCCTCAACCCCTATAAACCTTCGGTATGGTAGTTGGGAACCCTAAACCCTAAACCCTAAACCCCTAAAAACCCCTCAGCCCCTATGAACTCTCCCTATGGCAGTTGGGAAGCTTCCGGCGCCTGAGTCTGCGTCTTCATGGAGGCGATGTCTGCGGTCTTTGGGTCGATCTGGGCCTTCCCAACTCCAAGACGGCTTAGGGGGCTTAGGGGTTTAGGGTTTAGGGTTAAGGGTTTAGGGTTAGGGGGCTTGGGGGGCTTAGGGGTTTAGGGTCTATTTTTTTTCTCGCTCGCCTAGCTAAACTGTACGCCCACATTGCAGGGAATTGGCATTAGGGTCTTTAGGGTCCTCAGCGCTTTAGGGCACTTTACGTTAGGGCTTACAGGGGAGCTGCCTTGGTCCTTGGTGTTCAACCCTCAACCCTAAACCCTGCATCCTAAATTCTAAGCCCTGAACCCCACATCAGCCGCTGGCTTTCATGCCCCCAATGCGGGCCTTCAACTCTCTGATTTTGTAGTCCAGCACCTTGGGGCATGGGTAGTTTCATATTCGTGGCCGAGGGTTTAGGGTTTGAAATGCCTCCATGAGGAGGAGGAGGAGGAGGGACTTTCTACTTTGATTTGCTCCGGTCCAAGACCCATCAATTGCGCCGAGGTTTTGTTCAGCATAATGTAGGGGCGTTGACAATTAGAAAAGGGTTTTGGGGGGATTTTCTAGAATAACTATAAAGGGACTATGAGGGAATACGAGTCGTCATTATTCCGACCCATAGAGTATATGCTTAAGAGCACACTGGTGCACTGTTGGGAGATTCTGGAACAAGAGACCTTGTTTCTCCTCCTTTTTGGGGTTTAATACCCTAATCCCTAAACCCTAACCCCTAAACCCTAAACCCTTTTAAGTATTCTTAAAATGCGGATGATGTTCAGCAGTGGTGGCCAGCTCACTCCTCTTCTATAGGCCTGTGGCACGTGCGAGAGCAGTAGTCGTACCACACTCCAAGAACAAAAAGGAGGTATTTCCCAAAATAGGGTCTAGGGTTCAGGGTTTTTTCATTAGGGTTTAGGTACCCCTTAGTATGACCCAACATGCAGTTAGTCTCTGCTAAGGACGTCCCAAGAAGGGGACCCTCAAGTTCAGAATCACTCAGGCAGTTGTCTGGACATCCGGTTCCGCACAAGGCGGCCAAACTCCTTGACCACCCTAACCGAGGGGCGAAGCGGAACTTCTCGAGCTCCTGGTTCCTTGGACAAGACATCCGCTGAAAGCAGTCGTGCAACACTGATGACCCTAGAAGGCGCATGAAAAAATCCGAGCTCCTTCCTAGGGTTGAGGGATTTTGGGGTTTCGGGGTTTTGGGATTTTACGGAGTTAGGGGAGCCTGGGGAGGACCCCTTGTAGTTCTTCAGTAGGCGACTCGGGGGCCTCGACAGCTTCTTTGGGGGTTTAGGGTTTAGGGTTTAGGGTTTAGGGTTTGGGGTTCAGACTCAGAGCACTCTTATCGGGGCAGTTCTCCACCCCCCTGGGTCCCTTTAGGGTTGCAGGCCTGACTGACATTTTCCGCAACAACAACAACAAAAGAGAGAGGAACCTCCACCTTGGCCCTGAATTCTTTTGCACTAAACCCTAAACCCTAAACCCTAAACCCTAAACCCTAAACCCTAAACCCTAAACCCTAAACCCTAAACCCTAAACCCTAATCCTCCTAGGGGGCTGGGTCAGTGTCTACGGAGGACAGCGATGCGCGAGATCCGGAAGCCAAGGCGCTGCTTCTTCAGGTCGAAGATCCGCTGCTCCTTGGGGGGCTTTAGGGTTTAGGTTTAGGGTTTAGGGTTTAGGGTTTCGGGTTTAGGGGTTAGGGCCGTAAACCCTAAGCCCTAAGCCCTAAGCCCTAAGCCCTAAGCCCTAAGCCCTAAAACCCTAAACCCTAAACCCTAAACCGGGGTTTAGGGCTTAGGGCCAGTACAGTAGGCCACAGGTGCGGAACCCAGGCCTTGAATCTAAAGCCCTCACCCTAAACCCTAAAACCCTAAAACCCTAAACCCTGAACCCTAAACCCTAAACCCTCAACCCTCAACCCTAAACCCTAAACCCTAAACCCTCCCCCTCTCTCTCGTAGGCTGGCCCTTGAAGCCCTCTGGCAAAAATCGCTCTACACAAGGTCCTCTTCAGCCCAAATGGCAGCAAGGGGGCCATGTCAAACCCCAAGCCCTCACCAAACCCTAAACCCTAAACCCTAAACCCTAAACCCTAAACCCTAAACCCTAAACCCTAAGGGCAGCCGATGGCCTTGTCGTGAATGGTCTTGTCGCGCTCCTTGATCTCTTTCTCATTGGAGTCCTTATCCTGGCACGTGGTATACCCGTGAGAGTAACCCTTATTCTGCCTTTTAAACCCAATACCATAAACCCTCAGAACCCTAAACCCTAAATCCCTAAACCCTTCAAAACCCGAAACCCTAGATCCCTAAACCCCAAATGCCTAAACCCCCCCCTAAACCCTGAATCCCTAAACCCTAAATCCCCCAAACCCTGTCCGTGATCTTCAGCCCAGCAGGGTCTTGAAAGCTTCGGGATTTCTAGGGCTTAGGGGCCCTCAGCCCCCCTGCGATCCGCCAAGGAACTTAAGGAAGGGCCCAGAACTTTCAAAACCCATCATTTCGGGGGGCAGTCAGCCCTAAACCCTAAACCCGAAACCCGAAACCCGAAACCCTAAACCCGAAACCCGAAACCCTAAACCGTAAACCCTAAACCCTAAACCCACCCTCAGAAGCCGCAAAGGTAGTGCCAGGCCTTCATGAGGCCCAAGATTTTCTCCTCGGCCTTGCGGCTCTCTTCGGCCTTCTTCCGGACCTCCTCCTCTTTCTTCATCATGTCGGTGTTCCTTGTTGGGGGGGGGGGGGGGGTTTCGGGAGTTTAGGGTTTAGGGTTTTTATGGTTGATGACTTCATGATGTCAGCCTTGGAGGTTTCGGTTTTAGGGTTTGTGTGTAGGCTTCGGGTATTCCTAGTTCCTACTGACATCGGCTGCTGGTGTTTTGGGCGTTCTTACTACTCAGCAAGAGTACGACAACTGCCAGGAATCATTGAACTCGACAACTCCCAACTCCAAGCTTCAAAGACTTGACACTTATTGCAATTTCTACGCGCAGAACTTTCCAATAGCTAAGAAAGGCCCCGGTCTTGAACCGAATGGCCAGCCACTGCCTTCCAAAGAAGTGGTGTGTAGAATATATGTGTGGCAAAGCCAACTGGCGAGCGATCAAAAGGAGACTTCGTACAAGGCGTCTTCGGGCTCTGGAGGACTGGATCAAGCTTGTCTGCTGGACAGCAGCTAAACCCTAAACCCTAACCCTGCAAATGCAGCACTTTCAGCGTAGCGGCAGGTCGTGGTGGTGTTTCTGATGAATTCCAGCTTGGCCGCGCAAGCGGACCTTAGCTCGAAAGCTACTGCTGCCTCCTTCGTGAAGGGTTCTCACCCTGGTTTAGGGTTTCGGGTTTAGGGAAATATACAAATGAAACACATATTGGATAATTTAGCTTCGCATAAGATGTGTGTCTTTGGTCTACTTCAAGAAATAAGCGAATAATCAATCAATACATTAGCTAAAGATATGATTACATACATAACCTGAAGCATTCTTTGATACCTGCGACAGCCTCTCAACGTGATTGGCGTGCTGTTCGAGGCTGTCGTTTTTTCACATGGCAGAGGATGCACCCTAAATCCTCAACCCATCAACCCTAAACATCCCTGAACCCTAAACATCCCTAAACTCTAAGCCCTAAACCCTAAACCCTAAGCCCTAAACCCTGAGCCCTAAACCCTGAGCCCTAAACCCTAAGCCCTAAACCCTACATCCTAACCCGAAACCCGAAACCCTAAACCCTAAACCATAAAACTGGGGTGGCAGAGTCGATGCACTTAGAACGCGCTTCAGGCCACGGCACCTTGTCGTCCTTCTCTTGCGCCAACTTCTGCTCGTACCTGTTTAGGGTTTAGGGCTAGGGTTGAGGGTTTAGGGTTTAGGGTTTAGGGTTTCGGGTTCAGGGTTGAATTCTGCTCCCAAATCCAGACCACAAGAGTCGCGAGCTGCGCTCTCATGTTGGGCTGGAGGTAGCCATGGCAACAGTTTGTACATGACTTTGCCATGGCCGTTTCTGTAAGTAGGGCTGGGCACAAACCCTAAACCCTAAGCCCCAAGCCCTAAACCCTGAACCCTAAACCCTAAACCCTACTCCAGCCCCCCCCCCCCCCCCCGGGGCCAGTCCCTCAAAGCAAGCCACTCAGCTGCAGCCCGGGCCGCATTTCCTTGAGTTCCTCAATCTCGCGATCTGCATCTCGCTCCAATTGAGCCAAGGTTTCCTTCCGGAGCACAGTGTTTAGGGTTTAGGGTTTAGGGTTGGGGTGTAGGGTTTAGGGTTTAGGGTTTAGGGTTTAGGGTTTAGGGTTTAGGGTTTAGGGTTTAGGGTTTAGGGTTTAGGGTTTAGGGTTTAGGGTTTAGGGTTTAGGGTTTAGGGTTTAGGGTTTAGGGTTTAGGGTTTAGGGTTCGGGCTTAGGGCTTAGGGCTTAGGGCTTAGGGTTTGGGGTTTGGGGTTTGGGGTTGCGGGTTGAGGATTTAGGGTTTATGGGGGGGGCTTTTGCTGTTGAGCAGGGGGCTAGAAGAAGCACTGGCCGTGTCTCGCCATGTTTTTCAAGAGCTGATCCAGCGGTTTTGGGTTTAGGGTCCAGGGTTGGCTGCAGAATCTTAGGCCCGGAACCCTAACCCTAAACCCTATTTAAGCCCTAAGCCCTACACCCCAAACCCCACTTCCACTCAACCCTAAGCCCTACGCCCCAAACCCTAAACCCGAACTGACCCTAAACCCCTGAAAGCCTGTCGGTCGGATTTTGCAGACCCACAGTTTCCAAGAGCGCTAAAGAGGGTTAAGGGTTCCTTAAGCTGGTGGTTCATTTGGGTCCTAAACCCTAAACCCTAAACCCTAAACCCTAAAGCCCTAAACCCTAAGACGTCTTGATATATGGGCTTCAGGGTTTCGGGCAGTCGCCGCATCCTGAGGCTCGACTGCCCCATGTCAAACAACCCTAAACCCTAAACCCTGAACCCTAAACCCTAAACCCTAAACCCTAAAAAGCCGTCCTGGTGGTGCTTGAAGGCCACCTCCTTCTCCTTGATGATCCTGCAATTTTGGGGGCTTAGGGCTTGGTTTAGGGCTTGGGGAAGGCAGGTACCCTATACCTCCCCTATATATGTACCCTTTAAGGGATCATACAGGAGTACCTCATTCCCTCATTCCCTACTAACCAACAGTATCTCTAGGGTAGTATCAGGGGCCCGCTTCGTGTGAAGTTTGCAACTTGTGAGCCAAGGGTTCTTTCCGGCTGGACTCTTGGAGTGGTTAGGGTTTAGGGTTTAGGGTTTAGGGTTTAGGGTTTAGGGTTTAGGGTTTAGGGTTTAGGGTTTAGGGTTTAGGGTTTAGGGTTTAGGGTTTAGGGTTCTGTCCCCCCCCCATGGCTTGCAAGACTTTGGACCACTCTTCGGCTGCACGGATGAGGAGCAGGTACAGGTGCCGAAGGTTGAACCGGCGAACTCTTGAAGACGACCAGCATGAAACTTGCAAGACAAGTCTCGGAAGTGTGAAAAAACCCTAAAGCGGGCACTGAAGTATGCTCATGCTTGGGGGCACCCAAGAGGTCGCAAGTTGGATAACCCTAAACCCTAAACCGCGCGAATTCCCATGGGAGCCCTGCTCGGCCTGTCCATGGTGTCCCGGTTGGACCTCTGGATCTTCTCCGCATCCTGCTTCCTTTCATTCTTAGGGCTTTGGGGGGTTTAGGGTTTAGGGTTTAGGGTTTAGGGTTTAGGGTTTAGGGCTTAGGGTTTAGGGTTTCGGTTACATGGTCCCTTAGTATGGGCCTGTAAACGGAGCCCCCCCTCATATACTCCATGCAACCCAAGCCCCATGCTTCAGATCCCTTTCAAGGAGGTAAGGGACCAGATTATGGGCCCATAGAACTACTCCAACTGAGAAGTTAGAGGAATCCGGAGTTGAACGGGGTTTGGGGTTATTGGGGTTATTGGGGTTTATGGGGTTCATAGGGTTTGTGGGGTTGATTGGGTGCATAGGGCTTGTGGAGTCTATAAGGTTTGTAGGGTTTGTAGGGTTTAGGGCTTAGAGCCATCGTTTGGCAAGCAAAATCAAAAGTTGGAGGATATGAGTCGGCGTCAAAATTACTTGTTTAAAGCTTGCTTGTTTTTGAATTAGCGCGTCCCCCGTCGTTTTCCATGTTCTCCACCTACCGCATCTTTATCCTGTCGTATCGAGTTACCCCATCATTTTAGCGCGTCCCCATCGATCCTCGGGGTGTTGCACTAAAATAAGCAAGCGGCAATGTTGACCGCGTCTCATATACCAAAACAAGCAGCAATCACCTGGAACCATGAAACCTCACCACCTGCACTCCAAGGGTAGGTGCATGGTCAAAGCTAATACTTCAGAAACCTTCATTCACGGACCATGTACCTCAGGAGCTCTGGCCTTTCATCCGTACCCTGTGCACAAAGCCTCACTATTTTCATGGCCCGCCGAGCCACATCTGATCGATGACCTGCGAATGCTCCGCAAGAAGGGCAGCGTGCTGCGTCTCCCACTCCTGCTTCTCGCGCTCCTGACAAAGCTTGGGCCCGTGGGGTCCGACAGTGGCCATCGGGGCTCTGCTGGGCTTAGGGGTTTCGGGGGTTTAGGGTTTGGGGTTAGGGGTTTAGGGGGGTTTAGGGGGTTTAGAGGGGGTTTAGAGGGGGTTTAGAGGGGGTTTAGAGGGGGTTTAGAGGGGGTTTACGAGTTCGAGAATTTTTCAAGCTTGGGAGATGGGCTGTGGGCTGTTGAAAATGACTCTGGGACCCATGATCTTGCTGTTGGTCAGCAGGGAAGGAGGGAATGAGGTACCCCATATCCTCCTGTGTATACCCTTTACGGGATTATATAGGGTACCTCATTCCCTCATTCCTTCATTCCCTACTGACCAACAGTAAGTTAAGAAGGGGTCGAAAGGCGCTCAGTAAGCAGCAGACGGGATCCTATGATAAACCCACGGTCTAAGAAGCCATGGCGTAAGACACCTGAGCCCTTAGTTCCGGGCAATTTGGCTGTAACTTTCTCTGGATACATTGGGAACCGAATCTCCCTACAAATCCGGAAAGCCGCTTTCTTCTGTAATTGTCCGGTAACCCAAAAATTGGCAAGCTCGATGTTGAAACTGCGGCAGGCCATTGGCAAAGCATCCCTCACTGCCCCACACTTTGGCCGAGTCGCGAGATCTTTCTCGAGCTTCTTGTAGCGCTGATCCTGGTTTTTTTCTGCTCTGCTGCTGGCAAAAAGCCTAAACCCTAAACCCTAAACTCTAAACAAACCCTAGAACCTGGCAAACCCTGGAGCTCGGCAAGCAGTCTTTAAGGAAGCACGGCACCCTGCTTACTTGTGCTTTTTTGCGGCCTGCCTAGCAGCCTCGCAACCACACTGCAAGAAGTGCGTTCAATGGGGGAAGGGAGAAATCACATGCACTACTCATGTGAGGTTACCGCGCAGACATGACCACACCGACTTCCAGTAGGACACCAGTCACGAGACAGCTACTTGGGTTTAGGGTGAGGGTTTAAGGCCAAAATAGAGAACCGGACGTCGCAAATCTGCAGATGTCCTAAATACTCGTCGGTGGCGACGCATACGGGAACTTTCTCGCCCTAAGTCCTATAAACCCTCTACAAAGCCCATAACCCTTGTAAAACACCTAATTAGACACCCTAAGCCCAGAACCCAAAACCCTAAACCCTAAACCCCACCTCCACGATCATCTTTTGGTCGAAGGACTCTTGCCTCGGGAGAGGTTGCAGCATCTACTGGACCCCAAACCCTGAACCTCAAGTTGGGTGAGCTGAAGATCAAGTCCAACACTTGCCCAAGTGCTCTGAGAACTGCATGGAAACCCTGCAAATTTGCAACTCCAGACTGAACTGTCGAGTGGGGTTAGGGTTTAGGGTTTAGGGTTGAGGGTTGAGTGCTCAGGGTTGCGGGTTTAGGGTCGAGGGTTTACCAGCCTTACCCCTCAATCCCAACCTTTCCGTAACTAAAAGCAGGCAGGATGCTGGTCTTGCAAGTCCCTGGCGTGCTTCTCTTCCAGATTCTTGATGTGTTCTTCCTGGGCTCAGCAAGCCACGGTTTAGGGTTTAGGGTTTAGGGTTTAGGGTTTAGGGTTTAGGGTTTAGGGTTTAGGTGACCCAGAGAGTAACCTCGGAATAAAAAAGGCCTTCCCTTTTTGGGTTCAAAGGGGCTTCTAAGGGAACCCAATCCCCCCCCCCCCCCCCCCAAAAAAAAAAGAAGGAGTAAGGGCCTGCTCTGGGTCCTAGCACAAGTCCTGTAAGCTGTAAGCTGCCACATGAACTCAGAGAACCTTTTTATGGCGCATGTGACGGAATCGGCACCTGCCCAGGCCTCCTGGTTGTGCGAACCAAAACTCGGAGAAAAAAAACTGGGGTTTAGGGTTTAGGGTTTAGGGTTTCGGGTTTAGGGGTTTTGCCATATTCAGGATTGTCTGAATCTTTTGGGCGGGAAATCACGGGGTGCCTCCGATGGGAAATGCCCAAGTCAAGGCGCATTCTCCATCTCGGCCTCCGCCTTCTCTTCACGAAGCACCTCGTGTGCCGGGGCGGCCATTCTGGACAAGTTGATGGTTTAGGGCTTCCCCACCCTTAGTTAGGGCTTAGGGTTTAGGGAGTCTGGGGGCAAGCCTTATCTTGAGTGGAGCATGGGACTGTCACTGCTCGCTGGAGGCCCTAAACCCTAAACCCTAAACCCTAAACCCTAAACCCTAAACCCTAAACCAGAGGCATCCTTGGAGATCAGACTTCCCACGCACTGAATCAACACCCCCTGAAACAAAAGACGCAAACCCAAGCACCAACAGATCCTGTCAGGCCCTAAGCCCCCGACCCTGAGGTTCCGAACCCTGAAGTTCCCGGGTCTTCGTGTCTAGCCCTAAACCCTAAACCCCAGACCCTAAACCCTAAACCCTAAACCCTGAACCCTAAACCCTAAACACTAACCCAACTGAGGCACTTCAAACTTCCGCCGCTCGGTCTCGATCTCTTCGCCTGTGGGCTGTCATTGTCTTGGGGGTTCAGTGCTAAGCCTTAAACCCTAAACCCTTTAAACCCTAAACCCTAAACCCTAAACTCTAAACCCAACGAGTCTGTTTGGGGTTCTCTAGTTGCTTCTATTAAAACAAGGCTGGTGGGTTTCTGCGGCGGCTGTAGGGGGGGGTTTCATGATTTCGACCACCTTGGCATTGGCAGGGAGAGCTTTGCACATGTTGCTCAAGCAACGTGTACTGCGGGCGGGCGCCAACAAACAGCCCTAAACCCTAAACCCTAAACCCTAAACCCTAAACCCTAAACCCTGAACCCTAAACCATCTGCAGATGTACTTGCACTGGGGTCCCAGGCTATACTTCTCCTGCATCTCGGCCATCTTCTCCTGCGTGGGGCAGCAGCTGAAAATAAGCTGGGGGTCTGACTATCCACCCTAAACCCTGAACCCTTTTGAGACGGGACTTGACCCTAAACCCTAAACCCTAAACCCTAAACCCTAAACCCTAAACCCTAACAACTATATACACCACCCAGAAGCCTCAAAGCCCCAAAGATGGCCAAAGTCCGTCACCACCCTCGCCCGCGGCACCATACCCTAAACCCTAAACCCTAAACCCTAAACCCTAAACCCTAAACCCCCAGGCACCTTGTGCAGTCCATCCCGATGTCGAAGTTGGAAGGCAATACGGCTGTCGAGCTCTTCCACCTTGCGGCTTGCTTACTTCATGCCTTGTGGTTTAGGGTTTAGGGCTTAAAGTTTTGGGTTTAGGGTTTGCGGTTTAGGGCTTCGGGTTTAGGGACCTTGGTAAGGTTTTGGGAGTTTAAGGTTTTTAGGCCTCATAAGCTTGAGTAGCATGGGAAGCATGGCACACCGAAAGCTTCACGGCCGAACAGGATGCGCAGGGTCTGTTGAGGTGTCACCTTCGTTTTGTTTTTTCCTTCTAAGCCGTTTGTCCCTAAGCCCCTATGTTGGGATGTTCCCCCTTATACTAACAGTCCTTAATAGGGATTATTGTACCCCTAATATAATCCCTATTCAGGACAGCAGTTAGGATAAGGGGGAACATCCCAACCCCGACAACCCCAAACCTCACATTCCACAGATGCCCACGATCACTCCTTCTCGACGGAAAGCCAAAATGAGCACGGTTGTTGGGCCATTTGAAACCCTAAACCCTAAACCCTAAACTCTAAACCCTAAACCCTATTTGAGCCCAGTGTATAGAGCCATAAACTTCACGTACTCCCTTTTTCGAAAGGGCTCTGGGCCTTGCGCTCCAAGTCCAACAGCACTGCCTGCTTTTCCTTGGCTTCAGGGTTTAGGGTTTAGGGTTTAGGGTTTAGGGTTTAGGGTTTAGGGTTTAGGGTTTAGGGTTTAGGGTTTAGGGTTTAGGGTTTAGGGTTTAGGGTTTAGGGTTTAGGGTTTAGGGTTTAGGGGAGGGTTGGAGAAGGAATCAAGGGGGATGTGTGTGTGTGTGCTGGGACCCAAGAAGTATATGCGCTGCTTGGGACATGTCTGGTCGCAAGCCGCCGAGTCTCATCCAGGAACTGGCGCGTGACAAGGATCTCATCGGCATAGCCCAGGCTGGAATCCTGTGCGCACGCCATGAACCCCAGAGCCCGAACGCAGGCCCGCAGGCTGCCTGAGTCACATGGGACCACAGCAGTCGAACCTTAAGCCTTGGGCTCCTGAATCAAGATGCTAAGTGTAGAGGACGGAGCATAACACAATCACACGCACACGCACACCTTCTCGTGCTTGGAGCCACCGATCTTTTTCAGATCGAAGATGCAGAGGCAGCCGTCGTCTCCAGTGCTGAAAAGGTAGAGCCTTCGTTGAAGCATCTGGGGTCTGGGAGTGCTGCGTCGGTTAGGGCTTGGTTTAGAATTTATGGTTTCAACACGAGGGTTGAAAACTTAGGGTTTAGAAATTAGGGGTTAAGGTGTAGACCCACTGTACGAGAACCAAGGCAAATCGGTGCACAAATCTCCCAGCCATCATTCAAGCCGACGAATCATGAAGGAAACTAAATCTTTTCCAAAATGTTTCAATACATACATATACACATACATAAAGAAATAAATATAAATATATATATATATATGTATATGTATATGTATATGTATATATGTCTACATACATACATACATACATACATACATACATACATACATGCATGCATACATACATACATACATACATATAATTATATAAGGCGGCCCTCAAGGTGCAACTTGCTTGCGCCAGGTGAGCCAGATGCGGACACAAAGGTGATACTTGGACTCTCTACCATCAACGCCCGACGCCTGCAAATGCAACACACAGCGACCCAAACGATACCCGAAATCCTAAACCTAAACCCTAAACCCTAAACCCGGCAAAAAGGCTTTCGAGTTTAGGGAGTCATCTACACACGAAACACACAGTACGCTCGCTTGGCGGCCATGGCCCTGACATCAGGGCATCCCGCTTTCTGGATAGTAGGCCTCCTTCTTACCATGGACGCTACAACGTTAACCCCGAACCCTAAACCCGAAACCCAGCGCCGAAAACTTTGACCTCCGACAAAGGCAAAGGAAAAATCCAGTGCAGCCAGGCAGACTCGTCCCAGGCAATGCGAATGCGAGAGACCGGTGCGGCATGGGCCTGGACCAAGAGGGTTTAGGGTTTAGGGTTTCGGGTTTAGGGTTTAGGGTTTAGTACACAAGCCTCAACCCTAAAACGTACTTAATTATGGAGGGAACCTAGGGGGGGTACCCTAAACGCTAAACCCTAAACCCCAAACCCTAAACCCTAGTATGGAGGGGGTGTAGTAGGGTAACCCATGATTCAATCACGAGGAAAGGAGGCACCCCCAGCCTAGTCTCCCAGCGGGGGCAAACGAAAGCAACCCCAGCTCGGCGCAAGGCAACTTGGGGTATGGATCTGGAACACGTAACCCTAAGGTCCTAAACCCGAAACCCTAAACCCTAAGCCTCAAACCCTAAAAACCCGAAACCTGTACACCAGAGTTTCGGAGACATCGCCTCGTACGACCATGTGTTTGTGCAGTTTCCTGGTGGCAACTTACGTCCCCTCCTTAGCTCGAGAGACCGGGAGCAATGAAGCCCAGACATGAAGCAACTCCTCCTAACCTGAAGAGCCACCAAACGACGAAACTCCCCTTAGAACCTTAGTCACAATTTCTTATGTTTAATATATTATCTTGGGTTTATATGAATATACATAACACAGATTCCTAAGGGCGGCGAAAGACGAGTCCGTTTTGACATCGCATTCCCGAAGCCATACCCGTGGCTTCATGGAATTTGGCAATTCCCCCAAAATAGGGGTACCCCCGCTATGCCCTATACAATCCTTTTTGTAGGACGGAAACCGCCAAATCGTTCTAAACCCTATAATTACACACTTTGAACACAGACTCAGAGCATCAACCCTACACCCGGAACCACAACCTCCAACCCCCCCTAATCTACCCGAACTGCCCTTAGTTAGGGTTTAGGGTTTAGGGTTTAGGGTGTAGGGTTTAGGGTTTAGGGTTTAGGGTGTAGGGTTTAGGGTTTAGGGTTTAGGGTTTAGGGTTTAGGGTTTAGGGTTAGGGTTTGGGGTTTAGGGTTGAGGGTTGAGGGTTTAGGGTTTAGGGTTGCTTACCCCTTCTTCTGCCTGGTACTCGACGTAGTCGCCGGTCAGTGGGAAGTTGTAGCTTCGCAGGGAGCCCGGCATGTCGGGCCTCGGATTCCAGGATTGTAGGGTTCGTAAGGGAGGGTTTAGGGTTTAGGGTTTAGGGTTTGGGGTTTGGGGTTTGGGGTTTGGGGTTTAGGGTTCAAGGGAGGCATGTAACTAAGGTTCCCTAAGGCTCGCTAAGCTTCCCTGAGGTTCCCTAGGTACTTGCCCCCCTTGAAGCCCCCGCCCTGAAGAACTCCACAACAAGCTTTTGTGCATGCAAACTTGGAGCCTCGGCCGCTTTAGGGGTTAGGGTTTAGGGCTTCTGCTGCATGATCTGAGGGCCGCGCGCGATCCATGTCTTTTAGGGTTTAGGGTTTTGCTTTCGACTCCTGTCCCTTCCAACCTGAAGTCTGGAAAAACATATGCACGAGAGCGGGGGGCAAAGCGTTTCCAGCCTTGCCTGGTTGCTAGGTTGCCCACTCAACCTGTAGGATTAAACCCACTAAGCCTAAACCCTCAACCCTGTTTTGTTGAACGGGTTTCGTAAGGGAAAACAACCCCCCCCCCCCCCAAAAAAAAAAAAAAAAAGAATCAGGCGTTGCCGGCGGTCGGAGCTTTACGGAGCCTTGAATATCGTCCCCAGAAACGAATAACCCCCTTATAAACCCTGGACTCTATATCTAGAAGTCTAATAAATAAGCACCAAAAACAAAAACTGCACCCTAAACCCTAAACCTTGAACCCGAAAGGGTTTAAACCCTAAACCCGAAACTCTAAACCCTAAACCTTGAACCCGAAACCCCATATGGCTGCTCCCATCACCATTCCCTGCCGCGATGCTCGGCCACGCCAACCACCAAAGCTTTGGCAGCAGGCGCCAGGGCCAGCCTTGGACGGTTTAGGGTTGAGGGTTTGGGGATCTGTATTGGGGTTTAGGGTTCGGGTTTAGGATTTAGGGTTTAGGTTCAGGGTTTTGGGTCTAGGGTCTCCTCTTTCCCGACCGGCGACTGTCCAAGAACGGCGTTGGACTCCACGTAGTTGGTGAGCTGGGAGTTTTGGACCTTCAGCGTATTTTATTTGTTGGGGGAGGGGTTAGGGCCTCTTGGGTTGAAAGGATTGATAGGGTTTATAGTTTAGGTGGGGGGTTTCTCTGTCCATGCCGTGGATAGCCGTGGTTCTAAGATCGAAGAAAAAACTGGAGGCGGCTCCGAGAAAGAAGGCTCTACGCATGGTTATTTGGGGTCCGTGCTTGAAGGCTCATGGGTACTTACAAGTACGGTTATAAGTCCCCTTATTTAATTACCCTACTTATCACCCTACGTATACGTACCCATGAACCTCCAAATACGCATGTTGATTTTGGGTCTGTAGGTTCAAGGATATATAGGGAGTGTCAAGCAGCGATTGCGCATCAAAGCTGCCGTGTTTGCAGTGAGAGGAGCTCAGCCCGAAGCAGAAATACCTTCAGACATCCCCGAAACCCGAAACCCGAAACCCTAACCCCAAACCCTTAAACCCTTACAACCTTATATTGTAACCCTCAAACCCCTCTCTCTCTCTCACAGGCGCTCAGTCAACCTCAAACCCCTAAACCCTTAAACCCTAACCCCCCGCCTCCTTGAGCATCTTGTCGGATCCCGCCACGTAAAGCGTGGTGGTCTGCGTGGTGGCCTCGGGGTTGTTGTAGGCAATGATACCTGAGTGGACGGCGCGCAGGAAGTTTTAAAGGGGTTTAAGGAGGGAGCCCGGCAAGGGGCCCTTAAAATCTTATTCCCCTATATAACATCTATATATATATATATAAACCCCAAATTAGCCCCTAAGCTCCCTCCTTGAGCAGAGCCCCTTGCCAACCCTGAGCCAACGGGGCCCTGAACCCCTGTGTAGAAGACCATGGTAGTGTGAAACTTATAGGCTGGCGCGCGGTGTTTTGTGCTAATTCTACACTCCAGAGGTTTTGGGTTTAGGGTCTGGAAGTTTTAGGCGAGATGGCTTTGCTGAAGGCCGCAGCACTAAAGCAGAAGTGAACCCAAGCCCAAACACTACACTGCGCGCCCATGCTTGGAGGTTCATAAGTAGGGTTATAAGTAGGGCGACTATGGTTACAACCTCATGTAGGGACTTATAGCCCTACTTATAAGTACTCATGAGCCTTCAAGCTCCCCACAACTTCCCGAAGTCCGTCGTGCCAAGCAAGTTCCCACCAAAAACTCCCGGGCTAAGGGCTAAGGGTTCAGGGTTTAGGGTTAAGGGTTTAGTGTTTAGGGTTTGGTGTTGAAAGTTTAGGGTAGCAACCCACTAGAAGCTGCCAAGAGAGAAAGGCTTGTCCCAAGGCCGCGGGGCTCGTAAAGACGGTACCTTTCTGCGACCACTCCTGAATCTCGACTCGGTTCTTGGGGAACTGAAGTTAAGTTGTAACCGTACTATTATGTACTATTTACTGTAAATCCCAGCTATGGCAATTGAGGCTTATTTTCCTGAACACCTAGAATGCCGGAACATGTAGAAAGGTGCTTGAGTGCTTGGGCTACACTACTGGGAGAATTCAAACGGGTACCGATCTCTGCAAGGGGCGTTCTTTGCCTGATGTTTTGGGGTTCATGTGCTTTCAGCACTGACGGCTTGGGCAGGCAACTTGTGTCCTAAACGCCTCTCGTGGTGCCTGGGCTCGGTAGGGCATGAGAACCTTGAGGTTGTAGGTTCAGGTTCCGAACCCGAAATCCCGATGACAAGCCCTAAACCCTCTCTCCCTAAATCCTAAACCCTATATAAGCCCTAGACCCTAAAGAAGCTCGAACGCCCGAGCCGGCCTTTCAAGGCTTCTGCGGCGTGCAGGTTGAAAGTATCTAGACAGCTTTCTAAACAATGGCGTTTAATTGCAGTTCCCCAGATTAGAAGGCTCCGTATTCAAGTAGGAACCCCCAGTTAGGGTTTAGCGTTTCGGGTTTAAGGTTTAGGGTTTTGGATTGAAAACCCATAGGAATTCCTAAGCCCGGTAGAGCCCTGACAGACGAAGCTCGGATCCCTGCGACTTGTTGGGGTTCAGGGTTTAGCGTTTATAGGGCTTAGGGTTTAGGGTTATAGGGTTGTAGCGTTAGGGTTTAGGGGTAACCCTAAACCCCAAGAGCCCTTTCAAGGCTTCGCCCTCTGATGCTGCGGCAGAGAGTCGGAGACCCGGCGCCCCTCTTTCAGAATGTCGTACCTTGGGGCTACAAGATGTTGCTCGTTTAGACACCTGATTATTGACCAGTCTCTACTTAGTTGCACTTGCAGTTCATGGTAGTGATACTGGTGCTGGTGGTGATGCTGGTGGTGGTGGTGGTGGTGGTGGTGGCGGTGGCACTACTAGCAGCAGCAGCAGTAGCTGTAGCCCCCGATCATAGATCGGACTTTGGGTGGGCTCGATTTGGGCCGAGGCGCTCGTAGGCTGCACCGTCTTGACCCGTGGAGACTAATCGGAAGTCGTCCGTGGTCCAGCATATTGCCTTGACCTGTGCGACTCCGCGGAGATTGGGGGGTTGGGGAGACTTTGGGTGGAGTTTCATGGCGGAGAAAGCCGACGACGAGGAGAACTACACCCAAACTTAACGCCAACCCCTATCACAAACCATTGCGCCAAGATGATCGCGGCACTCCCACTTCTGAGGGTGGCGCCCAACCACACGCACCTAATTCCGAGGGGCGAGCAAACGCCACACAAAGCCTAGCCGCGTGGTTGGGGTGCACAGGCCAAAACACTACACATTGAGCCCACACACAAGATAACTTCAAAATTCGTAGAGCCCTTTGCGAGTACATTCAATAGCCCCTATCAACTTACCAAATTCTCTCGCACCCCCCAGCCCCCACCCCACCCTTTTGTGGCAAAACCCTCCTTAACCCCCAAGCTTTTAACACCAGAAACTTCCCCCACCACTGAAGGGAGCCTCCATGGAGCGCCTTACCCCAAACCCCAACCCCCTTCTTGAACCCCAACCCCCTGAACCCCAAGCCCCCCCTTTTTTTGGAACCCGTTTTGCCGAAACCCCTCAACCTCCAGGGGAGGGGTGGGGGTACCCCTAATCCCTAAACCCTAAACCCTAAAGCACTAAAACCCTAAAGCCCTAAAACCCTAAAGCCCTAAAGCCCTAAAACCCTAAGACCCGAAAACCCTAAAGCCCTAAAGCCCTAAAGCCCTAAAACCCTAAAGCCCTAAAACCCTAAGACCCTAAAACCCTAAAGCCCTAAAGCCCTAAAACCCTAAAACCCTAAAACCCTAAAACCCTAAACCCTCAAGACGCCTTGGACTGATGGCCGCGGAGGTTGCACACCACCTCGCAGGTGTAAGTCTTGTAGACCTGGCAAAGCGTTTAGGGTTTAGGGTTTAGGGTTTAGGGTTTAGGGTGGCTAGGGAGTTTCTGAGTTGAACATAGGGGACCCCTAATATAGATCCCCAAATAATAGGATCCCCTTACAATAAGGGTTGAGGTTCTCAGTCGGGTCGTAGGTGCCCTATATAGTCCCTTGAAAAAGCTACATCGCTTCTGCGGTTGGGTGGTGCCCTGCCGCACGATGCACTCTGAAGATCTGGGGGGAGAGGGGAAAAGTGGGGGGGGGAGGGGTCAACGGACTCTCAACTTCGTAGCGCCGGTGGGGCCATATTGTCTCAAATCTTTGAACTTCAACACTTGTCTCGACTTCCGGCGCACCTCTGAATTTGGTCGTCAATCAACACACATGTAAAAAACAGAAAGAGTTCTATGTACTTGCTATACATGCACATATACATATACGCCTATCCGCATATAGACATATTCTCCCTGTGTTGATTGACCTGATACCCCTCAAGCCCACGTGCCTGGATGGTGTTGGAGTTTACCGCAGCAAAGAACTGCCCGCCGTGGCTAAAGCGGCATTCGCGGCAGGCCTCGTGCTGGGCTTGTACTTGAAGGTTCATGGGTACTTATAAGTAAGGGTTATAAGTCCCCTAAGCAAGGTTATAACCATAGTTACCCTACTTATGACTCTACTTCACAAGTACCCAAGAATCTCCAAGCAGGTGATTTCTACAAACCCTGTATCAGATTGTCGGAGAACCCACCAAAAAGAAGTGCTGGCGTTCTTGGGGCTCATAAAGTTACAGCCTTGGCAGCGGCTTACCGCCGGCCTTGAGCATCTTATGACTTCATTTCGGTTAGGACCCCCAAATCCTGACAGCGAGGATCCAAAGCAACCCGAGCTTCTTTCGGATGCTTGACACCTATGGTCATTCATGCAGGGGCCTGTATGGAATACTGGGGAAGATGTTGGTGTACCAAGGTATGTTGTGGTATCTTGTCGTATAAGGTCGTAGCCTTGGCCCACTAGGTCGCACCAGCACTAAGGCTTGACCAGTGATATGCATCCATCCTATCGTCGACTTTGTTTTGGAGTCCGGCCGGTCCCGCACCTCTAACCCCGAGCACCAGGTATGACACTTGAACTCTTGTGCACATCATATCGGCTGCATAGTTTGCGTGAGTTCGTGGCAAAATTCCGACCAAACTGGTTGCTTGGATGGGAGGAGGAGGACCCTTTTTTCAAACCGGACTTGATGACTGCAAAACCCAAAACCCTAAACCCTAAAGGCAAAACCCAAAACCCAAAACCCAAAACCCGAATTAACCCCTAAACCCTCTTCTGGCCTTGATGGGGATCTCCTTGTAGGTCCTGCAGCACTGCAGCACTTGCATTTGCAAACCCTCAATCCCCATCCCGGTTTTCTATCAAGATCTGAACCAAAGGGTTTAGGGTTTAGGGTTTAGGGATATTTTTTGGCACCCGCATAGCTGGACGGACCACTCCGCAGGGACTCTGGTACGATGACGGCTTTTGGGGCGAGTGGATGCGGTTCCTGCATGCCTACTTGTCCCCTAACCAGGTTTGAAAGTTTGGGGCTTAGGGTTTAGGGTTTGAGTCGCCGATTCCCTCAACCCCCTGCGCCCTTTAAGTTATTAAGTTCCCTGAGTCTGAGGCTCCCGAAAACAACCCTAAACCCTAAAACCCTAAACCCCAAACCCTGAACCCTGATGCCTAAACCCTAAACCCTAAACCCTGAACCCTAAACCCCAAACCCTGAGCCCTTGATCCCTAAACCCTAAACCCTAAACCCCTCGGCCCCCCCTGCCTGAAATCCTCCATCAGTAGGTTCATGAGCCGCACTTTGTCCGCAAAGCCCACGATGAGGTGGAAGCCACCTTTGCTTTTGGGCCCAGTTCAGTCTTACAGTTCAAGCATGGGCTTAGGGTTTAGGGTTTAGGGTTCAGGGTTCAGGGTTTAGGGTTTAGGGATAGATAGATAGACAGATAGATAGACAGGTAGATATAGATAGAGAAACCAACAGATCATAGCAGCATAAGAAGGTGTCCAAATACAATGTAAGCAGCAAACATACATACATACATACATACAGACATACATACATATATATATATATATATTATTATGATTATAATAATATATATATATATATATATATATCGATAACGGGGAGTCAGGTCTCAACCCACGTCAAGTACATTTTACCAACTCGCACTCCATCCCGTGCTTGAGGGTCCAAAGCACAGCTGATTCCGCGGGCCCTGCAACTCCGTGCAGCCCACCGGCATAAGCAACTTGACGATACTTGATTTAGGGTTTAGGGTTTAGGGTTTGGGGTTAGGCAGCTTCCGAGCAGGCGCTCTCTTCTACCCTGAGTACACTTTGCAAGCTGGGCGTCTTGGATGGAAAGCCACCGAGAAAGCTTCCTGCTGTGGTACCACATTCTTCGTCTCCCCAAGACCCGATGGTGCCCCGATGGCCCAAACAGGCCCTAAACCGGAATTGACAACCCCTCACTTGAAACCATTCTGGGTTTCGACGCTCACTCTCGCAAACGGCCGGCAAGTCTCTGAGCTAGAATGTGTTTAGGGTTTCGGCTCCACACCCGCACAAGGCCAGCAAGGATTCGGTCGCACTGTCTCACGAAGGTGCTAACTCTGACGCAGGCACTTTGTTGACTGTGTCTTGGGTTTAGGGTTTAGGGTTTAGGGTTTAGGGTTTAGGCTTTGTGGCTTACCACCCCTATGACCCACGAAGACGTCCTCGTTGAAGACCTTGCAGAGTTCCTGCGTCTTGTCCACGTAATTCCAGATACGCACAGACTTGTCGGTTCCTCGCTTGTTGACAGCTCAACCCTCGAGGAGTATAGTTATGACTCGCTGGAGGTGAGCATTGCAGCTCCTAGCGTGTAAGACATGCAAGACGTTCAATTTTGCTAAGCGCGGCTTAACGTGACCCGAGGAAGATGTATGGCCTTGCAGTTGTATCTATGAGTTCTGACTGCGAATAAGCACGATCAAGATAGTAAAGTGCGGATGTGCAAGAAACTGAAAAATAACAGCGTGTGCGCGTACATGCAGATGTGCACCTACATATAGGTACACCCATATATGGGCATTTCCCTACCCCAAAATGCTATAATCCTTATTCTAGGACCCCCCCCCCCCCCCCAAAAGGGGAACCCCTATCATCGGAAACCCCCGTATGCAGGTGAGCTCATGATGTGCGGGGGCTCGGGGCCATGCTTGTCAAGCTGCCACATGTCACTGCCAGCGGCTTTCGCACGCACACGTCCAAGCCGAAAATCGGCCTGCAGTGAGCCACGTAACTCAGAGCATGTAGCAGGCTGAGGCATTTTAGCTTCTCGCACGATAACGAATATGGAGGAACAGCGCGAAGTTCACTGATTGTGTAGGTATGGTAACGAACCATGACCGGCCGACTACGACGAAGGGGTTTGCAATCGCACGAAAGGGCTGGCACTCACATCCAACAGAGCAGGTGGCGCGATCGACAACCTGTACTATAACCACAGCCACAGCTATAACCATAGCTACAATTACAACTACGGCTAGTACCCTGCTTAGGGAACAGATCAGTAGACAACGTTTTTGGAGCCTTTTGTCGAGCGTGCACCGGCTCTAGAGAACCCCATCTGGGCCCCCCAAAGACAAAATCCCTCAACCCTAAAGCCCTAGATTCCCTAGCCCATTGTTTTCTCACTCCAGGCTCTGCTGCCATTAAGCTCGGCACTGCACGTTCTGACACCTTTATGCCAGTCCCTAAACCCTGCACCCTACACCATCCGAAGCCCTACACCCTACACCCTACACCCTAAACCCTAAACCCTAAACCCTAAACCCTAAACCATCATAAACCGAAAGCCCTAAACATCCCTAAATCCTAAATACTAAGAACGGTTCCGCCGCGCTCTGGGGGTCCGAGCCCTGAGTGGAAGGAAGTCAAGGCGTGCTCCACAGTACCTCAACTTCGGCTCTCTGTTGACGGCTCTTGGGGTTTTAGGGTTTTAGGGTTTCAGGGTTTAGGGTTTATAAGGTTTAGGGTTTAGGGTTAAGGGTTAAGGGTTTATAGGGTTTAGGGTTCCAAAAGTTTAGGGTTTCTGAGAGGTTTTTTGGGTTCCAAGGGTTTAGGGCTCTAAGGGTTCCAATGGTTTAGGGTGTCTATCGAGGGTTTTGGGGTTCCAAGGATTTAGGGTTTCATGTTTTCTGGCATGGGAACTTTAGGGCTTTGGACTCCGACGCTCGCTCGAGGCACGCAAGGATTCAGGAGGTCTCGGTCGGCAAACCCATTTTCAGCACGTTAATCTGAATATGGCCCTCTTCAACCCAAGAAGGAAAAATATGAAATGTCCCAAGGGCCGACCTAGTTCACCGAGATTTTGGGGCTTTGGGGTTTTGAGTTTTGAGAGTTCAGGGTTTGAGGATTTCAGGTTTTTTTTTCCCGACCTTTCCAGTCTAGCAACGCGACGAGGCTTCAGTAAGCCCAAATTCCAGCTGAAGCCCTTGTGGGGTTAGGGGTTTCAGGGTTTAGGGTTCTGTGATCAGGCAAAGGCGCTATCCTCTGCTTTGAGCATGTCCGTGGGGCTGAGGGAGAACCTGAAAGGCGCAGTGTCGAGACAACAAGAGACCTCTAGACACCCTAAACCCTAAACCCTAAACCATAAACCCTACACCCTAAACCCCTAAACCATGAACGACTAAACCCTAAACCCTACACCCTCAGCCCTAAGCCCTAAACTATTGCATCCCATAGTCTGGGAATGAAGGGGTGGAGGATGGGACAGTGGACTCAGCGCTCCGCACAGGCCCGAAGCCAAGCAGCGTTAACAGCTGGTTCGTCGATGTGGCGATGGCCACCGTCTCCTGCAAAGACTTGTTGGGGCACCTCTTCGAGTACTCTCATACTCCCAATGTGTTCTTGTTTTGAACCCTAAACCCAAAACCCCTTTTGAAGCCTAAACGCTACACCCTAAACCCTAAACCCTTTTGAACCCTGTACCCTTATAAACCCTAAACCCTAAACCGAATGAACCCGAAACCCTGGACCATTCGAATGGTATAGAGGCTCCCGACCTTCGGTGTGCGGTTCGCACGCTTTAAGCCTGGAAAGCATGCCTTCCTGGGGTGTAGGGGCTTGGGTTTCGTAGATGCCTCAAAAGGGCTTCTGGCAAAGCCAAACCCACTTAAGCCCTAAACCCTAAACCCCAGATTATCCTACCTAGGTCCATGGACCCTTTAACCGCCCATAGCCCACTCCTCGGACGGGCTAACGGTCATGGCCTCGGCGGGGCGGAGGCACGTGTTCCCCTAAACCCTAAACCCTAAACCCTAAACCCTAAACCCTAAACCCCAAATCCTAAACCCCAAACCCTAAACCCGCGAGTCCACGCTAAGTCAACTTCAGAGTCCAGGGGGTTGGCACCCCAAGATCAATAGGTACAGGTCCCTGGGATGGATGGCCCTAAACCCTAAACCCTAAACCCTAAACCCTAAACCCTAAACCCTAAACCCTAAACCCTAAACCGGGCTGAGAATTCCAGTGCCTGGGCTACCAAGTCGCCCTCACCCCCGGCACGGATTCGGTTTACCTGGGACTCTCTTTCCCTACAGTTTAGTGGTAGCTTGCCCTGAATAAGTGGGTATAACCCTTAAAACTGTAGGTAAAGAGAGTCCCAGGTATAGTTGTCCCCTGCCAAAGAGTGCATTGACATCCTAAACCCTAAACCCTAAACCCTAAACCCTAAACCCTAAACCCTAAACCCTAAACCCTAAACCCCAAACCCTAAACCCTAAACCCTAAACCCTAACATGGAAACCTCCGAACGTGGCCCCCGGCCGTGACAGCGCCCACAGCCAAAGTCGATCCGAGGGCTGCAGCTGAGTCGAGCTTCACCTGTGACTTGGCTGGTGTTAAGGGCTTAGGGTTTTGAATTTGGGTTTAGGGTTTAGGGTTTAGGGTTTAGGGTTTAGGGTTTAGGGTTTAGGGTTTAGGGTTTAGGGTTTAGGGTTTAGGGTTTAGGGTTTGGGGTTTAGGGTTTAGGGTTTAGGTTTTAGGGTTTGGGGTTCAGGGTTTAGAAATTGAGTATCGCGCACGCAGGCAAGGCTCCAGATGTCCAACACTAGCTAGAGGCAGTCAAGACACATTGGCCTCAGCCCAGAACCAACAAGCACAAACTGCCTCCGAAGTGTTACTACGGGCGTCGACCCCTTGTTTAGCCGCACAGTGCTGGCACTGTATTCGTTGACTCTGCAGCACTCGGAATCTCGCCACTCGGCACCGTGCTCAAGCATTCCGGCTGAATCCTCCATCTGCCCTACGAAGAACGAACCAGTAACCAAACAGAGACTACCGCCAAGCTAGCCCCAAACAGAGAATCTCACTGCCTCCTTCGCTTTGCGGAACATCTCCTGCCACAGCATCAGTGGAGTTTGGGGCTTTTGTTGGTGGATCGAATCCTGGCATCCTGAAAGTCCTCGAAAGCACAAGCGCTGGCGGCATACCGTGAGGTTTAGGGTTTAGGGTTTAGGGTTTAGAGTTTAGGGTTTAGGGTTTAGGGTTTAGGGTTTAGGGTTTAGGCGTATAACCTGCCACCAGAGAGTGGAAATACTCTAACACTGCCTGGCTGGGAAGTAAGATGCTGAGAGGTTATTTCCTGGGCTGCGGGGCGTCAGGTGCTTCAGGGCCTTTGTGCCTCAACTTGCACATCGCTTTACCTTTCAGGGGCTGGAGCCCCCCCCAAGCTGACCGAACGGTGTGTCCGGCCACGTGCGTGCAAGCACTACACAAAGGCTCTACAGCAAGCAACCCTAAACCCTAAACCCTAAACCCCAAACCCTAAACCCTAAACCCCAATACTATCCTTGCGGTCCCATGGTTTCTCGGGGGGCAACCCAGGCCTTGGCATCATCGCTACGCTCGTAGAAGGTTACGAGGCCCTTCTCCCCACCTGCAAAAGCAGCTCTGAAGCCCAGAGATCATCTTGGGGTCTATAGGGTTTAGGGAGTCTTGCCACCCGGGTTTAGGGTTTTAGGGTCGGGTTCAGGATTTGTACTCTGGCTTCACCGGGAGACTCCAGTTTAGCCACAGCTTAGCTGCAACTACCCCTTAAATTCGTCGGTATTTAGGGTTTAGGGTTCAGGGTTGATAGCTTTTTTTGGCCCAGCCGTCTCCAGGGCGCTTCTGAAGAGCGGCATCAAGACAACCAAACTCAGAGCAATTGACGCCCAGGGCATCCTGAACCCCTAGCAACAAGTCTGATTTTCGCTGTGTCTTTGGAACTAGATATGGTTGGTGCTTCGGGGCGCATCATCCCCACCTAGACTCCAAAGCCCTAAACCCTAAACCCTAAACCCTAAACCCTAAACCCTAAACCCTAAACCACGGAGGCAGTGCCTGCGATGAAGCCCCGGCTGAAGGAGGCCACACAGAGCAGGGAGCGGGGCTCAGCGGGTGAGCTGGGAAGGACCTGGGCCAGGTCGGAAACCATTCTTTTAGAGTTTAGGGTTTAGGGTGAAGGGTTTAATGTATTGGCAAGCCTGCGCTTATGCATGCGCCAGTAGCTAAAGCAGAAGCAGCAGTCGACGCTTTGACCCTGGCCGAGCGGAACTTGAGGATTGGACCAGACGGATGGCGCGCGGAAGCGCGAACGGGAAGGCCCGAAAGGTATCCATATGTACATACATACGCCTTGCTTGTAGATTCACTGGTAAGCCCAAACCCATGCCCTAGACCCGAAACGTGGGATGCTCCCACTTCTACTAACAGTCCTTAGTCGGGATGATAGCACCCCCTACTACAATAATCCCTATGAAGGACTGTTAGTAGCATCCCAACCCGAAACGTGCAAATGCCAGGGTGCCATCTTGAACTCGCCACCGCTGTCGAACAACAAGGCATCGCCAGCTTCGCTGCAGACGATCAAGCGATCGTCATTCCTTGGGCCATGTCGAAGAACCGCTAAGCCGCAAACCCTAAACCCTAAACCCGACACCCTAAACTACCCTAAACCCTAAACCCCTTTTCACCCAAGGCTGAGCCGTCAAACCCAGAAGGGAATCCTGGAGGGCCTCCCTGCAACCCGATCATCCCATGACTCCATTCCACTGACCTTGAAAGCTCACACCAGACCCAAGACCCCCTGGTCCTTAGTAGGGAATGAGGGGATGGGGGCCCTCTTTATGCCCTTTAAGGGATTCTATAGGGTACCCCATTTCCCATGAGTGCAGTCCTCTGACCTTGAAAGCGAACACCAGATTCACCAGATGGGAATCCAAAGGGTGCTCTTTTTGGTTTCAAAGAGCTTTATACGGGAACCTGACCCCTAACAAAAGGGGAACAAAGGCCTGCTGGCCTACTGGCCTACTCTGGGTCCGGGAGTACCTTGCAGCTGGGTCGCAGCCAGGTGTGGCAGATGTAATTCTGATTGAACGCCTGTCGGGCTGTCGGGCTTGTCTAAGACATCGGTTTAAGGCTTCAGGTCTTGTAGTGCGTTGAGGGCTACTAGAAATACCCGAAACCCCAAACCCAAACCCCAAACCTTAAACCCTAACCCCTAAGCCCTATGCTTTGTCGTCGTTTCTGAGGGCTCCACGGCTGCCTCGACTTGCTGCACGGAAGCTTTGAGAGGACAAGGAAGGGCGCCCATGACTTCATAAGTTTGCACATCACATCACATGTGTACTAGGGTTTAGGGTCTTGGGTTTAGGCACTTGTTGTGCAATCATGTGTATTACATGCATATGTACATAAACAGAAAAAGTATATGGGAATATGTGTATGTGTGCTTGCGTACCCTTCTGTATCCCATCAAGTGTTGGCTCCTGTTGATTTGTTGAACTCTGGCCGTGCTTATCGAATGAGCTTTAACCACAAAAGGGCAGGGTTTTGGGTTTTTATAGGGTTTTATAGGGTCTTTATAGGTTTCTTCAGGGTGTTTATAGTGTTTTTATAGGGTTTAGGGTTTGGGGGCCCTGAACCTGCAAACCGAAGCCGAACACGCGGCTCCCAGCCTCTCGCATCTTCGAGAGCTGATTTGGGATTCCTGCCCACCATCCGCGGAAGTCAGCAAGGTGAATTGGGGCTCCCAGGAATCCACCCCAAACAAATCGAAATTTTCTCTCTTCTTCTCACAACACCCCCCCCCCCCCCATCAACAAAAAAGGGAGGGGGGGGGCGGGGGGTTCCCTTGTTTTTTGGAGGCCCCAAAAACGTATTGTGCCGAGGGCATCCCAAGGACCTTCTGGGCACCGTCTCATCTGCTCTGGATGAGTGTGGCAGGCTGCTTTTTTTTGGGGGGTTGGGCCCCCTTTAGGGTTTAGGGTTTAGGGTTTAGGGTTGGGGGGTTGGGCCCCCTTTAGGTTCAACTTGGAAGTGTCTACTGAGGAGGCACACAGACACATCCAACTTGCAGAGGTTCGGGGGTTTGCTGTCCAGGACATGGGCGCCAACACGAGAAAGCTTTGACTTCTTGCATCGCCTCATGCGCTTCCGATTGGAAGGCCTCTTAAGCTGTAGCCCACTCCTTGGGAGCTTAGGGTTTAGGGTTTAGGGTTTAGGTTGTGGGCTGCTTGCTTCTTGATCTAGCCTTGGGTCAGAGGGCCTGCGGCCCACCACTGCCGAGCTGATGTAAAGCCCGCTGTTACCATCTTGGGCACAGCATGGCTGTTGTTTCAGCGCATTCGCCCTAAGGTTAGCCTGATATAGGGGCCTTAATGATTAGAACAGGGTTTCGGGGGTTTTCTAGTATACGTATAAAGGGACCAGAAGGGAATGCTATGAGTAATTGTTCCGACCCCCAAATATCTTGCATCTTAAGCGGTGCCACCTTTGAAGGTGCCGTCTTGAAGCCGAAAGAACTTGAAGACGCCGTCCCCGATGACGCACACCTGCAATGTCAAGGGCGCGATTTCGGAATGTCATGGAAGGATGAAAGGTTTAGGACCGTTTAGGGTTTAGGGCTTAGGGCTTAGGGCTTAGGGTTTAGGGTTTAGGTTTAGGGTTTAGGGTTTAGGGTTTAGGGTTTCCAGAATCAACTTCCCTCGTTGGACTGAATGTGAGGGGAGTTCCTGCCACGCCTCTGATGCTGTGTCTGCTTCTCGTTCTTTTTAATGTGACGCAGCAGCAAGGTACAGTAAACCTCAAAGCTTTGAACCCTAAAAAACCCTAAACCCCAAACCCCAAACCCTCAACCCTGGTTTAACAGCGAACCCGACATCTTCATGCCGAGCAGCGAGCGAGGAGTCCTGGGCATTCGGCAGGTGACGCTGTTGGGTTTGGGGTTTAGGGTTGTTTTTTTGTCAGAACGTCGGGTCAGCATGCATTCACTGGGCTGCTGGATCGTGGAAGCCTCATGCCACAGGGAGAGCTGCACTTCGTGCAACATGCCTGCGCGGCTTTTGGGTTCGGAACACCCCAACCCCCAAACCTCTAAACCCTTGTCATTGCATCTGACAACTAAACCCCTAAACCGAAACCCCTATACCCTAAACCGAAACCCCTATACCCTAAACCGAAACCCCTAAACCCCAACCCCTTTAAACCCCCGAGCCCACGCTCCTGTGGGTTGAAGGAGCACTCGTGGATCATGGATCCTTGGTACCCCAGTAACCATATTTTGCAATAAGGGCACCCTTTTTTGGTTGGTGAATTCATAAGGGAACCTAAACTCTAAACCCTAAACCCTAAACCCTAAACCCTCAAGCCCCCTGTAACTTGAAATTATTGAGAAAAATCTAAAAAACGAAACTCCTTGAAACGCCTCGAAACTCCTCGAAACTTCCCCGGACCTGAACCCTTAATAATTTCAATAAACCCTAAACCCTAAACCCTAAACCCTAAACCCTAAAGACTAAACCCTTGAACCAAAAAAAAAGGGAAAAGGGTACCACGGGGCTACCAAGGAGCCGGTCAAGTTGGAAACCTTCACCGCGCCATGGGCCTTGGCCTCAGGTCGGACGGACATCGCAACCGTGAGGGTTTAGGGTTTCATTGGGTTCAGGGTTTAGGGTTTGGGGTTAAGGGTTGAGGGTTTTCTTGCACAGGTTTCGTTGGGTTTAGGGTTTAGGGGTTTAGGGTTTAGTTGGGTTTCGGGGTTCAATTTAGGCAGCTTAGGGTAGTGTGAAGGGCAGGGCTTAGGGAGGTTAGGGATTTTGGGCGATTGCAGTTCCTTACGGGTCTACAGCCATTTGGAACATGAGCACCTCGCGGGGTCTTGGTTCTTCTCAGAAAGTTTGGACCTCTCCATACTCCTGTATGCAAAGAACGGCATTCTCTCAACCCTGTGGCATGCTCTCCACCACATTTATGCCAGCCGAAGCCGATGGAGTCAACAAAAATCAATCGCTAGTCTGATTCACCCAAGAATGACTGGAGGTGCAACACTTCTATTGCAGTGTACGAAACCTGGTACACGAACAAACTAGTACAAGATCGCAAGCCCACAAACAAGCTCCGTCAAGCCTTGTCCCATGACCAGAGGATCAGCGTCCAATCCGGCGGACCACCCTGCAACGTAACTCATGTCTCAGCCCGGGGCGTTTTTGTGTTTTAGGGCTTCGTAGGCCCAGATTGAGATGTTCTTCCTTATGCTATCAGTCCTTGAGAGGGATGATCATAGGGGTGTGGGGCGGGGGGGGGGGGGGGGTACTATAATCCTATGAAGGATTGTTAGTATAGGGGGGAAGATCCTAAGGCCTCGACTTGATGCAGCATCAGCTTCTTCCTCGAAGTTTCAGGAACTTGCCCTGAGAGTCCGGGCCCAAGAGATGAACCCTAAACCCTAAACCCTAAACCCTAAGCCCTAACCCCTAAACCCTAAATTACCTTTGTTGTTGATGTTGTCGGGAAGGCTGGTGCTTCAAAGCACCCTGGTCGAATGGCCCTACACCCTACACCCTAAACCCTATACCCTAAGATGCCCAGACAGTCAGGCCTGGGTGATGAGGAACTTGTTCTCTGCAGAGAAGCTGCGCAAACGAAGTCTCTCGCCTCGGACTTCTTTAGGTGTTATAGGGTTTTGGGGTTTAGGGCTTGTTAGACTTTTTTTGGTCCTCTCTGCCATGCTGGCCGAGAATGAATGCTCAGACTTGGTTGAGATGAGGGTTGCGCTTCACTGCCAGTCAGCGCAACGGAAACACTAACCCCAAACCTGAATCGCATGCGGGTGTGGCTACCTTGACGAGGCTGCATGTAACTAATCTATTCGTACAAACCGTCGTCGTAATCACAGTAGCACGTACACGTATGGCGCCGACCATAAGCACCATAGTGACCAGAATCGCATGTTAAACACCAGTACTAGCAGAGGGAGCACAAACTTATCCTGGACCAAGCATGGGGGCTGCCCTGGAGCCTGCAATGCCCTGAAGACCCGCGCGGCTTTCTGGCTTTCAGGGTTCACCCTGGCTCTAACAAGCAAGACAAGTCCTGCTACGTCCCATTTCAGCTTAGGTGAGGCGGCGAGGGCTTCCATAGGGGGTGCCTTCATAACACAAACCCTCCTGTGTCTGTAGGCTTCCTAAGAAATCCATAGTGTGATCATAAGAAGCGACAAGAAAACAAACGTATGTTTAGGGGCGCCTAAGGCACCCTAACCCTAAACCCTAAACCCTAAACCCTAAACCCGAAACCCTAAACCCCCTCTTGGGAAAGAGCAAGTCCTGGAGCCTTGCAGGGGCCCCTGCATCGCAATCTCCATAAGAAAGTTGGCCGCGCCGGCGCTTGCCGGTCCTTGTTTTGGCATGGCCTGTAGGGTTTAGGGTTTAGGGCTTCGGGTTTAGGTTTTATTCTTAAGCCACCCGCCTAGCTGACACTCAGGCCACATTGCAGGGACTAGTACCGGCATAACTACGTTCAATGAAGAAATGGGGTTTAGGGTTTAGGGTTTAGGGTTTAGGGTTTAGGGGTTTAGGGTTTAGGGTTTAGGGTTTAGGGCTGAGAGCTCCTCAAGTGCCCAGCGATACCTTCAGAAGCACCCAACGCCGAGATGCGTCACGTCGAAGACGTAGCAAATGGCCCTCTCTTGGAATTTCTCACAGGCCTGAGGGTTTAGGTTGTTTGGGTTTTAAGGGTCAGGGTTTCAAGGGCTCAATTAGGGTCTTAGGGTTCACAGGCCTGAGGGTTTAGGTTGTTTGGAATTGAAGGGTCAGGGTCTTAAGGGCTTTTTAACGTTAAAAATTAAAAACCCTAAATGAGGGTTTAGGTTGTTTGGGTTTTAAGGGTCAGGGTCTTAAGGGCTTAATAATTAGGGTCTAGGGTTAGGGGCAAGGGTGCTCATGGGTGTCCATTTGGAACATGGGTGTTAGTTCTGGAACCTGAGTGTGTAGGCGAGGGCGCGCACAGCCTGGTCCGTGCGTAGCATATTCGAACAGAACTTGATGCAAAGACATCCTTCGAAAGGATCACGTATGAGCTAAAAGTTTGGTCCAGTGTTCAATCATAGAAGTGGGGGGGGGGGGGGGTTCCGAAATTAGGGGTACTTTGTGGGGTCCTTATGACGGAATCCTATGATCTGGGGGTCTGAAATAGGGGTCCCTTATTTTCGAAGATCCCAGTCTGATGGACGTCGACTCATACGAGCAGCCAATCGTTGTCTATAGGTAGAGTTTACGTGCTGGACAGAAACAAATGAACGAGAAGAGAAGATAAAAGATACAAAGAAAGAGAGAGAGAGAGAGAGAAGTAACGAATAAAGAAATACATTAGAAAAAACACGTAAAGTAAGAAATACAGAAAGAACGAAGGACCGCAACAATGAATCAACACAGGCAAGGAAAGGTCATGCAATCTTCTGCTGGGTTCCGGCTCAATTGCAAATCAGAGCAGAAATCCCAAACCGCAGCCAGTGCGGCCAAGCCGCTGCCAGAAATTTTCTGTTGGGGCTCAGCGCTAAAGCGGTGATGCCTTCACTGCCCTCCGATCCTGACGAGGCCCAGTCGAAAGTGGGACACTGAATAACTGCAGAGGACCCACAAGTCGCTGAAACTGATATATCGCCTTAATAATTACTAGGATGGCTCCTAAAACCCCCTGAAAAATATTCCTGAATATGGCCCTCTTAAACCCAATAAGGGAAAAGAAAAAATGTTCCAAGGGCCTACCTAGATTAGAACAGGGTTTTTGGGGTTACTATGGTACAAGTATATAGGGACCCTATAGTAACCTAGTAGGGAAGATGTTTAGTAATTCTTCGGACCCCTTATAGTAGGCTGCCAGCGGTGCCTGGAAAAACTCTCATCTGCGTCTTGTGGTCTGAATGGTACAAGATGGTGTTGTGACCGGCCGGGTACCTTAGAAACGGATGTGCATGAACTTGGGTCATGCGCGGGTAAGGGTTTCGGGCTTAGGGTTCAGGGTTTTGGGTTTAGCTTGACGGATCTTTCGTGAGAAGACAGCCTTGAAACCCACCTCCGCGCACCGGGCCTGATTGTTAAGCATACGAGACTCGCATGTGACTTCAAAGACCCCTTCAGGAGCCCAAGTGGCAGGAGGTGCGCATCGTCCGTGAAATGCATGTTGCCTGCAACCAACATGCACGAAGAAGAAAGAACGTTAACAGGCTGCCGTGTCACGAACTGGGCGGATTAGGAATGCACACACGCATGCTGGCAGCAGCAATCAGCCTTTCACGCCACTTCGGAACCCGAACACATGGCGGTGAACAAGTTGCACTCCAGACGGCTCCTGCAAAAAAACAAGAGAGAGGCTCTGCGTTCTCAGTTGTGGGACAAAGGCCCGTGAACATTCTGAGGTATGGAAACACCCTTTTTGAAACCGGACTTGATGACTGCCAGCGTTGCCTCCTCCGCTCCATACCCTAAACCCCAACCCCTAACCCCTAAACCCTAAACCCGAAAGCAGCATGCTGCATTAACTTAAATTGATGTGCAGAGACAGGGGTGGGGGACATAGTGTTTAGGCTACCCATGGTCCTCTTCAGCCTTGTCCCCCTTGTCTGGCTTACTTTCCGCCATGGCTTTGCACGCTCCCCTCCGGACCTACGTGTTGCAGGTGCCAGGGGGGGCCGTCGCCTTTGAGCCACAACGGGATAAAACCCAGGTCGCGAAACACAGATATGTGAGCAGTTCCTGAAATAGGGTCCCTGCCCGATTATTAGCATTAGCTCTATAGCTCTTGTAGGCGTATAATATAAGAATAAGTTAGAGCTCTAGTATCCCAAGTCCCGTAGTCGTCACCCTCCGCGCCCGAACACTGCTTGCCCCACATGCGCCGTAGATCACTATGCAGAGGCAAGCCCGAAGATCATCCTGCGCCGGCGCTGCCTGATGCCAGTTGGTCCAGCCCCCGCGACAAGGTTGGCTCCAAATCCTCATGCCCGGGTGGAACCTTACCCCCCTTTCACATGGCCGTGGAAGTTCTTCGCCTTAAGGACCAAAGGAACCCTAAAAGGCTTTGTGGTTCATATGCCTTCATAGGAGTTATAATTGCATAGGGTATATGAATGTATATGACCCCAGTTTTGGGGTTCAGGGTTCAGGGTTTAGGGTTTAGGGTTTAGGGTTTAGGGTTTAGGGGTTTTTAAGGCTCCTTTGGTCCTCAAGGCGGCGCACTTGGCGGACACGACTGAGAGACCGCGCTGCCAGCCAGCAGGACGATTTCCGGTGGTGAGTCAGCTCCTGTTGCATGGCAAAAAGCTCGCCCCAACTGCAATATATCAGGTTTTGAGTGGTATAGACTTCTAGGCTGTAAGCACGTGAGAGTTTGTAATGTCTTAACCCGCGTTTGCTCAGGTGGCCTGAATTCATCTTTTGAGGCGTGGCGCTTTTTCAGGGTAAACCTCTCCAGGCCCCAAAGCGAAGCTTCGCTTGAGAGGCCTCGAGGGGCTTCGGGCAGTCAGGGCTTGGGGAAGTCAAGCTTTTTCTGACGGTTTTGGAGGAGCCATGACGGTTTTGGAGGAGCCATGCAAAGGTTTTTGCTTTTGCCAGCCGTCTTTAGCCATGCCCCACCAAACAACTGTCGAGGGAAGCCCCAGTCGGAAAGCCAAAGTCTGCGCAAAGGGTTTGGGGTTTATGGAGTATAGGGTTTAAAGGTTAACGCTTTTTTTGGGGCGGGCGAATGTCCAGTCGCAGCCTCAAGAAGCCCGTATAAGTAGTTTTTCAAGCGCCGAGGCTGACGCGAACAAGAACTGATAAACAACAACATGAACATGAATTCGTGCTCCCTGCGCTCAAGCGTGCTTACCCGCGCGTGCGCCATAAAGGCAAACGGCCCCAGCCTTCCACAAAGTGAGCAGCTGGCCCGTGTAGCCGATTCTCCGCATCGCGTGGAAAAAACTCAGCAGCCAATGCTGGCAACACTGACCACGCAATTACTGCACGATGCAACAGATGGTAAACCAAGTTCCCGACTCACTCTGCAACACGTTGCCGAGACCCATCTTCGCACGCCCGCAGTCAGTTCACATACATGATGTCACTGTTATCGCCGCGCCTCGTCTGTTGCAACGTCTTTTCGCCAACCGCGGCTGAAGGACCCATACCTTGCACCCCATGAATTTCAATGAATATCCCATCTGTTCTGTCACCATCATTCCGTGAAAACAACCGTCGCACTTGTGAGTCATGAAGGCGAGGAAACCACGCACCTGAGCTGCAAGTTTGGGTCCTCTCTAGACAACAAGAAAGCCTTCTGCGAATGGCCGTGGGGACGCAGCCGGAGATGGAGCGTCTGTACTCTTAGGGTTTAGGGTTTATAGGGTTTAGGGTTTGATGAAAGGGATGCAACAACATGCAGCCTACGACATGCCACGCCGCTGACCCCCCGCAAAGCGGAGGACCTTGAAGGGATTACATAGGGTACCCCCTATATCCCCCCCACAATATGTACCCTTTCAGGGATTTACATTGGCTGCCTCAACTGTCCCCATTCCCTACTAACCAACAGTAACCCTAAACCCTAAACCCTTTTTGCATCCGGACTCCCCTGGGTGCTCCCTAAACCCTAAACCCTAAGCCCTAAGCCCTAAGCCCTAAGCCCCAAGCCCTAAGCCCTAAACCCTAAACCCGAAGCACCCTTCAGCCTGTGTCTCAAGAACCCGACGTCGCCAGCCAGGCCGTGGAGGTCGAGGCGCTCTCGTTCCTGTCAACCCGCCGCAGAACCCAGAGGGTTTAGGGTTTAGGGTTTTAGGGTTTAGGGTTTAGGGGTCCATCTGTGGTACTATTTTGGAACGAGGTACCCCAACACATCCCAAAACCCTCTTGGGTGTGGTTTTTGAGTAGTGCCTAATTCCAGAATCGTATTGCAGATGGACCCTCTTGGGGAATAACATGATGAACGCTGGGCCTGGCAACGCACTTGCAGCAAGGTGCATGCAAAGCGGCGCCTCTTTCTTCAACTTGTGCTGCACACGAAGTGCGTCTTTCTGGCACGTGGCACTTGCTTAGCACAGCATGGCTATGCGCAATGTGGCCAGCGGATGTTTGCAGTGAGGAGGCGGCCCTTTGCAGACGATGACGCACATTGTCGGAACACCTAGTGGTTCCGTGGCTTTTGTTCAGACTGCACGAAGCAAACCCAACGCACACTCATGAAGACTCACACACAATCACAGACACAACAACACATGCACGCAACAGAATGATGCATCAACTCAGCATTGCACTCAGCGCAGCTTGGGGCATGTTCAAAGGAAGGCAAACCTTGTCAGCGACACAGTTGCATGTGTTTTTGGCTAAACGAACAATCGGGCACACCAACAGGACATCCTTTCAGCGCCAGGCTTGGCGCGGAGGGCGATTTGATCGCGGGCTTCACCACCTGACTCCGTCAGTGTTGATTTTGTTTGGCGTCCTGCGCATTGACAGCTGCAGTTGCTTTTCTGAGGACACCGCCGCCATCTTGCAAACGCGCCTGGGATTTGCATTGTAGCACCAACTGCCCGAACACGTGGCACATGTACAAGTTGTTTTGCTGGGTGTTGCATCACTTGCCTGAATGGAAGTTGGCATGCCGATGGGCAGAAAGCTACCACCAGTTACAGCATTGTTTAAACGTTCGTATTCGGCTGGTGTGTCTTGGTGACCTCCAATACCTTGTGAGCTTGTCAATGGAGTGGCCGAAATCACATCATTTTCCACGTGCAGCTAGAACAAACCTCAAGGCCCGCCAGGACCCTATAAACCCTTGGGAGGGGCGCGGCACGCGTTGCTCTGCTTGCGTGGCCGCCCCGCCACCGCATGGGAGCAAGAAGGGAAGCACGGCACGACGCGCCATGCGGACCCACTTTGGACAGTTTTGGCCCGGCCCGGCTGGCACGCAAGTCTTTCGGGCAGGGCAGCGCGATCGACATCGCATGAACAAACAATTGCATGCATGGACCGCCACAAAACCGAAAGCCATGTTTGAGCCGTTTGAGCCTGCAACCGGTGCAAACAATCCTGCCCGACATCCTCTGACAATTCAAAGCCACCTTCGCACTCAAGGTGTTTTTTGTCATTGCCGTGCCGAGGAGAAGGCCCGTCCGCAAGCAACATGCGGAAGCCAGAGCATGATCGCGCGTCGACTTCAGGAGCGTGACCCGGTGCTGCAAGACATGGTTGTGGATGTGACCGCCCCCGCGTCACCGCCTGGCACCCCGATGGGTCCAGCGGCGGGGCGCGACGTCCGAGCTTGGTGAGATCCGGAGCACTTGGCCAACGGCGGCCTGCACGGCGACCGAAAACATCCACCAGGCAAGCAAGCCAAGTCACAACCAGGTTTTTTTTTCACCCTCGCACCTTTTTGCGTCCGCAGATGCTGGTCTGACAGGCTTTCTTCATAATCAAACTCAGATCGACCTATGCAGCTCCGAGGCCCTAAGACTCTGAACCTGCATGGTGCGGGCTTGGCTCCAGTACTTCACTTCAAGCTCCCAAGTTCCCAAACTCAAGACCGTCCTTCAGAGGTGGCCCTAAACCCTAAGCCCTAAACCGAGAACTTTTGCTACTCAGAGCAGCAGGATCCTTCTCACATGGCTGCTGGTGCTCGCAGGCACTCGAGCGGCGCAGTGCACGGCATCTGTTCACATCCCAACGCGCGTGCTCACCGTGGGCTAGTTCAGTCGTCTGCAAAATAATTCTCCTTGAATAGGGTTCTCCTCATCCCAAGTCGCGGAAAAAGTTGAATACAACGCCACTGAAATCTCTGCCGTCGTTGACAATGCGGCACAAGTTGTGAGCCGCTGCGCACGTAAAACCAGGCATAGCGATCATCTGCTAGAAATTGAATTCGACAAGCCCAGCTCGGGTGGGACTCGATTTGTTCATGTGATGCAAAATCCGGAGGAGGTATCCGTTGTAGCTGCGCATTTCTGAGAGCTTGTGACGTCGGGCAAACTTGATCATGGCTTGCAGCACTGCGCTCTTTGTAGAGGCTTCACTTGTCAACAAGCCTTGCTTGCAAAGCTCCTTTCGCACCTCTGCATCCTTCGGGGCAAGGCGCCATTGGCCATCTGTGCCGTGCGACAAGAACGCTTGCCTCAGCTTCTCGGAAACATCAGAGATGGTATCCTCGGAAGAAGGCAAAGCATCACAGTACTTTCGCAGCCTGTGCTTGTTCTCCGGCATGTTCACGAACGTCAACATTGCCTCAGCTACATCAGCATTGGATTTGTAGTCCAGGTACCCCATCATGCTCAATGCCTGCACCACCATGTCAGGTGAGTCATGGATGATAAAGGGGCCTCCGCCCCTGAAAATTCGTTTAGGCTTCAAGCCTCCAAACTCGTCCAATATTTTCCGTGTTTTTTTCGAAGATGAAGTAGTAGGAAGAAGAAAGGCAAGGTTGTTCCTGTAACGCAACCATGGGGCCTCGGCGCCGGCCTGTCGCACAAACTGAATCGTTTCCGCGCATCCTTGCTGCGCCGGGAACACGGTGACCGGACCCAAGCGATGCATGAACCAGAACTTAGCAACAGACGGCATCAGGTAGCCACGCTCATCGCGATTCTGTGAGTTCCACAGTTCCTCCTCCGTTTGCATGCAATTGGGCCCTGACCTTGGGCCCGTTCTGCTTGGTCCGACCACTTTCCAAGAGCAATACGCGGGCACCAGACAACTCATACTTTCTCCAGCTGGACACTGCGCCCTGAGGGACAAGCAAAACCATCTCTCTGCCCATCTCCACGATGTCCTGAACTACACCCAGAAAGTCTGTGTCCGTTGTCAACAAAGCGGGGCAAACGCTCCGAGACGTTCGGGCCAGGCAACGCAGCCGCTCTTCAATGGCCAAATCACTCGCCTCCCCGTTCTTGCTGCGTGGCACAGCCTGGAACTTCGTACCAGGCTCGGAGAAGAACTCTTGCCATTTTTTGTTCTCGACACTTTTCGGCGCTGCGAAGACCCTGGTCTGGACCTTCCGGCCGTCTTGCTGCAATCGTTCAATGGCCTCCTTGGTTGCATCAATCCCGCGCTGATCTCCATCTACAAGCAGCTCAGCTCGATTCTTCGAACGAGCACTCGTTTTTCGAGCTGCAGTGCGCGAAGGGAGTTGATATTGCCGTCGCCTGACCTTGATGTGTGTGTGTGGGTGTCTGAGCTTAGACTCCTTAACGTGTAGTGTCCCAAAGCCCGAATCGGGTGGGACAATACATGGAGTGAATGCTGACTGCAACTTAACATCGAAACAACTCAGCTTCTGAAGTTCGACCAACAGGCCTGCCAACATGCGCCGAAAATCATCGGAAGCTGCATGCATGAGCCTTGGCAGTGACACAGCAGGTGCCTCGCTGGCGAGTATGTCAAGCCCTTCGTCGGAAGCGCAGGAGATGGCGGCCCCCAGGCCGCGAATGCCCGGCATTCTATGTTCAGAAACTTGCATCCTGTCTCACAAGCAGACCTCCTACTTTTTTGAGCCAACCCTAAGAACAAAATCGAGATGTTTTTTTGCCGAAAACCGGAAGCGCTTAGTGCAAAGAAAGACACGAGTCCTGGACCGTCGACTCAGGACCCACCCGAGACAAAAATAAAAAAAACCTATCCACTGAACATTGAATCATTGAACCCAAACCCCAACATTGGTTCGGACAACTGGCAATGCATGATGCGACATTCCAGTATTGGCGTAAGCATTCACGTGGGAAACATTCACAGCAGTGCCGGACCACTCATCGTAGTAACGACGAAACTCAAGATATCGTTTTACGTGGCGCATTCAAACAACAAACAAGAGAGAACTACCTTGTGTGGCGTGAGCCCGCCTCCTTTGGCTACGAATGTGCTGGTCACAAGCATCTCCAAGCTGCAAGGCATCAGGACTAGCACATTAAGCAGCGCATTCAGATGATTGCGAATGGACTTCCCTCGTGGGGTGGCACCCAGCGCGCAGCTGTTACAACGTTGGTGCTTCCGCTGACGTCAGCTGGGGCAGCCCCCCACCGCAGTGGCACCACCACCGGTGCAGCCATTGCAAAACGGGTATGTGCGCTCCTCGGCCCGCCGGGCAGCCAGGAGGGCTGCGCCAGCAGTATGGCCCCTGAGGGGAGAGACCAAGGTGGTGTCGACCGCGACCTGGGCCCCCCCCCCCCCCCCCCCCCCCCGCAGAGGCAGGCCGTTGGCCATCACCTCTATGCCTGTCGTCCGCTTGAGGTTGAGGTCTCGGACGAATACGTTGAGGGCAACCGGGCGTGCTTGCTCTCGCCTCTGACTCCTGTTTGGGTTGGCTCCCCTTGCCGCAGCGCGGCCTTGTCACCTCGTGTCCTATATAGTACCCGGAGTATGTCGATGCCCACTTGCGTGATGTTCTGGCGCGACAAACAGGCCGGGCTGCTAGACACCACCCCCTCCCAGCCGATTCCCTGGCATACCACAACCGAGCGAAGGGGGGCACAGGCCGGGACGTGCCGGACGGAGGATGCATCGCGGAGTCATGGCCTCCCGGTTGACAACAACAATATGCTGCCGCAGCGTCGACGGACAATACAGTCAGGCTAGGGCCTCGGGTCGGCATGTGTGCGGGCCTGCAATGTCTGCCCATGCGCCTCGGCGCCCATGCGTATGGACACCAACAGCAAGCCCGCCTGTCCCACCTCGCGGCTTGGTAAAGGTAACTATCGGCGTCCCAATGCCAGGCCAGCGACAGCCCGTTCAGGGACCTGGCCATGGGCGAGGTGCGTGGTGACAGCGACAAAAAGCTGTGAGGTGTTTTTTTTCGCAATTTTTTCAGCACCGCATGGGTCTCTATAGGCACTGTCGGAGCCACACCGGCCCTGGTGGCCGGACGGCATCATGCCGTCAGCGGTAGGCGGCTGGCGAGGGGGGCGACCTCCCAACGCTGGTCGGCAAGGACCTCGCTCAGGTCCGGCGTCAGGCCATCAACGTTGGCTGTGCCTGCAGTCGGGAGAGAAAGGAGGCTGGCGGCAAACGCCCGCGCTGCGGCGAAGGAGAGGAGCGCGGACCAGCGGGCTACCCACGCAAAAGTGACGCTGGCGCGGAGTGCTGGCGCTAGTGCTGGCGGTTGCACCAGCCTCGCGACAGACGCGAGCGGCAGCCCGTCCCAGAGGTGCGCCCCGTGCACGCAAGTGGCCTGACCGGGGGCATGCAGCACGATGGTCCCCGTAAACATCGAGCCACCGCCGGCACCGACATGTTGCGGAGTCGAGGGGGAGGGGGAGGCATCGTCATCATCATCATCATCATCATCATTATCATCTTCATCATCATCATCATCGAGGACTAAGCAGTACTAAACGGAAGACTTCTGCTGTGTATCTGCTGGGCCCCGGGGCAGCTCCTCGGCGGGCCCGCCGCAGGTTGACAAGGAGGCGCCGTGGCGGTAAAGGCAATGGATGCATCAGGGGCTGCCTGGAGGAGGGAGACCTGGCCATCGTGCGGGAGCTGCGAGATTCTGTGAGTTGGCCAAGCGTGGCATCGGTTGGTGGTGCGATGGGCAGTGCAGTGAGGGCCTGCTGGGCAGCGGTCGCCGAGATGCGCCTAAAGGGTGGCGCGCTCCAGCCGATAGGGCATGTCGTAGACATGTGCAGGGTTACACACAGGATGCAGGTGCCGTCCCGGAAAAAAAAACAAACGTCCCATGCAAAAAAGCTTGAGATGGAGCCGCCCCCGGCCGCCGCGTGCAGCAGTGGGACAAAGAGCCAGCTGCGCGTCGGGCCCGGGCACGATGTGTGTGTGTGTGGGGGGCGGGCACCGCTGGAACAGTGAACCATGCTGCGTCATGATGCTCGGAGATTTAGCTGCGCTGGTGCAAGGTCGTCCGAATTTACTGCTTCAGTTAGCAGCTCGACATCATCCGCCTGGCCCAATAGGGACCCGGTGCACTCCCTCGCTTGGCTTCGCGAAGGCTGCGTGCGACTGCCGAGGAGGTCAGGTGCGTGGGCGAGGACGGCTGGAACTGCAGATGCTCTGGCGGGACGGGCTCCCACGGTTGGGACGGTCGCTTGGCAGGGTCGGTCAGGGCGGCTCGAGTTTCGGCATTGCCTGGCGCAAGCTCTGCCGCGGTCAGTGCCTGGCAGCGTGCGGTCAGGCCACCTCGCACCGGCGTTCGGCTACTGTTCCACGTCCAAGTCGCTGGCGGGGTGAGGCCAAGCAAAGTCCTTGCTCGTACGCTGGAGCATTAGCCCTCGGGCTTTCGCACATGTTGCCAACAAGGTCTCTGCCCCATGAACAGGGTGATTGCAAGGAGAGCTGGGAGTTTTTTTCTCGCACCTTTTCACCGGCATCCAAAGCGAAACTTTGACACCGCACGCGATGTATTCGTGGACTTTATGCACCATCCAATGGACTAAAACGCAGATGCTTTCAATGCTTTGACATTGACGTGATGTCACGCTCAGTCACAGTTTAGACATCGCGTGCAGTAACGTGCGGTGTATAGTTGTCCTCGGAAGGCACGGGACTTCCTGAGTTTCTCGGCGAGGAGTTGGTCAAGCTTTGAGCACGGACTGCACGCATGTCGCAGTGAGCCGGATCGAATTCCAGGCATCGTTTGCATGCGATGTCGATGGCCGGTTCAACGCAGTTTTGCTTGATACTCCAAACTGCCTTGTCTGGGCACGCAGCGACTAATCAACGATTATAGTACCGGACATGTTTGTTTCTCCGCACCTTTTTCTCCTTCGCTCGGGCCGCAAGGCCCTCCGGGCCTGGGCATTCCAGCGGCCGCCCACCTCGGAGCCCAGCACGACGAGCGTTTGTGGCCTTCTCGCTTGATTTCACGGTACGCGGCGTGCTTGCGCTCGGCCACCCGCAGCACGGCTCCGTCCACGCCGCTGCGCATGGCTGCAGGTGCCCCGATCGCGTGAGCAGGGACACCAGCGTGGCATCGCAGCGCTGCACACGCTCCGTACACGACGAGGTCGAACCTGCGTGCAGACGTAAATGACATGTTTTGTTTCGTCGACACAGCCTTTCATGTTTCACGTGACCACCATTCCATGCCACGGCAAAAAAACCAAGATCACCATATTCGTTCATGCTCGAGTCCCTGAGGCGCAGTCCGGTTGTTGCTAGAGACCCCAGCTTCGGGGCAGCTGTGGTGCCCATACGGAGCTTGCCATCGCATCATAGGTCCTCAAGGAAGGCGAAACGCCTAGGGCCCAAGCGTGATGGTGTGTACAGCCACTGCTGTGGCACACTCGCCGAGCATGGCTGGTCATGGCTGGTCGCAAGCACCCGGGCCTGGCAGCAGGGGCAGGCGGCGTCGTCCACGCCGGAGGGGTGCACCGGAAGCATCCGGAAGCCACGTTGCGGCCGAGACTGGGAAGGCAACATGGCTCGGTGTGCAGGTTCCAGGACCGGAAGCTGCACGCGTTCACAAGAACAGCCGGCGCGAATACCAGCCATGGCCAGTCGTCAGGGCCTGCGTCCCGGACGGGCAGAGATATGTGCGTCATCAAGAAAAAATGCCTCGCCGGACGCACGCCTCGGCAAAGTCGGGGGAATGCTCGCCAACGACCGGCGCAGTCCGAACTGCGGACACCGGCGGACACGGGTCACGCCCGACCCGCAAACTTCGAGGTTTCATTCATGGCAACCACGCAGAGTTCGCATCCTCGGACGACCCAACCATTCATGGCCCAGCAGTTTGGAAATGAAACAAGCACCGGGAAGCTGGCAATGCCAGGCGCCCAATGCCCATGTTTGGCTCCAGTTCACGTTGACGGATTCATGATTTCGTGTAGAATTGTTCTCGCTGTGCCAGGACGGCCCTTCCGGCGACTTACTTACTTTCTTTGTTGTTGCGCGTGCTGCATAAACGCATTGGCTGACACTGAGCATAGGCTCGTGCCACAGCCAACGGAGCTTCTATCACAACACAGGCGACGCCTGGAGAAACAAGCCGCGACCAACTGGTGACCAACTGGTTTGCCATCCATTTCGGGGCCCCGGATTGCTCGCAGCAACAGCATCTTTGGCATGTGGAGCGAAAACCTCTGTCCAACACTGCCGGCAGCTGGAAATCCCCGGCGCTCAATCCCGACGTTTGTCTTAGTGCGCGTGATGATGTACAGGATGAGTAAAAATGTCGCATGACAAGTGCCTTTCGTGCAGCAGCGGGCACGGGCAGGGGAGCAGCTGACCGAGCCGTTGCCAGCACCGCGTTTTCAAAGCGCGAAATCCACACCCTTCGCGTGGTCCCGCATCCGGCCGCAAGGCATCGGGAACGGGAGTTCAACGATATTCGAACCGGGAGGCCATAAATAGGGCCTGCTTCTTCAATCCAGCAGGCCCTCACAAGTCAAGCCGAAGTCCTGCATGCCAATAGGTATCCTAGCTCTCTTGGAGGCTGAAACTTGGGGCTGTAGCCAAAAAAACGCACGTGATGGAGTTGCAAGCAGCCGGACAAAACAGCGAAGCGGAGGCTCTCGTTTTGAAAGCTGGGAGGCCGATCCAAATAATACGCACTTTGGCTCGCAGGCGTTCGCAAATGTTCGCAAGTGTCGGTGCGATCTGTCGGGCTACGCAGCCCGCAAGGTTGCTGTGCTGCCCGTTGCCAGGGCGGCCTCACCTCTCCCTCCCACCTGCAGCCTCGTCAGGGGGAAAGGTGGGATACCTGCTTTATGCTCCCAGATTTTCTGCGGCCCGAGGCCTCGGCGGGTTATCAACTTACAAGCCTTGGCCTCGAGAACGTGACGACAGCATGAGGATGGTAACGATGACGATGTACGGCCGAGGCCGGGTCGCGTAGCGGTTAGATTCGTTTAGATTTGCGAGGGCCCTCGTGCGCGCATCAAGGTTGCGTCAGATTAAGTCAGGATTGGCTTGGCACCGAATGCGGCAGCCGTCGGCCCCAATTCGGCATAGCGCGGCATGCAACTGCAGCCCCGACGGCCGACGGGTCAGTGGCTCGCTCAAGCGCACCTCTGCGCAATCGCTACAGTGCGGAGTCAGGGGCAACGGGTCGCGCACCAGCACTTGCGTGGAACAGCCGCGAGCAGTAGCGACACGCGAACAGGCCGTCAGAAGAGAACGAAAAAGGGAATTGCAACTCGAGTTCCGGGAAGGTGGGGCATGCAGTGAGTGCACAAGTGCCCGCGTGTTGCACACCCCAACCTGACCTGATCATGGCGATGGACGCTGCCAACGTTTTACTTCCCGACCACTAAGTCCACAAAGGAGGCAGAACTCCAGAAGAGAGGGGCCTCACGTCGGCAGCAGGCCCACGGTAGCGTTGCGTCGACCGGAACAAGCCGGGCAATCCCTCCCCAAAAGCATGCCACTTGTGATCAGATAACGTTGCGCCGCGCACTCAAGAGTGGCGCTCGGGGTCATGCAGCGGACGCAGGGCATTGGTCCGGGAAAATGGGGCTCATGGCCCATAGCAATGACATGGAGACTTACAATTTCACGGGAGGCGTCTCTCGGAACTCTGGCTGCCTCTCAAAAATCCTGGCCGCGACATGCTGGGACCCCTATAAACCCCTACTTGAAGGCTCATGGCTACTTATAAGTGGGCCCTAAACAAGGCTATAATCATATGAACCATACTTTTGACCCTGCTTAGAAGTATCCATGAACCTCCAAGGAAAAGCCCTAAACCCTATATTGTCTGTTCCGCTGCTCAGCGTCCTTCTTGTCCGCTCCCTGCTCTCGTGCGCGTGGTCCCCCCCGCATCTTCTGCCGTCATACGGAAGCACGACGAGACTGAATCTGAAGCTGAGCGGACTATGCGGTGTCCTTTTGCGTAGCGGTCCCTACGGTGGAGAGAGGGGCGACTCGCCGGGCGCAGGGCGCGGCCCGAAAGCGTCGTCTTCGCATTTTTCCGTGGCATGCGACAAACCATCGACGCTTGATGGCTGAGCTTCGCGGGGCGTGCCTCGCGCACAAGCGCACGCAGCGGGCGCCGGCGTGGATGCTCACTTGGGATGGCTTTCGGCCGTAACGGAAAAAAGTCGCGGCGCCTGAAACTGCCCGGTGGAGGGTGCCCAGGTTGGCGTCTACTGGGTCTACTGGGTGTGCCGCCTCCGCAGGGCATAAGTTCTGGACATGTCGATGACGCAGGGAACACAAAAGCACCGCAGCCCACTCATCGCAAGAATGGTTCCCGAGAAAAAGGCGAACTGCGACTGTGCGGCCCTAGAATGGCAGGCAACGACCGGGACAAGCACGGCGACAACCCCGCGTGGAGAGGCAGCTTTACTTTCTTTTTCTAGGGTTTACCCTAAACCCTAAACCCTAAACCCTAAACCCCTTTGAGCTTGCGGTGTATTTTCGGTCTCGGCCCGTCGATGCGACCTTGGTGGGCGTCGCAGGCTTACGTTCGCGTGCACACTGCAAACGTGCGATTCGTGTTCACACCGCTTGTTTTTGTTTCTCTTCGGCGGCGCAAGCGGCCGGTGAGATGGCAACTATAGTGCCAAAGTCCTGTCCCAAGGACTCGATGCAAGTCGCATGAACTCCAACTCTACCTTCGCGATCCGTCTTCAGAAGTTCGGGGCATGGCAGAATGCAAGGGGCGTGATTCTCGCGACTCGGGATACGTGAGTGCGAAGGAGGCTGCACCGACTCCGGTATCAGCATTGCGCGCTCCAGCCATGTCGGATCCCATCGACATCCAGCGCTGGCTTTTCTGGAGCCAGAGCTGGTGAAGATCCGGGCATCGGGGGGGGGGGGGGGGAAACGCCAAAGAGCATTGGGGCGCTTTTGCTCCACAAGCTTCGTGACTTCGAGAGGTGGGCATTTGTCCATGGCCTAGCCTGACCTTGGCAAGTCAAAAACTACCCTAAACCCTAAACCCTAAACCCTAAACCCTAAACCCTAAACCCTAAACCCTAAACCCTAAACCCTAAACCCTAAACCCTAAACCCTAAGTCCATCATTGAGGCCAAGATGCCCTGAGTCAGCCCGTGTCAGCTGCGACACATGGCCCAGCTCACACCTGCAAGGACGTGTCAGGACACTTCATAACTCAAGAGCACACCCAACCAAAAAAATCAGGACTCCGAAGCGAATGTGCCCTAAACCCTTATTCAACCCCAAAACAAAGAAACCACAATGCCCTGGCTCCCCTCAATTGTTCTCCCCCCCCCCCACCCCCCCGACCCCTCGGCCTGACCGACGGAGGCGGTTTTTTTGGGGGTGTGCAAACGGCACTGGAGCCCAGGCGGCATGAAATCATATTATCACAGCTTAGGGTTAAATTAGGGTTTTGGGTTTGGAGTTTAATTAGGGTTTTAGGGTTTGGGGTCTGGGGTTTGGGAGTTTGGGGTTTATAGGGTTAGGGGTTCATGGTTTATAAGGGCTGACATACCTGGGACCCTCGTTACGTACGGTTTTATCGGTTATACCTCCCCTACATAACTCTTAAGGCATTGATTCTATGGGGAACCGCCCCCCTAAACCCTAAACGTCCAAACACACAGCTTGCTGAACAACTCTGCCAGAATGGTAGACGCATGGCCCAGGTTCTCCTGCTGTTTCGAATGCGAGGCTCTGCTTGGCACAGACATACCCTTCTGCCAAAATCTGGAACTGGATACTATGTTTTCAGACATGTCAAACTGTTGCGACTGGAAACTATTTTGTAGACATGTCGAGAAGACAGTGTCGAGTTGCAGAAAAACCCTGCCAAAAACTGGAACAACCCTACCAGGATGTCCACTCTGAAAGCTAAAGTAGGCCACAACTCTCTCTCGCTCTCTCTCTCTCTCTCTCTCCCTCTCTCTGTCTTTTCTCTCTCACTCTCCCCTAAACCCAAAAAACCTAAACCCTGAACTCTAGACCCTAAATAAAGCCTATAACCCTAAACCCTAGGACCCTAAACCCAGCCTCTCTCTTTTCAGCGCGCTCTCTTTTTTCAATTTCCCGCCAGGAGGAGGTCCTTCCCTCGGTCCGGCAGCAGCCACATGAGCCAACTCAGCGCTTGGCAGGGAATCCCATGCCTGGGGCTGTCGAAAGGTACACTGAAGTCGGGTATATATTTCTTGTACCCTAAACCCTAAACCCTAAACCCTAAACCCAAAAAGGACACCAGGTATATACACTCACCAATATTAAAACAGGAACCTTATATATACACTCACCAATAACAGTAATATAAACCCTGCTTCGACATGGCTCTTTCTGGGCATCGGTTCGTACGGTTTTGGGCTTGAGGTTGTTTAAGGGGTTTAGGGTTGTAGAATTTAGGGTTTAGGGTTTTAGGGTTTTAGGGTTTAGGGTTTTAGGGCTTTAGGGTTTTAGGCTTTAGGGGTTTAGGGTTTTTGGGTTTAACGTTTAGGGTTTATGGGCCTTGAAGAACATGGGGGGATTTGGGGCCTCTCTTTCACAGCTAGGCTTCCTTCCTTTTTTTGGGTTTAGGGTTTAGGGTTTAGGGTTTAATTAGGGTTTAGGGGAGGGCTCTTCTCTGGAGCTTTCTGTGGGCGCTCCCATCCTTCGCCGGTCCGAGGGGCACGTTGGCAACCACGTACCGCGTCTCGGGATGCTCGGAGCGAAGGGCATGTCGGATCGCCTCTCTTCGGGCGCTCCGCACTCGGCACGCCGTTTCGGGGGTTCCGGGAGGTTTTGGGGGCGCTTTGGGGATAGAGGGGGGTTTTGGGGGATTTCGGCAGTCCGCGCACGGCTTCGGGGGTCTAGGGGTTTTGGGGGGGCGGGATGTCGGTGTACAAGCTTCAGATCGCTTACCCTAAACCTAAACCCTAAACCCTAAACCCTGAGAAATGCTGGCTGTTGATGGCGCTGCCTGACGGAAGTGTTCTCTTGGAAGACATTAGGCAAGTAGGCGACAAACATGGCGCGGAGAAAGAAATCCGAACCAACAGAAAGCCTGAACCCTGTAAGACCTAAAGCCCCTATAAGAACCCTGCCAAAACCCCATAAATCCAACTCTAAACCTTCCTAAAGACCCAAACTAGCCACTATCACCCTACCAAAACCCCTATATTTTTGAAGGACCCTGAACCCCCCCCTCTCGCCTCGGTGGTGACCTCCGCGCCATCCGCATGGGCTTCCCTGTTGCGCCGCCGCTCCTGGCGTACAGGACCCCAAGGGGGTTTAGGGTTTAGGGCTTAGGGTTTGGAGTTTTAAGTGTTTGGGTTTACAGGGTTTGTAGGACTTACTAGGGTCAAGCAGAGAAAGTTCAAGAGTCTGCTGAGAGGTGCTGGGCTTACGCTTGCAAGACTTTTCAGGGCTCCAAAACAACCCCAGAAAGAGGCTCTGCCAAGTGGTTCGGCTGAAGACATGTGCAAAAAGTTGCTCTAACTTCTGCCTCTAAGAGTTCCGATGAGATCACAGTCATCAGGAAGGTGGCAGACCTGTGCGCTTTATGGGGCACGGGTTTTAGAGTGAAGCTTTTGACTTTCCAAGTGCCCTTGCCTTCAAAGGCATGAAAGCTGGTCGTTTGAGGAATAGTGCATCAGAAAGCAATTGAACGGAAGGCTACATCGGACGGAGGCCGATTTCGCCAAATGCGATAGCAATCATTCTGCTTCTCATAGATGCAGCCGCTCTCTCTCTCGCTGGCTCTCAGACTCTAAATTCTCTGGTTTGACAGCTAACAGCGGAGCCTAACAACGAGATAGCACTTGCAACTGGCTTGAATATGCTGACCTTCGCCATTCCCATTTTACGTCCTCAGTAAAGGTCCTCAGGGTGTTTTGGTTTGGTCTAGCCTGAGAGTCTCAAGGTGTCTTTCGAGGTTGCAGATTTGGGCTAAACTCGGGCTTTAGGGTTGTTCCGTTTAGGCTGAATCAAGGTGCTACCGCTCGACATTCATCGACGAGGCTACCGAGGTTCTCCTGGGGCTCTCCAAGCCCTGTAACACCCTGAACATCCCCATGTCCCTAAACCCTAAACCCTAAACCCTAAACCCTAAACCCTAAACCCTAAACCCTAAACCCTAAACCCTAAACCCTAAACCCTAAACCCTAAACCCTAAACCCTAAACCCTAAACCCTAAACCCTAAACCAAAGCATCCCAGATTTGCTACAATGCACTTAGCCAATCCCTCCTCGAAGCCCTCTGCCCACTCGCCCCAATGCTCCTCAGACAGGAGAGGATTTTGTTGGAGGGTGCTCCTTCGGTGGGGCGAGGGGCGTAGCCTATCAGGAGTGTACTGGGACTATGTGATGCATCTGCGTTCTACACACATATATCGTATATGCGTGCATGCATGTTATATACATATATATATATGAAAACTTGTATACGGTTGTTTTATATTTACATACGGTTGTTTTACATTTACATACGTGAGCACGGCATAGGACCAAATGCGTTGCTGGCGGTGCTTACTCAACCAGCGTGTCTGGAGCGAGAGCGCACATGCTGGGGCTTTCCGAGCGATGCGAGCATAGCCAAGACAGGTATGACTTGAACCCACCTCATCCTCACGGACTGCGAGGCTCATATGTGTACTCAGAAGTAGGGTTATAACTATGGTTATAACTCTATCACTCAAAACCCTACTTGAAAGTACCCAGGAACCTTCAGGCACTACTGTGCAAGGTAGTCAGCGCGCCTTCAGCTTGGAGTAGAGAGAAAACGTGCCGAAGTATCCCGCAAGCAGAAGTCCCAGCCCAAAGTACTAAACCCTAAACCCTATAACCCTAAACCCTAAACCCAAAACCCTAAACCCCGTACACTCTGGCCATACGTCCGCAGTCGCCGAGTCACACGGAAGCCCTCGAGATCCTCTCAGGGTTGGAGAAAGGCAAGAACAACACGGCAAAAACCCAAAAAAACTTCGTCGTACTGATCCTATATCCATACAAACATACATTTGCTTACATATACATATACATATACATATACATATACATATACATATACATAAACATATACATATACATATATATATATATGTCTGTATGTACACACATATACTCTTTTGCGTACGTATACATACATAAATAAATAAAAATAAATAAATAAATAAATAAATAAATAAATATATATATATATGCCACAAATGCGTATACACACAAATGGGGGTGCATCGCCAGAGCCCAGCTATCAAAGAGTCCTTTGCCCGACGCCAAGCCGCATTCTCGCCCGAGATCCTGGGCTAAGGAAGGTGTCCGGTTCTTCTCATCAGCCACGAATGGAGGTTTCGGAAATAGGAGGCCTTTTTTGGGGATCCCTTTTAAGGGGCTTCTATTAATTCCATTTTCGGGTATAAATCGGATACCCCTACGTTGGGAAATGCCACAAATTTTACAAACCTTGAACCCTAGACCCTATAGATCCTATAAACTGTAGTCCCTGACCTCCCTGGCAAAAAAAAACTCTTCAAACTCCAGTCCCGGCTGCTGTCGTCAAGATCTGGGGCTTCGTGCACTGTACTAGTTAGTTCATGGTTGGGATCGTATCAAAATTTGAAGTCCTCTTCCTTATTGAGTTTAAGTACCCTTAAACATGTGCTACCCCACTATGACAAAGCGCAGCGTTCAATTTGAAGGATGGTGGGGTCGTTGGGGCTTCGTGTGGAGTCTTGGAAACGGGCAACTGGATGGCCCTGAAAGCCCTCTGAAAAATATTCCTGTACTTAAATAGAGTCCTCTTAAGCCCAAGAAAAAGGAAAATTCTAAATGCCCCAAGGGCCTGACTACCCAGTGTAGGATTGAGGATTCAGGGCTGGGGCTCGCACTTTTTGCAGCCCAGCGGCTTTTCGTGAAGCGCCGAGTGCACCATACCCGGCTTAAGGAGGCTGACCTCTGGCTTGCTTTGGGGCATTTTTTTCCATAGGGTTTATTGGGTTTGGGATTTACGGTTTAGAGGGCTTTGGGGATTTAGGGTTTTGGGCTTTCAGGGCTTAGGGTTTCAGATCTAGGGCTTATGGCTTCCATTGGAATTGGGAAGAAATGCCGCCCTGATGGGAAGAGAAAGCAATTGAGCGCGACATGAAAAGGGGAATGGCACTGCAAACCTTGAGATTCTATAACTGGGTGTTCGTTTCGGCTGGTGCGGATCTCTTGTAATTAAGGGCTTATCATAATAACCTGCAAAACGCTGGGGTTCTTAAGGTAAACCCCAAACCGTGAGAAGTGTAGGCGAGATACCCTAGCTACCAAGCCAGGAACTATACTCGCATCTCTCTCTCTCTCTCTCACAGAGCTGTGGCAGTGAGAATGCGAATCCTGAGAACTCTATGAAAAGAACGTGACAAAGGTAGAATTACAGCGACCTGAGAATAGCGGAGTTGCAAAACAATATGAATGTAAACATAAATAAGCCTGTATATATACATATACATATATATATATATGTATGTGAAAGAGAGAGAAAATAGGTAGTAAGTAACAAGTACTGTGGGTAGATAAGTAATACGCAAGCGAGAGACAGAGACAGAGAGAGAGAGAGAGAGAGAGAGAGTGAGAGAGCGAGAGCGAGAGAGCGAGAGAGCGAGCGAGAGAAAAAAAGACAGAAAGAAAAACACTAGAGACCCCATAACCCTAAACCCTAAGGCCCTAAGGCCCTAAACCCTAAACCCTAAACCCTAAGAGGAAAACGCGCATCAGGAGCAGCCGGGAGCCCTTGAAAGTATGCACACAAACGCTGCCAGCCTCCCAGCCCTAGAGATCCCCAATCCCTAACTAAGGGGACCCTTCTGTTCGCAAAAAGGGTTTAGGGTTTAGGGTTTAGGGTTTAGGGTTTAGGGTTTAGGGCTAGGGTTTAGGGTTCGGGTTTAGGGTGTAGGGTTTAGGGTTTGGGGTTTAGGGTCTTAGGGTTTATAGGGTTTAGGGGGACAGAGCTGCAGACCAGCTGCTGAGATGTTGTACCGCGCGAGTTCCAGCCTGCTTTGTAAGGTTTCACAGCCGGGATGTCAGGGTTCAGCTCAGGGTTCAGCTCAGGGTCTAGGGTTTAGGGTTTAGGGTTTAGGGTTTAGGGTTTAGGGTTTAGGGTTTAGGGTTTAGGGTTTAGGGTTTAGGGTTTAGGGTTTAGGGTTTAATGTTAACGTCGCTTTAATAAACCCCCCCCCCCAAAAAAAAACTTGTTTTGGTCCCCGGGGTTTGGAGGGGTAGAAAAAAACGAGTGGGTGCCAATAATGCGGATTCTGGGGCTCTTGGGGGGGTGTAGCTGTCAGGGTCTGACAAGACAAGCAATCTCAAACGAGATCTGCTTCTCTAGAGCCTCGGAGCTCGAAAAGTCTTCTCTGCAAGTAAAATTTCTGATTCCTGGCCGGCCAAATATTACTGTTGTCACCCCATGATTATTTTCACCGGACCCCCCTATATAGACTTGTTTACACACATCGGTCCGAAAACCTCCCGTAATGGAAAGTAGTCTTCGGCTGAGCCCCTCTGGCCCGGCGAATATTACAGTTGCCACCCCATTTATAGATGTGAGGTTAACATTAGGGTTTAGGGTTCAGGGAGCCCCAAACTCATACCAGCACTAAGCCTCATCACGTCATTGATGGACTCGAGAGCGTTCTTCGAGCCGGCGTAGCCTCGGTCACAGGAACCTCCGAACCCTAAACCCTACACCCTAAAACCCTAAACCCTAAACCCTAAACCCTAAACCCTATTCTTAATCGGGATTATACGAGTGGGTACTATACTCCCTATTAAGAACTGTTCGTGTAATATAAGGGCGAACATCCCAACCTGAGGGGAAAATAGGCCCAAAGAATACCCTGTCAGACTGGTTGACCTCAATGAGCGAAAGCAGACATACGCCAATTGGTAGCCCAGTAACCATCTTTGCAGTGATGATAAGGGCACCTGTTTTTTGGGTTTTTTTTACTTGATAGGGGAAGCCAAAACCCAAAAAAAGGGGTTTAAGGGTACCGCGGGGCTACCAAGACCAAGGGCTCACCGTACATAGAAGAAGGCCCCACGCACACCCAATTTTCCCTTCACAGCGCACTGATACCCTAAACCCTAAACCCTAAACCCTAAACCCTAAACCCTAAACCCTAAACCTCTACCATAAAAGTGCCTTCCGGGGTACCTTTGGCCACTTCAGTAGCAGCCTTAGGGCCTGCACCCTGAACCCTAATCCCTGCTTCGGGGTCCATGGTACTGATGAACCAATTGTAACTGTACTTATAACTCACTTATAAGCCCCTTAAGTGCCCTAATATGGTTATAAGTCAGTTGTAACTAGTTAATGAGTACCATGAACCTCCAAGTAGAACCACGTCAACAGCAAGTATGAGGAGCTCGTGTAGCCCATCGCCGGTGTAGTCGGAGAGATAGACCCGACGTTCACCACCCTCCCCGCGCCGCTCGCGCGCAGGAGGGGCAGGAATGCCTGAGTTGGATCCACCCGTCTACAGTGAAGAGGGTCACGGTTTAAAACAGCTTAGGGTATAGGTCTTAGAGTTTATGGTTAGGGTTTAGAGATAAGGGTGTAGGGCTTAGGGCGGTTGTGCAAGGAATGAGCGGGTGGACACAGCTGGCCATGGTCTTGAAGCGAGTTCTAGTCTGACAGCGCTCCCAACTCTTGCGAACTTGCACGTCACCCTGCCTGGGTCACACGGTAGACACCGAAGACATTCACGTCGTAGAGCTTCATGACTTCCTCCACCGGAAGCACGCAGTAGCTGCGTCGCATCCCTCTTTCCGAGGATTGCAGGGGATTATATAAGGCATCTCCTTTCCGAGTTGATTCCTGACTAGGAACCAGTAACTCTGAAACGGACCAAAAGGGAAGGCTGTCATAGACGGTGCCATAGGTTGGGAAGAATAAGGTCTCCAGGTCACGAATATCAAAGGGTTTAGGGCTTCGGGTTTAGTGTTCAGAAAGGAATCCGACATGTTCGTCGCGCGGAGATTGCTTGTCAGGCTAGGACACGATGCTAGTGCCTCCAGCCGGGTGTAGGGTGTAGGGTGTAGGGTGTAGGGTGTAGGGTCTAGGCACGAATCCCTATGACCCTGCGCGAAATCCATACTCTCAGCATCAGTAGCCCAGGACTCATAAACGCAGCTCAATCACCAGACCTTCATACTCCAGCGCTGCAGCCATGAAATCCAGATTGACAGCAGGCTAAACCCTAAACCCTAAACCAGGGGCATCTCATCCGCAGGAAGCACTGTATGTCCCCGATGTAAGCACGAAATAGCGGTTTAGGGCTGAGGGTTTTGGGTCCAACGACGCGCTCCGCTAAATCATGTGGAACCATAAACCCTTTTCGGGTTCCTTCAGTACCGAAGCAAGACAGCTAAATCCTTAAAACCGAACCCGAAAGCCCTACACCCTAATCCGTTTCGGGGTTTAGGGTTTAGGGGTCTAGGGGTCTAGGGGCTATAGGGGTTTAGGGGTTTAGGGGTTTAGGGGTTTAGGGCTTTAGGGCTTTAGGGCTTTAGGAGGCCGATCCTCCAGGTTCTCATACTCGAAAATGAGATGCCGGGAGATCCCGGCATTGTTGACCAAGCCCACCAGCTTCCTTGGAGGTTCATGATACTTACTAACCAATTATGACTGTACTTAGAACTACTAGGGCATTTAAGGGGCTTCTAAAGGGGGTTGTAAGTACAGATTATACTTGGTTCATAAGTACCATGAAGTTTCCGATTTAGGGCCTTTTTTTAGGGTTTTGAGGTTTAGGGTTAACCCCTAAACCCTAAAGCGTAGAGGTGCCAAAGCCTAAGCCCTAACCACTTCTGAGTTCTGGATCTGCAAGAAGGCCCACTCACTGTCCCTGCCAGGATGGGCCTTTCTAGCCCCTAAACCCTAAACCCTAAGCCCTAAACCCTAAACCCTAAACCCTAAACCTAAACCCTAAACCCTAAACCCTAAATTCCCACCCGGCCTGCTTAGGCCGTACCCACCCTTTACAAGGATCCCTGAACCCAGAAGACATCCGGCAGTGACGGACACCTTTACCGGATGGACAATGGGTGGAGCCATTGGAGAGTGGTCGAATAGAGAGCCCCTGGACCTCGCCTCGCCTATGGCCAGCTGTCGCTGGGCCACCCAGCCACAGGAGTACTCAGATACTCCCCTTGATGGGCATACCCTAAACCCACGGTCCAAAGCCCGAGAACGTCGCCACCCAGGCAGCCCCCCTAGGAACCTTTCCGGGACCCCTGGTCGTTGGCCCAAAAATCCTGAAATTTAGGGTTGGCCATGGGGGGGTACCCCTTCCGGAGCCAAAAATCGCGTCAGGACCTTCCCCCCCCCTGGCCCCCCCCTAACCCCCCCATACCCCCCCTGGCCCGCGCTGTCTTTACAATCTTCCCCCGCCCGCCCGCCACCCCCGCCCCGCCCCCCCCCCAGCCCCCCCCCCCCCCCTGCCCCCCACCCCCGCCCCCCCCCCCCCCCCCCCCCCGTGGCCCCCCTCCTCCTCTGAACTTCTGACCTTTTGTTTCCTCCTTTGTGGGAGCAATGGTGGGAATTGAGGGCGACAGCCCTAAACCCTAAAAGGCAGTGGTTTGGGTGGTGGCCTGTGAAAGCTCACAGCGGGTGGGGAGAAAGAACCCAGCACCAATGAAATTGTTGGATAACATTGAAAACAAATGCCTTCGCGTGACATGCCGCCCCCCCACACCCCCTGGGTGTGTAGGGGCGCCATTTACACATGGTACTTACTGCCGCTGCGCGGCGAGACGCCCTAAACCCTAAACCCTAAACCCTAAACCCTAAACCCTAAACCCTAAACCCTAAACCCTAAACCCTAAACCCTAAACCCTAAACCCTAAACCCCATCCTGGTGCGGCCAGGGATCAACTCTTCAGCTCCCAGCGCCGCAGACACCTCTTTGCGCGCCGCCTCGACCTGAAAGCATTTGGGAACTCTATTGGTGTTGGGTAAACCCTACAGTAAACCCTAAACCCTAAACCCTATAAACCCGAACCACCGGCAGTCGTGCCATGCGAGTGGATCGCTTGTACCCCCAAATTACCCGAAACCATCTCTCTCCAAATGAACAAGAAAGCCCTTAAGCCGTTTCTTTGCTGGTCTAGGCTTTTTAGGGTAAGGGTTTAGGGCTTAGGGCTTGGGGCTTAGGGTTTAGGGTTTTGGACGGCTTAGGGTTCAGGGCTTTTGGTTTAGGGTTTGGGTGGGTTAGGGCGTCGGGTTTAGGGTCTCGGGTGAATGGCCTTTTCCGTGCTGGTCACGTCCAGCACCACGGGGCGCAGCTGGGGGTAGCTTTGCTTCAGGCGCGCCTGAACTCAAAGGCGAGCACAAACACACACCCAGGACTGACCTGGGAATATAAAGGGTGCCCGTTTTGGTTTAAAGGGAAACCCCACAAAACAAGGGGAAAAGTGCCTCTGGGGCCTAGAACAGGTAAAAGAAACCCCTAACACAAGGGGGGAAAAGTGCCTCTGGGTCCTAGGACAAAGTAAAACTGAGATCCTCCGTCCCGACCCTCAACTTGTCCCTACTTCGTGACCGGAAGGCCTAAACCCTAAACCCTAAACCCTAAAACTTCTAAAATTCTAAACCCCAAACCCTAAACCCCAAAGCCTAAACCCTAAACGCTAAACCCTCAAGGCTTAGCATTCCAGGGCTTGATGGGGGCTTCCCGCACTCAGACGAGGCTCAGCATCCTTTTCGGAGCGGACCCCAGCAAAAACCACGACCTGCCCGGTTTCAAAGGGGCTCAGAGGGTTTTCTATACTCCCCTTAGAACCATAATAAAAATATTATCCTCAATATCCTCTTGAGTTTCATATATAAACAACATGAAAAATACTATTTTCAATATCCTCCTGGGTTTTATATAAAAAGTTTAAAAAATGGTTCTCAAGGGGGAGATAGGTTTAGGTCTCGACAGATAGCTGGCCAGGAAGAGCACGTCAAGGCTTCAGTGTGCATGAATCTCTGAGGCTGGGCTCTTGTGAAGGCGCTTAAATTAAGTTGGGTTAAGTTGCCATAGTAGGTATCCAATATATATATATATATATATGTATACAATCTCCGTGTTGTGCTAAATTTCAGTCCTTAACAAGAACCCAGTCAAACACAATGGACTCACACTCACAATCGCACTACAAACACATGGATTTCCGGTCAATACCCGGTTGTCACATCTCTTTCCGCACACGCACAGAAGTCTGGACTCTCTTTCAAAGGAGTCTGCAGGTACGTAGATCAGGCATCCCTGATCTATATCATTGCCTCATGTCACTCAGCTTCGTTGGCAGAGGAAGTGACATGGGCACCCCTGCCCCCTGCTTCTTGAAACAGGCAATCGACTCTCTGAAAATGAGCTATGAATCAAAAACCACCAACCAGATTCTTTGGAACGGAACTTCCACACACACTCTCTCTCTCTCTCTCCCTGGCGCGCTCTCTCACTCTCTCTCACTCTCTCTCACTCTCACACTCTCACACTCTCACCTAAACCCTAATCCCTAAAGCCCGCCTCCGCTGACAATGCGACCGCAGCGTGGAGACCTATGCCTTCCATCCGGGGCACGCGGGGCTTATCGTCTTACCGAAAGGGTCCATGTACCTATAGGGTTTAGGGTTTAGGGTTTAGGGTTTAGGGTTTAGGGTCTAGGGTTTTAGGGTTTACTTTTTGGGCCTTACATGGAGCTTCAGGGGTACTCAGAAGTAGGGTTACAAGTAGGCAAACTATGGTCATAACTGTATTTAGTCGACTTATACCCCTACACCCTACTTATAAGTACCCATGCTCCTTCAAGCAATGGGGTTCCTATAGAGTAGCTTGAGGGCCCAAGTACCCTAAACCCTATATAAACCAGGTAAAGCCTATACACTGTGTGGGCACCTGTACCCTGAGTCGTATAAGGGCGCCTGCACTGGCCTTGTACCGAATAAACGACACCCAAACGGGGAGTGTCATCTCATTTTAGGTTCTAGGTTGTCACCGTTTAGGGTTTAGGGTCTGAATATGATCCTTTTCAATCCAGGAATTGAGAATGCAAAATATACAGTTCTTTTACTTCGAACATCCCACCCTCGCTGGGTAGAGATACTCTTGGGTTGGGCACTCTAGGGACACTCCGGGGTTGAGCATTGCAGGGACAATCTGGGGTTGGGCACTCCAGGGACACTCTGGGGGCACTCCAGGGATGAGCGAGGAGTAGACCGGGCGAGGAGAAGAGTTCCGGGCGAGAAGAAGAGTTGAGTTTAAAATCTAACACCCCCCCACCAGAGTGGGGAAAACCTGGACAAAACACACCTGTTGCAGGAACGCACAGATAAACAACGTGGGGATTTCCGGAAAGAGGGGTACCCCAAAAGACTTTTACTCCTTTTAGCACAAGGCAAGTCTTCAACCGGCCACTCATGTGCTGCCCCGCGATCCATGTTTTCAAATGTTGGGCGGTGGTCATGTGCTTGCTGTCGAAGAAAGCCTAGACCCAGGAGCAACCTAGGAATAAAAAGGGTACCCTGTTTGGATTCAAGGAGATTATAAGGGAACAACCCCAACCCCAAACAAAAAACAATAATAAGGGCCTACTCCGGGTCCTAGAAGCTTTGTCCAGGAGTCTTGCGGGGCCCGTCACCCAACAGACTAGGCTGTGCTCTCGCCCGTTTTTCGGCACAATAAACTAAGAAACTCAGCTTTGTTCATGAACCCTGAACCCTGAACCCTGAACCCCAACACTTCCCCAAGACCCTAAACCCTGAACCCCAAAACTTCCCTAAACCCTGAACCCTAATCCCCAAACCTTCCCCAAAACCCTAAACCCTTCCCCAAAACCCAAAACCCTGAACCCTAAACCTTAAACCCCAAAACTTCGCCAACAAATCTCTGTGCCAGCCCAGCTGCCACTGCTCGCTCCCGTCACAAGCACAGCCCCCGGGGCCACCGGGAACCTTCCGAGTTGTTTTTCTTTGTTTTTTTTTTGGGGGGGGCTTGCGTAGGGCTTAGGGTTTAGGCTTTAGAGTTTAGGGTTTAGGGTTTAGGGTTTAGGGTTTAGGGTTTAGGGTTTTGGGTTTAGGGTTTAGGGTTCCGGGTTTAGGGTGTAGGGTCCATAAACTTTTTTTGGCAGCAAGTTGGGACCCTTTGAGGGTTTAGGTTTGGGGATCAGAGCTAAAGGGTTTGGGGTTTGGGTTAAAGGGTTTGGGGTTTGGGTTCAAGGTTTGTGGTTCAGGGTTTAGGCCGTTTAGGCTATTAACACTTTAAACCCTAAACCCTCAACCCTAAACTAAACCCTACAGTCCTGCTGAGGGCTCGCTACCAACACTTGAGAGCCCGAAGCTGTCCGAGCTTCGCGAGCGACCTGAGAGCACTGAACGTGCAGCCCAGGTAAAGCTGGGGCTGCTGGACACTCCAAGGAAAGGCAAGGCCCACACTGGCTGTCAAGGCGGTCGTGCCTTTGAGTGTCAAACGTAACCCAAGACAATTGCTCGTGTGCCCCCCCCCCCCAAACCGCCCGAAAAACCCTGAACCCTAGATAGGGGAAGCGGCAGTTGAAAGACAAGCTTGCGCCTCTTTGCGAGGAGGGCGCGCAAGCAGGGATGGATGCCAGCCAGAAGCCTCAGTCATGCATTCGGGATCCCCTTTGCGTGGGCAGGTTAGCTGGTTGGCTTCATGTCTTGAGGTTGCAGTTTTGGGTTTAGGGTTTAGGGTTTAAGGTTTAGGGTTTAGGGTTTAGGGTTTGGGGTTTGGGGCTTAATTCGGGCTTGGTGTTCATGGGCGTCTCGCTACGTGACACATGACGAGGCCTCAAAGGGACTCCGAAGGTCCTGCCATGTGGCCTCGAAGCCTCACTCGCGCCTAGTGGGGAAACACTTCGTTTAGGGTTTAGGGTTTAGGGTCTAGGGTTTAGGGTTTAGGGCTTGGGGTTTAGATTTTGGGTTTAGGGATTATGAGCCCGTTGTCTGAGCAGGTGGCACCAACAGCTTCAGCGCCACGAACCCCTAAACTCGCGGCCCACGCGCGCAAAGAAGGGCCAGGCAAAAAGGCTTTTGCCTCTTTGGCCGAAACACAAAACCCTGTAAGCCCTGTAAACCCTAAACCCTAAACCCTAAGCCCTAAACCCATAGTATACCTCCTGAGTTTCCGAAAATCCCAAGGATGCTCACCATGGCACAAGACAAGCACAGTCAGCCAGGCACATCGCATGGCTGCGCTATGCTTCGGGGGGGTTTTTGACAGGGGCTGTAGCATGTGGGAGGGTTGGGTGTAGGGGTGTTAGGCGTGTTGGGGGGTATGTAGGGGTGTAGGGGTGTAGGGGTGTAGGGGTGTAGGGGCGTGGGGGTGTAGGGGTGTAGGGAGGTTTGTAGGGGTGTATGGGGTGTAGGTTTAGGGTTTAGGGTTTAGAGTTTACCAAATAGGGGCCTTGTTTGATGAGGATTTTGGCCGGGGGGGGGGGGGGGGGGGGCTGGAAGTAACTAGATTCAATTGTTGTCGGTATGTGTGCTTGATATTCCAATAGTTTGTCTGCTGAGGGGCTCATCTTAGTAAGGCTCCTGCATTCGCATGCTTCCCTTCTGGCCAACATCGGCAATAAGAGCGGTTTAGGGTTTAGGGTTTAGGGTTTCGGGTTTAGGGTGTAGGGTTTAGGGTTTAGGGCCTAGTGTTGCTCAGGGTTGTAAGGGCTTGGGTTCCCGGGTCGGGATGCTGATGGGAGACTTTGTGCGTCAGAAAACATCTCAGGGCAGCTATTCAGGACCCTCAACCCTCAACCCTCAACCCTCAACCCTCAACCCTCAACCCTCAACCCTAAACCATCAACCCTAAACCCTAAACCCTAAACCCTAAACCCTAAACCCTAATCCTTTGTGTGATCGTGGCTGCATGGCTGCCAGCTTGCGGCCCAAGTGGATGATACATAGCCCCAAAACCCTAAACCCTAAACCGTAAACCCTCATAAGCCCTAAACCCATAGAGGTGTTCCAAGGCAAGCACACGAGGAAGTAAGTGGGGGCATAAGGTCCTGATAAAGGCCGGGTATGCTGCATCAAACCAGTCAGACCAGTTTGCAGACATCGGTTCCTGCAGAGGAACTGCCAGTGCGGAGCCAAATTTTGAGTACGTACCCCCAAAAAGACCGGTTTAGGGTTTAGGGCTTAGGCTGTAGGCTTACGGTTCAGGGTGTAAGCACAATCGAGATGGCACTGTGCATTCTTCTTCGCTACAGCTGGATTGTCTCACACGGAAGCAGCAACGGCCATAGCGCACGCTGTACTTTCGCTCGATCCGGCGCGCTGCGTGTGAAGAGGCTGGCTGAGCATGAAGCACTTTAACTTTCCAAGGTTTAGGGTTTCCTACCTTTGGAGTAGACCCTGGAAAAAAAGTATATACTTTTTAGGTATAAGTAGCTATAATAGGAACCCAGAACCAAAAAAAGTATTAAAGTACAGTACTCCAAAACCCAGGTTTAGAGTTTAGGGTTGAGGGTTGAGGGTTTAGGGCTTTCAAGGCTCTTGAATGGCCTATCGCAAGCATGCTTTCACATCACTGTAACCCACAAGTGTACACAGCAAGCAAAGCTCAACGGCCGCCACCCTGCATTGTCAACTCGTTTAGTCGCAGGTGTGGCCTACGGGATCCCCTAAACCCTAAACCCTAAACCCTAAACCCTAAACCCTAAACCCTAAACCCTAAACCCTAAACCCTCCTAAACCCTAAACCCTGAACCCTAAACCCTGAACCCTGAACCCTAAACCCTAAACCCTACAGCCTACTTCCACACGCAGTCGAAAATTAGGGCCCTCGCGGCCCTCGCACTTGAAATACGGCCCCCAGGGAGTTCGAGAGGGCTGGGGCCTTGAGCCCTGGTGTCCAGATGGACCTTCGTTACCAAAGTACCCCTAAACCCTAAACCCTAAACCCCAAACCCTAAGCCCGAAAACCCTAAACCCCTACCAAAGTGCACCCGAGGTACGAAAAAACTTGTAGTGGGTACCAGGAAACTGCCGGCCCATGTTGATAAAAGTTGTTCAAAATGTATAACTTGTCGCTCCATACAGCGCTTTGCATGACTGGAGCTCCAGTGGAAGAGGATATGCAGATCGAAGCTGCCATTGCTCGAAGTGGAAGGGGAAGCATTAGTCGGCCGTGGAGAGCCCGTCTTTTTCAGAATCCCAAGCCTTTTCTGCGTTGCATGTTCGGAGGGCGCACAGGGACTCAGAACACTGTAGTAATTCACTCGACTGTCGCAACTCCGCTCCTTGTTCCAGAAACGTCAAGAATGCTTGGGGAAGTGACGTACGAAGAACACGAAGATGCTGTAAACATCGGTGTTTGGAATGGGCATGTGCGACCGCGCGCTCCTTGTTCCAGAAAAGTCAAAGCTTTGTGCGGGAACATGTACCAAGCTGTTAACAACAGTATGCTCGCTGTAGGGATAGACGCTGTGACGGCATGTCTTGCTGCAAAACCCTCAAGCAGAGCAAGGCAGCGTCAGCAACTACTCAGGCCCCTGTAGTGCGGTGCACGCGTAGACCAGCCGGGTGATAATGTACTGTCATGATCGTGCCAATAGTGCCATGATGGTGTCATGCACCATCATAATGTGTACTGGCCGCTCGCAAAAACCCTCGACCACCAAACCCAGGTACATGAAGAGCTTGGGTGCAAAGTGGCGCACAGTGACAACGCCCCCGCCCGCCCCCCCCTGCCCCCAAACCCCACCCGAACCCCCCCCACCCCCCCAAAGCCCCAAAAAAGAAAGTCGACTTCTGAAGCATGTTTAGACACTGACTGTTGAACCCCGGTCATGTTCCCCCCTCTCTTCTCCACCTCGAGTCTGCAGAGCTTCGTTGCATGGCATGGGAGCTTACGATAGTCAGGGGGGAATGCAGACCTTAAAACGGTCGGTTCCCCTTATCATAAAGGCCCCCAATACGGTACCTTAAGCCCTACAAACCGTAAGCCCTAAGCCCTAAACCCTAAACCACACCGACTTCCACATCAAACATTTAGTGACTAGCCCTTACATCCCCTAATTTCGGAAACTCTCACATCAAACTTTGGCCCCCTGGTTCTTAGTAGGAACTGCAGGAATTCGGACCCAACAAAAATACCTGGTAAGGGTTCACTCCTTCCCTCACTCCCTACTAAGAACCAGCCAGTTGGGAAGCGAATTCCCTTGCAAGGCGTAACTTTGCAGCTGCCTACTTGGAGGCTCATGGTACTTATTAACCAATTCCGACTGTAGTTTTAACTGTACTTGTCACCATATTGGGGCACTCCAGGGGCTGACAAGTGGGTTAGAAGTACAATTATAATTGTCTAATGAATGCCCTTATAAGCACTAACCCTAAACCCTAAACCCTAAACCCTAAACCCTAAACCCTAAACCCTAAACCCTAAACCCTAAACCCTAAACCCTAAACCCTAAACCCTTCAATAATTGTTTAATAAGTGCCACGGACCTCCAAGTATGAGCAGCCCAAAGGTGGACCCACAGGGCCCCACGCCGAGGGTGTCTTTAGGGTCTTTTGGGGGGTGTAGGGTTTAGGGTTTAGGGTTTAGGGTTGAGGGTTGAGGGTTGAGGGTTGAGGGTTGTGGGTTGTGGGTTGTGGGCGTGAAGGCTTAGGGTCTGTAATTCGGGTTTCGAGGGCCCTTAGGGTTTTGCGGGGCTTGAGGGTCTGGGTTTTTAGGGTTTAGGGTTTAGGGTTTAGGGTTTAGGGTTTAGGGTTTAGGGTTTAGGGTTTAGGGTTTAGGGTTTAGGGTTTAGGGTTTAGGGTTTGAGGCATAAGAGGCTCTGAATTCCCGGGCTCAAGCCCGCTCGTCGGCTGAGAGGGATTTCCAGGCAGCTGTTGCTTCATTTCCTGCGCTGACAAGCTTAGGGTTTAGTTTAGGGTTTAGGATTTAGGGTTTAGGGTTTAGGGTTTAGGGTTTAGGGTTCAGGGTTCAGGGTTCAGGGTTTAGGGTTTAGGGTTTAGGGTTTAGGGTTTAGGGTTTAGGGTTTAGGGTTCAGGGTTTAGGGTTTAGGGTTTAGGGTTTGGATTCCAAAAGATTTATGTTACATATCCTAAGCCCTAAAAAACCCTCTATGGGGATTTCTACTATATACCAAACCAATGGATTCAGTCAGACCCATATACCAACCCTACAAGTGTACAATGCAACCCGGGATAATCTGCTTAAGTTATTGCTGTTGCCGCAAGAGTGGGTGCATATGCGTTTGCGGCGTTGGCAGGGCTTGAGGCACAAGAGAGCGAGGAGTGGGAGCCGATCTGCTGGCGTGGAAAGACACTCGATGAGTCACTTTCTGAGGGCGCGTGAAACTGAGCAAAATGGCTCGCGTATGCATGCCTGCATGTACCTTCCTTTCTTCTGCGGGCGGCGCGAGGACAAAACACCACAAAGCGGAGTGTAGCACGTAGCAAGACATGCTCAAAGGCACCCCTCGGCACCGTAGAGATAGTATGCTTAGAAAAAAACTACATCGAAGCGAACATACAGAAATACCAATATGTATATATACATATATATATATTTTTTATTTATTTGCTTATTTGTTTATTTATATACAAAATATTCTGCAATATATCCCATCTAATATACATCTAGAATCTTTGTTCAGACCCAGCCCAAGAAACAAAGGGGACATGGGTCGAAAGGCGTCAACCTGTTGAAGCCGGCGGAATAAGCTCCGGAGCCTGGATTCTCTAACCCTGAACTCCCAGGGCTCTTTTCTAGGGTTTAGGGTTTTGGGTTTTGGGTTAGGGGTTTAGGGTTTACGGTTTAGGGTTTCGCGTTCTAGAGCCCAGGGCTTCAGATTCCCTAAGCCTTCCAGGCTTTGAAGGACACCCTACTTACCCCCCAGCCCTATACATAGATACAAACTATGCTACACCCTCAAACCCTCAACCCTAAACCCCAAACCCTCAAGCCCTATAAACCACAAACAGTCCACAAACTCTGCTTCCGGGGTTCGTGGACGTCTTCGATGAGGTCCAGCAACGTCTCCTTCACAAACCTGACCTGCGAGAGGGGCAGGGGATCACCGGGTTTGGGGGTTCTTGGGGTTAGTGGTTTAGGGTTTCTAGGGTTTAGGGTTGAGAGTTTATGGTTTAGGGTTTAGGGTTGAGGGTGTTTGGGGACTTGGGATCGTTTCGGGGGATGGGGGTTTCCGGGCGTCAGGGGTGTACTTTCTTGATTGCTCTCTTGCGTCGGGGGGGAGGGGGGGGGGTTGCTTAAGGGTTTAGGGTTTAGGGTTTTGGGGCTCCCTGCTTCTCAGGCGCATGGCGCCATACAAGGCGAGTCGGAATTCCGTGCGCTGCCGGACTTAACAGGGGTCGAGAGGGGCCACCATGCTCTCGTAAGTTGCTAAACCCTAAACCCTAAACCCTAAACCCTAAACCCTAAACCCTAAACCCTAAACCCTAAACCCTAAACCCTAAACCCTAAACCCTAAACCCTAAACCCCCAACAAGTTGGTATCAACCACCTCAGGTTGACAGAAGAAATTGAAGCCAGTGTGAGGCATGACGTTGTTTGTCTTGCGGGGGCCCTTCTCTGCTCGAGCCCCCGTCCCACGTTTCTTGGGGGGAAGGGGGGTATAGTATAGGGCGCAACCCTAAACCCTAAACCCTAAACCCGAAACCCTAAACCCTAAACCCTAAACCCAAGGATTTTGGAGTTTCCGGTCCGGGTTTCGGGGCCCTCGAAGAGCTTCACAAGTTTCAGGTGTGGCGGCCCTTGTGTTTTAACCTAGGTTGTCCAGTATCCTAGGGGAACTAAGGTTAGGGTTTAGGGTTTAGGGTTTAGGGTTTAGGGTTTAGGGTTTAGGGTTTAGGGTTTAGGGTTTAGGGTTTAGGGTTTAGGGTTTAGGGTTTAGGGTTTAGGGTTTAGGGTTTAGGGTTTAGGGTTTAGGGTTGAGGGTTGAGGGTTGAGGGTTGAGGGTTTAGGGTTTAGGGTTTAGGGTTTAGGGTTTACCTTTGGGATTGTATTATGGGGAGTATCCTACCCCCAAAAAAGGTAAAGGTGCCCTACTCTACTGCGAAGTAACAGCCAAGTCGCTTCTGCATGGGTCAACTTGACATCAATGTTCCTGGATGGTGGAATCGTCCTAAACCCTAAACCCTAAACCCTAGACCCTAAACTCTAAACCCTAAACCCTAAACCCTAAACCCTAAACCCTGAGAAGTTCTGAGCTGGAAGGAGTATCGCGGTGCCATTTAGGGCATTGCAGCAGAATCGGGCATCGGGGAAGAGTTGTGCGAAGGACGTGCGGGAACCGACACAAAAATGTTGATTCTGCTTGTCTAGGCTGCCCAGTAACCTAGGCTTAAAAAGGGTGCCCTTTTTTGCTTCAAGGGGTTTATAGGGGAACCTAAACCCCCAAAAAAGGGAATAAGGGCACTACTGGGCATCCTAGTTATGAAGCGCTCGGAGAAGGCAACGGCTTGGGGTTTAGGGTTTAGGGATATTCGGGGTACATGTTGGGGTCCCCCATTTTCGTAAACCCCCACTTGAAGGTTCATGGGTACTGACAAGTAGGGTTAGAAGCGAAGGCCCCTAAGTAAGGGGGTAATAACCACCCTAAACCCTAAACCCTAAACCCTAGACCCTAAACCCTAAACGCTAAACCCTAAACCCTACTTAAAACTCTTACAAGTATACCAGGAGAGACAAACAGAACGGTGGTCCTATATACCAGCTCTCTGACAAGTCAGCCTGTCTTTGGGTTTAGACAATGGCCCAAGGAGGAAGATCCGGTTGGGGGTGTGGAGGTTGCGATCGTCTTAAGTCAGGGGAAATCAGTCCGGCGCGCGCAAGCGCTTACAACTATTTCTGCTCGCATGGGCAGCTTTGCGAGCTCACCTCTGCCAGATAAAGAAGCTCTGTGCATCTACGCATCAAGGAATGGCGAAGCCACAAGTAGCCATGGCTCGCAGCCCGGTGGGGACACTACACGCCCGCCCAAGAGCACATCCCAAACATCCAGCAACCCTCAACCCTGCCACCCAAGAATCGATGCATCGCCATGGAGGTTGTAGCAGCCCAGAAGAAACTCCTTCGCAGCAGATGGGGGCTTCCGAACAGAAGGGGGTACCGTATTGGGGGTCCTTCTTAAAAGGGAACCCTACTACTTGAAGGTCTAAATTAGGGCCCCTTATTCTCGTAAGTCCCCATATTATCGGGGCTTAGAAGCATCAGAGAGCCGGCGGGGGCAGCGCGGTGCCCCCGAAACAGGTGAACACGTCCTTCCGATGCTCAAACACATGGTTTATGGGGAGAACGTGAAGCGTGGGGATTTCAATTATAACAGTTATAGTGATAATAACAATAACAGGCCCAGGATCATCGATGTCGATGGCATCCGACTGGTCGAAGTCGAGAAGGTCAAAGAGCGTGGACGCGTCCGGTGTGTTCAGCTTCCTGGCATCCAGTGGATCTAGGGTTTAGGGTTTAGGGTTTTGGGTTTAGGGTTTAGGGTTTAGGGTAGCGACATGGCAATGTCCTTTCAGGGCTTCAGGGGCTTGAGGTTCCGGCATTTTTTCATGTGTACATGAATCTTCCAAATGCCCGCATGTAGCTACCTCGAGGATAGACTCAATTATGGAGTTGTGGCTAGGGTGGCTGGGGAATCCCAGTATCATACTGCGAGGTAAAACCTCAAGGACCCACGAGACCCCTTGAAGGAATGAGTCAAGCATCACGATATGCATCCCTTCTACCTGATTCCCTAAACCACAAAAGTTCATGAGTATTTAAGAGTCGGGTAAGAGCACCCTTCATAGTTCCCGAGGTACGTGATGCCCCAAAGAGACCGAAGTTTCCTTGGGCACTAGAAAAAATCAAGGCTCAACAGGTTTAGGGTCCGTATACCTTTTTGGATTATGTCGTAACGCAGGGTACAAGTAATCCCAACAAATTTGGGGTTCATACACAAACGTGCGGGAAAGCAGCAGAGCGCTGAGATATGCCAGGACGCTTTCCTGGGCGCAGACAGCGCACACGAAGAGCGTGATGGATGGGCTGTTGCACCCTACAACCCCCTTAAAAAAGGCTTGTATAAGGTTAAATTATGGGGATTCTCAGGCCTGATAGCCCATCTTGGCATGTGACCGGTGAACCTAAATGACTGTCCTCAACCTCTTCCAGGGTGTTTTGGTGCTGCAGAGCACAAAAGTGGGGGGTTTCGGGTCCCGTATTTTCGTAAACCCCCAAGAATCCCGAATCCCTGAACCCTAAACGCCACACTATTTTTCGGGGGCCCCCTCTAAGGGGGTCCCTTATTTTCGTACACCGTCGAAGTGTCGAGCTTGTGCTGGAAACTGTGGCGCACCCTGGAATCTCAAGCCGCATTCTGCAAACATCGCGGCGCGCGTTTCTCACAAGGTGAATCAAACCCTAAACCCTAAGCCCTAAGCCCTAAGCCCTAAGCCCTAAACCCTAAACCGACACATAGAAAGGGCGCGTGCTCGAGTTGGTACCCTGAAACCAATTCTTAGGCTTCAGGGTTCAGGGCATTAGGCCTTAATACTCTTCACGAAGAGGACACCCCTCCCCCCCCCCCCCCCCCCCCTAAAAAGAAGAAAGCAAAAAAGTAGGCAAAATAGGCCCTAAACCCTAAACCCTACACCCTTTACCTTCTACACCCGAAACTACCCTAAACCCTAAATGTTTAAAGCCCCCCGAATGCTGGCGGGGACTCATTCTGAAAGGAGGCCTCCAACATCTCTCTGGTGATCATCCCAGAGGAATCCTCGTCGATGGCTTCGTAGAGGGCCTTCCTGGGCTTTGCAAGAATGGGTTTCGGGTTTCGGGTTTCGGGTTTCGGGTTTCGGGTTTCGGGTTTCGGGTTTAGGGCCATTTTCTGGCCCTCGCGCGAGGGGCAATAAAATCACAAGCCCTAGAACCCTCTCTAAACCCGGGGTTTAAGAAAAGGCTGGCTGGCGTCACGTGCCCACCACTGCTGCTGAGGGCGGTGCGAGACACCTACAACATGGCAGACACCCCCAAGCTGCACACGAGGACGACACGCCAAACCCAACTTGTGCGTCCCTTGGGGGTCGGGCCCAGCTGTGGCATGTGAATCAGGGTTTAGGGTTTATAGGTAGGGTTTAGGGTTTAGGGTTTAGGGTTTAGGGTTTAGGGTTTAGGGTTTAGGGTTTAGGGTTTAGGGTTTAGGGTTTAGGGTTTAGGGTTTAGGTTTAAGGGTTTAGGGTTTAGGGTTTAGGGTTTAGGGTTTAGGGTTTAGGGTTTAGGGTTTAGGGTTTAGGGTTTAGGGTTTAGGGTTTAGGGTTTAGGGTTTAGGGTGCCAAGACAGCCCCAGCGTCAAGGAGTCCAGGTAGTGCTTCTTCCTGAGGTCGGAGGACACTGTTGCTGAAAGAGGCTGCAGGCGCAAGAGACTCGAGGCTTGAAAAGGAGTCTGCGACTTAGCATCAAACCCTAAACCCTAAACCCTAAACCCTAAACCCTAAACCCTAAACCCTAAACCCTAAACCCTAAACCCTAAACCCTAAACCCTAAACCCTAAACCCTAACACTCCTGCATCCTTCGATTCCCCAGCTTGGGGGGGGGGGGGGGGGACATCATGAAACGTCTCAAGCCCCCGAGACCCTTTACACACAGCTGGGTTTAGGGTGTAGAGTTTTTGTTGCCAACTAGAGCCTCTAAACCCTACAAGCCCTAGAACGCTCTGAACCCTCAACACTTTGGGGTTTAGGGCTTCTCCTCCCGCAAGCCGAAATTGAGTCGAATCTAAGCGTCGTTTCCAGCTCGTGCTGCACGACCACACCTGATTTAGGACATCGGGAAGTAGAGGCATGGGTTTACCTATGCAAGTGTAGATTGTGGCGCGATGGTAGGCGGCTGAGGAATTCAAAAAAGCAGTATGGATCCCTAAACCCTAAATCCTAAGCCCTAAACCCTAAATCCAATGTAAGGCGTATTCCTCAACTAAGGGGGTCTGGGGCTCCCTGCGGGTTATTTCTTAATGAGGGGGTAGTGGGCTTCATTTTCGGCCCAGATCTCGCTCGCAACTCTTCACACACGATCCTCAACGCGCAAGCGAGGGCAAACAAAAAGGCAAAACTCATCTGAGGCAACTACACCCAGAAGATCAAGACGGGCCTGGGGGGAGGGCGAGGGTGCAGGGTATGCTTTTGCCCCGAAGCCAAACACCCCTAAACATTGCACCCTAAAAACCCCAAAACCCTCAAGCCCTTTGCTGAACCCTAAGCCCTAAACCCTAAACCCTAAACCCTAAAAAGAACTCCACTCCAGGCCCAGATGCTTTGATCTGCCCGGCTGGACTGCATCGCGGCATCGACGAAAACGCCCGTCACGATGTTCACCACAGCAAACCTGGGTATAGGGTTTAGGGTTTAGGGTTCAGGGTTTAGGGTTTCGGGCTTAGGGGCCTGCGTCTTTAGAATTGGGTTTTGGGGATGATTTGAGTATAAATATATAGGGGCCAGAAGGTAATTCTATTCGTAATGACCACATTATTCGCGCCTAAACCTTTAAACCCTGCATCCCAAAAGTGCTATAGCACCATGCGTCCAAAACCCAAACCTCTGCTTCATTGGTAGCTGACTGTTGCAATCAAACCCCCATGGGGGTTTACGAAAATAAAGTACCCTTAATATAGACCACCAAATGTAGGATTACCTTATAACAAGGACCCCAATAAGGTACCCCCAAATTCTGAAACCCCTCATGTGTCCTTAGGTAACCCACAAACAAGGAGTAGGTTTTGGGGATCTTCAAGTTCGGCTCGAGGGTGTTTAGGGTTTAGGTGTAGGGTTTCTGGCTGAGCTTCACACAGTCTACCATGCTTAGCAACCGTAGCAACGCACAAGGCAGCAACACTTCATGGGCTCCGATTGATGATATGTTGAGCTTATTCTGGCACTGGAGCAGTACTCTGGTTCAAGATATCTGGCAATTTGTGGTCGAAAAACTGGCGTCAACGTGCTCATAAACAGCGTAAAGCCCCCATCCTGCCATGGGAAGCCCTGGACTCTCAAACAACAGACTCAACGAAGCCTGCAATGCTGGAGCCCTTCCTAGTTTAGGGTTTAGGGTTTAGGGTTTTGGGTTTAGGGTTTAGGGTTTAGGGTTTAGGGTTTAGGGTTTAGGGTTTAACCTTTCAGTTCTGGTAGGGCCATCTATACCCCAAAGGATAAAGGTTCTCTACTCAGCTACTAAGCCTTGTAGCCCATCAGGGATTCGGGCCTCGGGAGCCAGCAAGCCCTATCTTCTCCTCAGACCACCTCATAAGGTTTAGGGTTTAGGGTTTAGGGTTTAGGGTTTAGGGTTTAGGGTTTAGGGTTTAGGGTTTAGGGTGGCCTTTTAGGGTGTAGGGTTTCGGGCTGAGGGTTGAGGTCCCATGCCCCAAAGCCCGAATGGAAGGTACAGGAACAACATGAAGGTGATGTAGAGGAGGAAGACCTCGGCAAGCGCTTGAGCCAAATCTAATCCCTAGGGTTTAGGGTTTAGGGTTTAGGGTTTAGGGTTTAGGGTTTAGGGTTTAGGGCCCTGGAGATGCAATACCAGGTGCCTGTCACGCTTTTCTGAAGGTATTGGCTGGGTGGCTACTTAGAAAATGTGAAGGGTATTGTATTTTGGGCAGTAGTTTCTTAAGATTCAGACTATATAGGGATTATTTTGAAAGCTCCTACATCAACTGGCCGAAGCGGATTCAGTTTTTCGAACAGGAACACAGGAAGATAACATGATCCACCTAAACCCTAAACCCTAAACCCTAAACCCTAAACCCTAAACCCTGAATCCCATTCAGGCAAAAAGTAGCGTAGTCAAAGACTTCCGAAACCGAGCTGCTGAGCAGTAGATGCCTCCGTTGTCCATGGACGCCAGGGCACTGTAGTAGACCTCACTACACTCACAAGGGTTCTGACTACCACCTTTAACACCTGTGCAGGCGCGGAGGACTTCCACATGCCCCCCACGTGCAAAAACAACGGTATATTCAGGCGCATGACGAGGTGCCCTTAAGAAGCACCGGGATCCACATCAAGCAAAGCACCCGCGTGCCAGAGTGTGGATTAAATGGCTTTGCTGTAACAGATTTGGGTTTGTATCTCAATGAGGCGCGCGACACGTGCTGGGGTCGGGGTATGTTTCGCGGGTATGTTTCGGGGTATGTTTCAAGGTATGTTTCGGGGGTATGTTTCGGGTATGTTTCGCGGCATCATAAGCTACTTTACCTGCAATTTCGGGGGGGTATGTTACGGGGTATGTTTCGGGGGTATGTTTCGGGGATGTTTCGGGGTATGTTTCGCGGGTGTGCAACCCGTGTGCCCTTCTTAAACCTGAGCCCCCCAAAAAAACACAAACCCAGTAAACGGTATAGGGTCTAGGTTTTTGGTCATAGTGTAGAGGGTTTAGGGTATGGGGTATAGGAATAGGGAATAGGTTTTCGGGCTTAGGGTTTAGGAGGCTTTTGAGGACGACTCTGGCGCCAAAGTCACCGTCCAGTTGTTTCCTCCTGCCATCGCCATGTACAGTGACAGCCTGGCAATCTGGCTTGTTAGGGTTTAGGGTTTAGGGTAGATGTCGGGGTTGCTGGAGTGTCTGGATGACGGAGGCTACAGCAACATGAAACCCTGTCATGGGTGAGTGTCTTTATTAGGGTTCCCTGTATTTATTGGTGAATGTACATAACTGGTGTCCTTTTTTCGGGGAGACTAATTACTAGTCATAAACCATACTTCACATAAGCCCAGTCGCATAGAGTGGGATAAGCTCCCGAAGTAGGTCTGCAAGTCGCTATGCTCGCTGCTTCTTCCTTCCAAGCCCCCACTTGGATCACGCTTTGCGTGGGATTGGGGGTTGAGTGTTGAGGTTTAGGGTTTAGAGTTAGGGTTTAGGGGATTTGGGAGGGTTTCGGGAGGGTTTAGGGTTGAGGATTTAGGGCTTTGCACAAAGACAGCACCAGGACTTGCTTATGTAGCTACACGTCACTAACCCTAGACCCTAGACCTTAGACCCTAAACCCTAGACCCTAGACCCTAAACCCTAAACCCTGTATATCCAGCCCAGGTCTTGCACTTCAAGTGGGTGACTGCAGAGACCCCCGAAACCCGAAACCTGAAGACACTTAGAGCCCAAGTAGCGCACATCACAAGATAACAGGGTTTTGGGTTTAGGGTTTAGGGCTAGGGTTTAGGGCTAGGGTTTAGGGTTTATAAAGGGTTTAGGGTTTGGGGTTTAGGGTTTAGGGTTTTGGGCCCCCCACCCCCCCCCGCCCCCCCCCCCCACCCCCCCCACCCCCCCCCCCCCGCCCCCCCCCCCCCCTTGCCTCCCCCCCCCCCCCCCCCGCCCCCCCCCCCCCCCCCGCCCCCCCCCCCCCCCGCCCCCCCCCCCCCCCCCCCGCCCCCCCCGCCGAGTGATCATGAGGGTGCAGGGGGAGCGCCCTATAAACAAGTCCTGCATCACAAAACCCCCTCAAGCTGCGACATGCGGGATGGTAGGGTTCAGGGTTTTAGGATTTGGGGCTTTAGGGTTTAGGGTTTAGGGTTGAGGCCCTATAAAGCACATCTTAGATCCTAACACCCTGGAGAACCTGAAGCTTCGACAGGCAAAATGAAGGAGGAGCGTCTCAGCTCTACCGTGTCCAAGTAGGATACCACTCCTGACCTCATAGCAGGGTTTAGGGTTTAGGGTTTCCGAAAATGGGGGGGTGGGGGGGGGGGGGGGGGGGGGGGGTACCCTTTGGGGGGTTCCTATGATAAGGATTGTACTAAATTGGGGAACGTTAAGGGTGCCTCCCCCCCCTATTTTTGGAAAGACCATTATCTTTAGGGGATATGGCGTCTTGCTGTCTTGGGGGACGTCAAACTTAATGGCTATAACCCACTGAGAAGCTGGTAACGTACCCGAGCACGGTGGTAACTAGGGTATAAGTACAGACATTGACATGATATCATTGGGTCAAACAAGTCCATGAGCCTCCAAGTAAGAGTTTGGGGATAGTGCCCTTCACGAAGCTCTAGGTCTTTTGCTTAGGATTCTACCCTGAAAAGGTTCTTTTTCGATTTGAAGGTTCCATAGGGTTGCTCCCGTGAGGGGTTTGGGGTTTAGGGGGCGTAGGCTCTTGGGCTCTTACGGCTCTTAACTGCAGCTCGGGCCAACATGTTTGTTATGTCTTGGGAATTCGCCCCGGGCTTTACGGGACAGGTCTCGGGCAAGAATGAGCTTGAGTCAACAGCTTATAGGGTTTAACGTTTGGTTTGGGGCTAGCGGCTAGGGTGGAGTATGAGGTGAATGCTGCAAGTACTGCCACCGTAAGAAAGGACACTGTGCCCGAGGCAAGAACTCCCGAAATCCAAACTTGGGTTCTAGATGCTCTTACCCTGTCTGGTTTGTGAGGCTTGTCAGATGGGTAGTTCTCTACATTAGGATCCCTTTGGGAGTCCCCCTATAAAGTACGGCACCTTTAAAAAAAAACAAAAGCAAAAAAGGAACCCTAATCTGGAGAACTACCCAGATTCAGCTCAGGCACGTAAAGACGATGGCGAACATGTAGAAGATCACAGAGAAGATGATCGTAATCCACAGCACGGACTTCAGGCAGTTGACGGTGGAGAAAACCATCATACCTGGTACCCTAAACGTTAGACCCTTAAACTGAAACTGGCTGCGGTTGGCAGGGTTTAGGGCGTTTTGAGGGTCTCGGGAGTTGTTGGGCAACCCTAAACCCTAAACCCTAAACCCCAAACCCCTAAAACCCCTAAAACCCCTAAAACCCCTAAAACCCCTAAAACCCCTAAAACCCCTAAAACCCCTAAAACCCCTAAAACCCCTAAAACCCCTAAAACCCCTAAACCCCTAAACCCCTAAACCCCTAAACCCCTAAACCCCTAAACCCCTAAACCCCTAAACCCCTAAACACCTAAACCCCTAAACCCCTAAACCCCTAAACCCCTAAACCCCTAAACCCCTAAACCCCTAAACCCCTAAACCCCTAAACCCCTAAACCCCTAAACCCCTAAACCCCTAAACCCCTAAACCCCTAAACCCCTAAACCCCTAAACCCTAGTTCTGAATGTGGCCGAGGTGCGAAGCTCCCGGCACATCTGCATGACTCGGCTGGCGCGTACCACCTGGCTGCTGCCGCTGCCCCCCCCCCCCCCCCCCCCCCATCACAGAAATCCCAAACCCGGCTCTCCACTACACAAGTCGCACGCCGGTGGGCCCACTCCTACGTCTGAAGGTCGCGCAAAAAGGAACCCTAAACCCTAAACCCTAAACCCTAAACCCTAAACCCTAGGCCCTGACAGAGGACGAACTGTTGCAGACCAGGCTGCACGTAGTATACGCACGACGCGGATCCCACGCACCACCGTGAACTGACCTTGAGTTCAAAGAGTTCCCGGGTTTAGGGTTTGGGTTTAGGGTTTAGGGTTTATGGTTTAGGGTTTAGGGTTTAGGGCTTAGGGTTTAGGGGGTTAGGGCCAGGGGTTGCAGCAACTTTGGGGTTTAGGGTTTAGGGTTTAGGGTTTAGGGTTTAGGGTTTAGGGTTTAGGGGCTGCGTGACTGCACACCATGGAGATACACGTCCAGCAGAAACAACAAAGATTATGTCGAAGTACACCCTTTACAACTTAGACCCCAGAGTAAACCCTAAACCCCAAACCCCAAACCCCAAACCCCAAACCCCAAACCCCAAACCCCAAACCCCAAACCCCAAACCCCAAACCCCAAACCCTAAACCCTAAACCCTAAACCCAACCTTGGAATGAGAAGGGTACCCTTTTGGGTTTAAAGGGGCTGATGAGGGACAGGGCACCTAAACACCGAAAATGGGAATAAGGGCCTACTCTGGGTCCTAGCAATCCCCTTTGAAATTTATGGGAATATAGCTCGGGTTTTTCAAAAGTAGGAGCACCCCCCCCCCCCCCCCCGTTAAACCCTAAACCCTGACGATGTAGAGTAGGTAGAGAGCAAGGTGAAAGGCGAGCAAGAGAGATCTGAACGATTCGGATGAATCTTCTAACGACGGTTTGCCGAGCTGCCTCCGAAGAGCCGAAGAAATTGCGACTCAGAGTGTAGGGTTTGGATGTTCCCCCTTATACTAGCAGTCCTAAATAGGGATGATAATCAGGGGTACGATATTCCCGATTGTAATCCCTGCTAAGGACTGTGAGTATAAGGGGAACATCCCAGCTTACCATGGCTGCATGTTTTCTGGCCAATACCCTAAACCCTAAACCCTAATCCCTAAACCCTAAACCCTAAACCCTAAGCCGCCAAGAAGCTGAGCACGCTGTGCTGACCAGGATGGGTTCCTCGGTTGACCAGCAGCCAATAACCAGGTGCTGTTTTCAGGCAACCTCAAGACCCCCCCCCCCCTCCCTCCCCCCAAATAATGAACTAACATACAGATACTAATAATAAGATATTAAAACACTAATACTAACAATACTAACAATAATGATGACGATATCAAGAACAGAGATAATGGACATAAGCAGAATCGTAATAGTAATAGTAATAGTAATCGTAATAGTAATCGTAATAGTACTAGTACTAGTACTAGTAATAGTAATAGTAATAGTAATAGTAATAGTACTAGCAATAGTAATAATAATCATCTCATGATAATACGAGAAAGCTCCTGAAACATGTCATGTAAGGGCATCCCAGAATCGTTCCTCCAGGTCCAGAATGCAGTCCACCACCCCGACAGCCACGCACCTCAGGCTGGAGTGTTGCGCGTTGGTGCGGTTTAGGGTTTAGGGTTTAGGGTTTAAGGTTTGGGGTTTAGGGTTTAGGATATGGCTTCGGGGTACAGGGCTTTGGGTTTTGGGCATGGGGTATAAGTAGTATACAGTAGTATTTTGGAGGTTTGGGGGACAAATCCTCCAACTTTCTCGGTTGTGTTGCATCATGGTGTTCTCGAGGTCTCAAACTCAAAAGGTTCTAGGCTTAGGGTTTAGGGTTTAGGGTTTAGGGTTTAGGGTTTAGGGTTTAGGGTTCGCCCTGATTCCACCTAAACCCTAAACCCAGAACCGAAGCCTTCTCAACAAAACGCAACGCCATCATGTAGCAAAGCCAGGGCTTCGTCATGTGACCGAAACTGCTGCGCAAGCCATTGCAGGGCTTACGCCTGTTTAGGGTTTAGGGTTTCCGGGGGGGGGGGGGGGGGGGGGGTCGCAAAGCGGTCAAGCAAACCTACACCCAAAATCCGAGCTCTGGGGGGGGGGGGGGTAGGGGTAGAAACTAGAAGCGGTTAGCGCTGCAGCTGGCCCTAGCCCCTAAACCCTAACCCCTAAACCCTAAAACCCTAAACCCCTGTGAAGCTCCGAAGTGCCCCGGCCCCCAAGCTTGGAAGAGGAGCAGGATGTCCAGCACGTGCCAACCAACGTCCTGGGACAACTGCAAGGGCCGAACGGCCCGCGGTTTAGGGTTTAGGGTTTAGGGTTTAGGGTTTAGGGTTTAGGGTTTAGGGTTTAGGGTTTAGGGTTTAGGGTTTAGGGCAAGGATCTTCGGGTTCAGGGTATGAAGCTACCGTGATGTTGCTAGGGTTTCAGATTATGTTGGCTTGGATAGAGTTGCCTTGCTGAGGCGACATTCATGCAAACCCTAAACCCTCCACCCTACACCCTAAACCATCTAAACCCCCAAACCCTAAACCCTAAACCCTAAACCCTAAACCCTCGACTCTTTGAGGCCTCCGACTTCAGGAAGCCGAGGAAACCTTCCGACCACCAGTGCCTGGGCATTCGTTGGGGAACTGAAGGGGATTCTTCGGGCAGGTTAGAGGGGGAAGGGTTTGGGGTTTGGGGTTTGGGGTTTAGGGCTTAGGGTTTAGGGTTTAGGGTTTTAGGGTTTTCGGGTTTAGGGTTTAGGGTTCAGGGTTTGGGGTGTAGGGTTGAGGGTTTAGGGTAGGAAGCGACCATCCGATGTACCAGATGCGCATTTGATGATCCCTTGAATGGCCACTTCATTCATAAACTCTAGACCCTAGACCCTAGACCCTAGACCCTAAACCCTAAACCCTAAACCCTAAACCCTGAAGAGCAACTGGGGTGCAACTGCAACTCGATGGCGAAGAAGGCCGTGAAGGAAACTTGCAGGCCTGAGTCAGGTTAGGGCTTAGGGATTAGGGTTCAGGGTTCAGGGTTCAGGGCTTAGGGCTTAGGATTAGGGTTAAGGGTTAAGGGTTGAGGGTTAAGGGTTACGGGCTTAGGGTTTGGGATTTCAGGACTCCGGGCTCGGCATGGCTCTAGATTTGAGCCAGACTCTGGGAAAAGCTACTACTCTCCGATGGCTTTCAAGCCTAAGCCCTAACACCCAAACCGTCTAAACTCTCAACCCGAATGACTGGACCCCCCCCCCCCCCCCCCCACACACAACGGGCATAGGGTTTAGGAACCCCAATCCCCAAACCCCCAAACCCCAAAACCCCCAAACCCCAAACGCTAAACCCTATACCCGAAACCCGAAACTCTAAACCCTAGCGAGCTTGGGGCTTAGGAGAGGTTAGGGCTGAGGATTCTGGAGAGCTTTTTTTTTTCTCAGAGAGTTCAATGGACCCTGCCGCGTACCACGCTGGGTCCACGGCCAATCATGAACGCGGGGACTGCAAAGTCGGGATCGATCCCCTTGCTGAAGTTCTCCGCAGCCCTTTCGAGGGGTTTTGGGGGGTTTTGAAGTTTTAAGGTAAGGAACTGGGAGGCAGAAAATCATGGGCGAAATTCGTGCCCTCTCCTTTTCTTCGTTCAGAAGAGGATGAAGGGTGCCAACTGCGGCAAAGGGGCCACAGACGAACAGGCTTTGGAGTTGCAAGGGAGGCCTAGAGTTTAAGATTTCCAGCACACGATTTGAGGCTACAGGGCCTGATAGGGTTTAGGTTTAGGGTTTACGGGTTAGGGCTTAGGGTTTAGGGTTTAGGGTTTAGGGTTTAGGGTTTAGGGTTTAGGGTTTAGGGTTTAGGGTTTAGGGTCTAGGGGCCCTTGGTGCCTTTGCGCCATGTGCTCCGTAGTCCAGCCCAGGAAAGCGCAGTTCAGGAGAATCCTTCGCGGCAGGCAATGTAGCACTTTCTAAACCCTTAAAGCCCTGAGGGTTTAGGGTTTAGGGTTTAGGGATTAGGGTTTAGGACTAGGGTTTAGGGTTTAGGGTTTAGCCCTATAAACCCTACAAAAACTACATTCGGTCTGAAGCAGGGGGCTTGGGCCGTTCCTGGTCGGCGTCTCCTGGCTCCTGCTTAAGACCCCCCAAACCCTCTATAATCCTTTAAAGGGTACATTTAGGGCTTAGGGCTTAGGGTTTAGGGTTTAGGGTTTAGGGTTTAGGGTACAAAGAACCAAGATGTTTTTGTAGGTCACCTGCAAACCCAATAGGGCTCCCCAAGCCCAGCACCTAACCCCAGATCCTACACATCCTCCGACTGCTCGGTGTAAAACCCTAAACCCTAACCCCTAACCCCTAAACCCTAAACCCTAAACCCGAAACCCTAAACCCTAAACCCTAAACCCTAAACCCCACAAGCTTTCAGGTGCAATCTTGCAGGGTGGGCGCCCCTCAACCCCCCGAATGCGTTCCGAGGGTCATGATGCTGCTGGTCCACCGGAAGCCTGGAATCTAGGGGTTTAAGTTGGTTTAAGCCCTAAACCCTAAACCCTAAACCCTAGAAACCCTAGAAACCCTAGAAACCCTATAAACCCTATAAACCCTATAAGCCCTATAAACCCTAAAACTCTATAAACTCTAACTCCTCAATTGGGGTTTAGCGCTTTGGTTTAAGGGTTTGTAGGAGGGCTCTTTGGTTCGGGGCTTGTGTGCTAGGGAGGTTAGAACATTGGGGGGGGGGGGGTTCAGGGTCTAGTTTTGAGTCTAGCCCTCCAAACCGGAACCCTATACCCTATAAACCCTAAACCCTAAACCCTAAACCCTAAACCCTAAACCCTAAACCCTAAACCCTAGACCCTAAACCCTAAACCCTAAACCCTAAACCCTAAACCGGACCTTGCAAGTGCGGAATATGCAAGTGGGAGGTAGTCGCAAGGAGAGTCTTAGGGTTGGCCAAACCTCACTTCAAACCTCTTTGAGCCCTTCAAACCCAAGCCCTAAACCCTAAACCCTAAACCCTAAACCCTAAACCCTAAACCCTAAACCCTAAACCCTAAACCCTAAACCCTAAACCCTAAACCCTAAACCTACCGAAGCCTCACAAGCAAGACTCCGGGGATTCTACCATAAGGGTTCTTAGTCTGAAGCCAAAACAGGACTCCTAAACAACAGCAATGATCCCAGGCCTTAAACCCTAAGCCGGAAACCTGACACCCTAAACCCTAAACCCAAAGCTCTCCCTCTCCAAAAAGCCCCAAACCCTAAACCCTAGACCCTGAACCCTAAACCCTAAATCCTAAACCCTAAACCCTAAACACTAAACCCTAAACTGGGCCTAAACCCTAAACCCTAAACCGAGCTGCACTTGCTCTTGGTCAGGCGCTCGGGAAGCGAGGCATCCGCGAGCATCTTATGGTTCCCTGGAGTGTTTTAGGGTTTAGGGTTTAGGGTTTAGGGTTCAGGGTTCAGGGTTCAGGGGTCAAGGACATGGAGCTTTTGCCGGGGTTTCGGGTCTTTAGGGGTCTTTAGGGTCTTTGGGGCGCTTCGGGCCTTTAGGGTTTAGGGTTTAGGGTTTAGGGTTGAGGGTCTTGAGGGTTTTGGGGGTTTTGAGGGTCTTTAGGGTTTAGGCTTTGAGGGCCTGATAACACATGAAACTTTTCAGCAACCATGGGGCGCAGTATGACTCAGTACCGGGCCTTTTTGAAACTTGAAAGGCGCGACGCTGCAAGAAGAAGCTGGCCGAACGCCCCTAAGCCCTAAACCCTGAACCCCAAACCCTAACCCCCCCGACCCCCCAATTCCCTCGAAACCCTAAACCCTAAACTACTTAGTCCAAACACCCGGGACTAAATTGAAAGCCCCCGGATGTTTGCAATGCGAGCTGCTCTCAGAAGAGATGAGGACCTCGGCAGTGTACTGTCATGTCCGGGTTTAGGGTCGTAGGGGTTAGGGTTTAGGGTTTAGGGTTTAGGGTTTAGGGTTTAGGGTTTAGGGTTTAGGGTTTAGGGTTTAGGAACCAAGTGGCCAGAAGAATCAACTGCCTGGTTGAGGCTATCTTGTTGCTTGCTTCGAAAACCTGATCCACACAGCACTCAGTCGACGCGGGCATGGAACACACACAAAGCCCCTGTGCAGCACAATGACATAATCTAGGATGGCCGTAAACGCCGACTGAAAGATGTTCCTGAATATGATCCTCTTAAACCCCAAACGGGCACATATGAAATATCCCAAGGGCCTACCTAGTAATGCAACATCCTCCCCATCAGCAAGCCTGAACGACGATGTCTTTTTCGGGCCCTCAATACGAAAACCCCGAATGCAAAAGAGAACGGCCCGTAGCCCATGGGCATACTTCTGTATGTATGTACATATGCAGGCCTGAATATAGAAACAGCTCGGATTGATTGATTGATTGACTGAGGGACTGATTGATTGATACGTCTTTGAGGAAGCTGGTTCTACCCCACTCATCATGACGCCCGGCCGCACAATTCTTCTCCGCTTTCCGCCGGCGTCGTCGGTGTCGCTCTTGGGCCTACAGGTGTATATGAAAGTTACTGAAAACTCGGGGTTTTGTGAGGTCCCTAGGTCCCTACTATGGCATATACCAAAGAAAGACCCTGATTGAGAACAACCCTAAACCCTAAACCCTAAACCCTAAACCCTAAACCCTAAACCCTAAACCTGTATATCTGCAAGCAATGATCCCTTCAACTCCCGGTTGCCCACAGACTGCGCGGGCATGCAAACATGGTGTGTTTTGGGGTTCCCGAAACTCGAAGGTGAAGTCTTTGTGCACGGAAAGGGTTTAGGGTTTAGGGTTTAGGATTTAGGGTTTAGGGTTTAGGGTTTAGGGTTTAGGGTTTAGGGTTTAGGGTTTAGGGTTTAGGGTGGACCTCATTACACAAGTTGCATGTATATGTGGTCACTTCTCTATATTCTGAACTCTTTCGGTGTTACTAATATTTAAGGTACCCAAAAAGGTACCCCAAAAAAGGACCCGTAATCTAGAGAACTGACCATGTGTGGTGAGTGCATATGAAGTCGGGTATATAAACCTTGTACCCCCCCCAAAAGGACACGAAATATATACACTCACCAATATAAAAGAGGAACCTTATATACACTCACCGAAAGCAGATATATATATATATATATGTATATAGATGTATGTATATATATATATATCTATATTTATTTATTTGTTTTTATTTGTATATACCCTGCTTCATATGGTGATGAAGGTCAAGCATCTCGGCTTGTTTGGCATGGGTGTTGCCCGCTTCTTCCGGCTGGTGGTCGGCAGCTTGGTCTTAACAGGAGGCTAAGGGTTGAGGGTTTAGGGCTAAGGGTTAAGGGGTTAGGGTTTAGGGTTTAGGGTTTAGGGTTTAGGGTTTAGGCCGTAGACTGCCAGGAATCATGGGCACACCCTTGCTCCAACGACACCATTCGCACGGTTGGCCTTTAACGCAACAGCCCACAAACCCATCCCCCCCAAACATCTAAACCGAACCCTAAACCCTAAACCCTAAACCCTAAGCCCTAAACCCTAAACCCTAAACCCTCAACGCTAAACCCTAAACTTAAACCCTGAGCCCTCACACCCAGAAAACCTACAACTCTAAACCGTGAGCTCAAAGCCCTAACCCATGGACCCTAAACCCTAAACTGCACCTCATGAGCCCTAGCGCCCTTCGGTACATCAGCCCTAAACCCTAAACCCTAAACCCTAAACCCTCTGTCGGCCAGGATGCCGGGAGGTCCATACTCCGAAGCGCGTCGTCGGGGACTGCTCGAGGCCCATTTCTAACCTTCAAAGCTGCGTTTAGGGTTTAGGGGCTTGGGGTTTGGGGCTTGGGGTTGAGGGTTTAGAGTATGTGTGTTAGGGGTTGGGGACCTTTAGGAGTTTAGGGCTGAAAGTCTAGTGGTTTTGAGGTCTAGAGTCTTAGGCGTAGGGTTTGTGGGTTTAGGGCTTCATGGGGTAGGGTCGTCGGCTTGAGGGGTTTGGGGTTGCGGGCTTTAGTAGGGTTTAGGGGTTCAGGGTCCACCTGTTGACACACAGAAAGCCTCTGAGAAGCTGTAGCCAGTTTAGCTGTCGCAGCTCTTTGCCACTACAGTCGGACTCTGTATTACATGTCAAACAGTATGTATATATATATATATATGTATATATATATATGTATATATATATATGTGGCAGGGATTTTTAGGGTTTATTTTGCTTAGCGCCTTTCTTCACAAGATATATTAGCTAATAAAAATTCGTTTTTAATATGTTATTTATTATGTAATAATGCTAGCATAGAGTATATAAGATATAATATATAATATATAATATATAATATATAATATATAATATATAATATATAATATATAATATATAATATATAACATATAATATATAATATATCATGCGACTATAGTGAGTTTTACATTTCCTTCAGAATGTATTCACATAAGAGTATATGTTATATAATGTAAAAGAAGAATTCCCCAATTCTATGTGTTTCATTCCTGACCGGAAATGAGTCAGTTCAGGTGTCTCAGTAAGCCCTGCGAACATGGATTCTAACATGGATATTGTCTAAAATCAATATTGACATCAAGTGGAGTATTCATGGTGATTCTTATATGAATAGTAATGGTAGTGTCAATACTGATGTTGGTATCAAGGTCGGAAATGAACCAGTCCAGGTGTCCAGGTGTCTTGCGAAGCCCTGTGATGTTCATCGCAAGTCAGGAATGAATCAGTCCAGGTGTCTTAATAAGCCCTATGGCAATATGGTGATTCATTCCCGGCCGAAAATGGATCAGTCCAGGTGTCTCAGTAAGCCCAGCGAGAGATAACTATAATAATACATATACATAACAATACTAGAAATAGTATCGGCATCCATTCATACGGATATTATCTTTGAGCTTAATATTGACATGAATTTGAGAAGTAATATTCATTCTTATATTACTCGTGATGGTAGCGTTAGTACTGATGTTGATATCAAGGTCGGGAATGAGTCAGTCCAGGTGTCTTAAGAAGCCCTGCCAGGTGTCAAGTGCGCTCTGCGTTGATTCCTTTCTGACCACGGCCGGAAATGAAACACGTCATGTGTCTGAGAAAGCCCTGTGGTGATTCTTTTCTGGTCGTAAGTCCAGGTGTCTTATATGCCCTGTGGCGATTCCTTCCTAGCTGAACATGAATCAGTCCAGGTGTCGCAGTAAGCCCAGCGCGAACACATGCAAAAGAATTCTTGTTTGTTTTGAATACTGAAGTGAAAAATCATATTTAGTCTGATGTTAATGGTACTCGTAATCGCAATACTGTTGTGGATTCCAAGGTCGGAGATGAATGAATCAGTCCAGGTGTCTTAGAAGGTGTCGAAATGAATCAGTCCAGGTGTGTGGGAAGCCTTGCGCTCGATGATTTCATGCGAATGCACGATTTAATATTGATATTGATATCAGTACTGATTTTTCTAGCCGTAGTAATAGAAAAAACAGTATTTCAATCACACAAAATTCAGGTCGGAGAATGAATCAGACCAGCTGTCTTAGTCTTCATAAGCCCTGCCAGGCGTCGAATACGTCCTGCGGCGAATCATTTCGGGCCAGAAATGAACCAGTCCAGTCGTCTTAAAAGCACAGTGCTGATTCTTTTCGGGCCGGAATCCCAGTGTTGATTCATTTCGGGTCGGAGACGAATCACCTCAGGTGTCTCAGCATTGATGCATTTCGGGCCGGAAATGAATCAGTCCAGGTGCCTTAAAAACACAGTCTTGATTCATTTCGGGCTGGCAATGAATCAGTCCAGGCGCCTTCAGAGGCCCGGCGTTGATTATTTCGGGTCAGAAATCAATCAGTCCAGGTGTCTTAATGAGCCGTGTGTTGATTCATTTCTGGTCGGCGTTGAACCAGCCTAGGTGTCTTACTTAATTCTCCCTGCGATGAGCTAATTCGGAGCGGAAATGAATCCTGGATTGATTCGTTTACGACCAGAAAAGAATCACCACAGGGCTTTCTCACGGCCGTGGCCGGAAAGGAATCAACGCAGAGCGTACTAGACACCTGGCTCGGCTTATTAAGACACCTGGACTGATTCATTTACGACCTTGATATCAACATCAATATTAACACTAGCATCACGAGTAATATAAGAATGAATATTACTTCTCAAATTGATGTCAATATCAAAGTCAAATTAAGTACCCGTGTTCATGAAATCGCACAGAGCTTACTGAGACACCTGGACTAATTCTCAACTAATTCATTTGACCATAGCGACATAGGGCTTATTAAGACACCTGGACGGTCACCTGGACTGACTCATTCCTGACCCGCAATGAATCATCACAGGGCTTCTTAAGCCACCTGGCAGGGCTTATTAAGACACCTGGACTGATTCTCTTCGAACCTTGATATCAACAGTAGTATTAACACTACCAGTACTTCTAATATAAGAATGAATGTTAATCACCAAAAGAAAACAAAAGATTAAAGATTCATTTCCGGCCAGGAATCAATCAACGTAGTGCCACAAAGCTTATGAAGACACTTGGATTGCTTCATTCCCGACCCGCAATGAATCATCGCAGGGATTCTTAAGACACCTGGCAGGGCTTATTAAGACACCTGGACTGGTTCATTTCGAACCTTGATCTCAACATTAGTATTAACACTACCATGACTTTTAATATAAGAATGAATGTTGATAATCAACAGAAAATAAGATTAAAGATTCATTTCCGGCCAGGAATGCATCAACGTAGAGCCAGAGAGCTTATGAAGACACCTGGACTGAGTCATTCCCGACCCGCAATGAATCATCAGACGGCTTCTTAAGCCACCTGGCAGGGCGGGCCGGAAATGAATCAGTCCAGGTGTCTTCATAAGCCCTGTGGCGCTACGTTGGTTCATTCCTGGCCGGAAGTGAATCTTTCGTATTGTGTTTTCTTGTGATCATTAATATTCATTAATACGTTAATAGTACTGGTAGTGTTCATACTGATGTTGATATCAAGCTCGGAAATGAATCAGACACTACAATTATTATTTGTATAAGAGTGACCATTAGTTCACATGCATGTCAACATTAAAAGCAAAGATACTATCCATGTTCATGAGTTCGCACTACTGAGACACGCCTGGACTGATTTACTTCCGCTGGTCTTTTTAAGGCGCCTGGACTGGTTCATTTCCGGTCCGAAATGAATCAACGCATGGCTTACACAGACACCTAAATTGATTCTTCCGGCATGAAGTAAATCAGACTTTGCTTTGAGACGAATGGACTAGTTGGTTCGGGCCCGAAATGACTCACCACGAGAAACTTGCTGATAGACCTGGATTGACTCATTTCCGAACGGACATGAGTCAATCCAGGACGAATCAACACAAAGCTTTTCAGACACCTGGACTGATTTGATGCATCTCCCACCTTGGAACCCACACCAGTCTTCTTAGTACTAGTACCATTAGTA